GGGACTAGTGGTGTTCAAGCAAAAACCTGTCCTATACTGCGCATCAATGCATGCCATGTGGACAAGAAACGGACCTCTCATAAAACTGCTTAGCAAAACTACAAACCGCGGAAATCCGCATCACCTGTCCCATTTTATGGGCCACGGTCTTTAGAAGTCTGCTACTTCAACGCGATCCCGGCTCCAAAATACACGTCAGCCATGATCCATCAAATGAAGGTGGCAGGGCAGCGCCACAGATGTCGCATTAATCACGACTCATTTCTAAGCACAGTCGTCCAAACGCAGTCCTTCTCCCCCAAACACCCCACTGCACACACAATGCGCTTTGCTGTTCTAGTGCCGTTTTGAGATCTCAAGGGGAGGGCAGCACGACGACGGAGTACCGTGAAGGATATGGTTCGTGAAACACCACCATCGGTGCTCTAGAGCAGATGCAATACAGTCAAAAAGATTCTTCAAGAGCGCAGAAAATAGCTGCTCCCTGTGAATAATACACCCTTCACTAATAAACGTGTTTGCAACAGAAATCCTTGGACAAGAATGGTGGTCTCACGGTAGAGCTTTGTCGAAAGTTACCCATATTTTTGGCGAATTCGCGCAAAGACAATACCGCCTTGCTCCCTCGCAAACTGGCCACATGCTCGTGGCAGGTAAATGTTCAAGTGAGCTGTACCTTCCTAAACCCCATTACTAGCATTTGATCAGTCAAGCAAAATGATAAGTTTTAATATCAACACTTTCCAGACGAAAGCCTCAGAGTAAAAAGCATGTTCTGCAGATGAGTGAATTTCTGGATGTGACCTTCAGGTGGACTATAGGAACTGCAACATTACAAATAAATAGGGCTAAAATTACCTAAAGAGGTGACCGTATAAATGGAGGGAGAGAGAGAAATAAAGTAAAAGGGGATCTAGAAAATAAATTAAACAATGTATGAGCAGCACTTGGTTGAATCGGACTTCTCAGTGTCCCTTACTTCAGGTGGTCTCAAGTCGGGTAACAGTGCAGTCCTTTATGCGCCTTCAATCGTATCTATATTTGTAGGCCTATTGTTTCAACTGCCGTAATTTTCATGCAATACGATTCAAAGGAGAAAATAATGGTGAAAGTGGCAACAAAATGGGTCCGCTTGGTAAAACTTGAGTTTGATTTAGCCTCCTTCTACCCGAATTCGCTTAAAAGTCTCCGACAGCAGAATGCAAGAAAAGAAATCAAGAAAAGTTATGTTGGAAGATCTATTAATCTCAGTCTTAAGATAGAGATCAAGAAGTACGTTACGGCTTCGCTCATAACACAAAAGTGTGTGTAAAAAACAGGACTCACAGATTTCTCACCAGCCCAGTCATCCAAGCTGTTGATGAGATTCGTGATTTCCAGCTTCAATGGAAGAATTTCGCATACCAAACATTCTGCGCGACACTAAAGAGGAGAGGATGATGAGGCTTATGCCACGCCCAACCTTACGAAGGTCGGCATAGATGGCTCTGCATAACTCATCTTCATTGTCATCGAGCATGGTTCTCAAGCGCCGCAAGATATCCTTCCTCTCCTCGATCGATGACGGCGAGATGTCCACATAGGGGACCTTTAGTTTTGAGATCTATTTCGTCACAATGAAAACGAAAATAATGAGCAAAGATAAATCACGCGCGCTGCACGACACCCATATCGCTAAATCTATGCTATACGAAAGAAGGATGTAAAAGCACAAACCACAACATGTGATTTAAGACGATCATTTTTTCTCTAACAAGGATACACTAAAGTACAGTTTATTCGTCTCCACGTCTGATTACTTCGGAGTCTAAGTTCTGGGGAGTCGAGCTAGCAACAATGCTTCCTCCCCACGTCAGTGATGCATATCCCACCACAGTGTGGTAATACCCAATGAATTTAGGTGAAACTACACATGAAATGTGACAAAGGCAATTCAAGCTTAATACATCATCCAGAAAAGTATGAAAAAGCGCAAGAAAAGAGACATTGATAGGCATAAAAAGGCATCCATCACTCAGATGAAAGCAAAACCGGGACACAGTAATTCGATTTAAAATAACTAAAGTCATGAAATTACTCACCGTTCGGTTCACAGATAAAAACTGTTAAATCCACTCGAATACCAAAATTTATGCATCAAAACCAAACGAACGTGTTTAAGGAACCAGTAGGAAAAAAAGGTATTTCCAAACAAGTTTCTTCGTTCAAAGCGCTACTTCACAAGTTTGAACGGAACAATGCAACACAAGGATGAAAAACAACTATAAGTACGCATGCGAAAAAAGGAAACGAAGCGATTCAAGTTTTGCTGACAAAAGCAGCAGGCGAAATACCGCATATGCTCAAATGCGTAAAGTTGATGGTAAGCATCGTTCCGTGGCAACTACATAGGCCACGGTTGGAAGTGGAAAAATTAGGCTTGATTCTTAAACAATTTACGCTTGCGCAAACGAACAAATCAGTGAGCAAAGTGAGGTCGAAATGCAGAATAACAAGAGACCACAAAAACGTATGAAAAAAGCAAATTCTACCGATATTAAACTTCGATTCCAAAAGCGACCGCAATTGAGCACTTTTATAAGAAAGGCAAGCCAATAAAGAACTCACGTCAAACATTGCCACAAGAGTGAAAAATCCTGGGGGTCGAAATGATCACGCACAACTTGAAAGTGGATAATTTTCGCAAGGTCGACCATCAAACGACCAGGAAGTAGGCCCCGATAACAGGCAATTGTAAAATAAAATTCACACTGTCGTTCCAAAGTCAAAAGAAATTGGCAAACTTAATTTTTTTAGCACAAGAACCATTTATATATTAACAAGTCATAATAATTTTTAATTTTATTTTTTTGAAAGACAAATAAGACCAGCTTGTGCGATTTGATAAAATCCTTGGAAATTTTTAGCGCAACTAAGTATAGAATAACCCTGCACGATTGATTTAGTTGATAATTGTTGCCTAAGCCTTGTTCATCACCCAATTTAGGACCATAATCTTGTCCTTTACTGATTTGTCCGAATCGGTTGAACATAAAATACATAATCGATGAAGAATCTTGTTTTCAAGAATATGCTTTCTCCTCACACCCAATGACCTTAGAAGTATACTATTTTTTATTGGTTGATCCTATTTTGTTTTATCGTCCTGTGTGTTATTTTCAGTTAGTGTTAAATAGCCTTTTTGGGATGGATCCGGGTTTGTTGAAGGAGCGGGAGGAGTTCTTGCGTCGAGCAAAGAACATTCCGGTTGTTGAAAAACTGCGTCCTCAATCGCAGACTTTGCCTCAATTGAACGCCACTTCGCCACAAACAAAGAAACCTCCTGTGTCATCCACCAGGGAGTACCTTACCATGGACACGCGGTCACAAAATCAGGGGAAATTTGCGCTCCTATCACGCATTGTGAAATACATGAGAGTATTGTCAAATGCTTTTAATAATTTTTAGCGCAGACATTTGGAGCGAGAGTTGCATCCCCTTTCTGTCGAAGAAATACTAGAAGAACTACAGCTCTACGATACTCCAAGATCTGATATTGTGTGGCTTGAAAATGAGGTGAGATGCTTTTGTTAATATTGAGAGTGTCCTATTACTTCATTGTTTTTTCATGCATTGTGGTGTGAGAAAGATGTTATCCTGGATACCTCAATTTTTGGATGCTATTATTTATGTAGGAGATTTGTAACTCTGCTCTTGGCTTGTCTTGATATGCAGTTTGGCTTGTAGGCCCTTCCCAATAATCCAAAGATAGCTACTACTCCAGACAAGAAGTTCAAGTTTAAGCCGAGATATGACATACGGTCCCGAAATGATTTATACCAACTTCTGAAGCGGCACGAAACCAGAGGGCTAGGTGGCATTTACCTTGATGATATTTGCGAAGCGATTCCTGACGCGGAAAAGGTTATTCAAGTGAGTAAGATTTGACAACAGTCCTCGCTTTTCACTAACTCCAACCCACTTGTTTTCTTTGCTTCCGTGGTTTGTATTGGAGCAGTAAACACTTAAAGGCTTTTTTGCACGCTGCTTAGATATTTGTTCTATTATCCTCCGACAGTTACAAAACCACTTCTTATCCAAAGGATACTTCATGTTCTTCCTAAAATTTCATCAATCCACTCATAATTTGCAATTTTAGAGTCTTGGGGATACAATCGTGCAGGTTACTACCCCGCACGACAAAAAGACTGTTCTGTTTTTCAACGACAAGTCGTTTGACCTAAATGTTGAAGACGGTAATTTTTTGATTTCCCGTCATTAACATGAAATCGAGGCAGCCCATGTACGTAATCATGCATCTGAGTTTTATCCGTAAACGAGTTCTAAAGAATGTTTCACTGATTCCGACGTTCCGTTTTGAACAAGATGATGTTAAACTTTGAAAGCGCTTCCTATTTGTCGTTCTGATTCTCTTAGAATTCAAGCAGCTTTGGCGAGCGGTCAGCGTGGAGGGCGTTCACGAAGGAAAAATTGAGGAGTATCTCCATAGAAACGGTATCATGTCCATGTCTGCTGACAAAAAAGTATTCGTAAGTCTTCGGAAGTGTCATGTTACCGTCGACGCTCTTACTACATAGCACTGACATAAAAGTGTCTAGGCCTGGTACCGTTTTCTCAAAACCTATCGATGCTTGCTTCTGTTTTTTGCTATCGATAACGTGCACCTGTTCCTAGCCATTACCTTTCAGATTTTACACTGCATTTCGTTATGCTATTCAGACACCAGCAATCAAGCAGAAACGACGCGGCCAACGCCGAAATATTCGTCCGGTGAAGCTAAGGGACAATGAGCATTTACGAGGCATTTTGAAGGACTTCTCCGATAAGAAATCTTAGTATACTTGTATAATTCTACACATTATATGTCTTTCAATTGTTGGCACTTTCGCCTGTCAGTCTCCTACCGGAGTTGCGTAGAAGAATTTTCAGTAAATTCTTTTTTCACTTCTTCAAGTTGGAATCTACCTACAGCGACATCAAGATTCTCTGCGTGAGTTGCTCTATCTGGTAATCGTATACTCCCTACCAAACTAGCTTATCCCTTTCGTCAGGTGTCCTTGCAGCACCATTTGAAGCCTCCAACATACATTACCAATGTTTCTTCAAACTGCACCCGATGTAGTCCTACATTCGTGCTAGGTGTGCATGTCAAATCGGCGCCAATTGAAATAATAAACACCATGTTGGAGCTACCGCCCAACCGCTGACTGGTCCTTTTGTATCAACAGAAAAGGTGACGAAACCGCAACTAGTATTGAATCCGTCAAATTGATGAGTGGCGCAATTATCCAAGTAGAAGCTTAAGGCCCCACCTTACGGTAACAGGTGCAATCTGATCACCAAGATATTGTACTTTGCGGATGTTTATAACTCTGACAAGGCGTTCATATGTGGCCTCATTAATGACCTGGAGCGCACCCAAAGTGTGGTTGCTCACATAACGGATGAAAACCCGACAGTGACCGGATGAAGCTCCTCTAGGAGACTCACAAACGATTTAGACCTCAGTTTCTCCGTAAAGGTGAGTTGCTACATGCATGAACAGGAGAAGAATTGAGTACGGGATCATTTACTCAAGGTTTTAAAAAAATTAATGCCAGAAGGTAGCTTTCGATGGTACGAATGACAAAGTATGGTCAAGAGCGCAATGAAATGACAATTGACTACAAAGTGAGAACCATCACTGAGCTTCGGCAAAGCGTTCCGCCACATCCTTCCAGTTAATGATTTTCCAAATAGCCTTGACATAATCAGGCCGTTGATTTTTGTACTGAAGGTAGTAAGCATGCTCCCAAACATCTATGCCCAGGAGAGGTTTGAGACCTAAAATATTAAGGAATTAATCGCATCAAGAAGTCTGCGTCGGCATCACAGTCGAAGAGGTCACAATCGGAAAGAGACAAGGAAAAAGCTCGAGCAAAATACCCGTTGTTCCTTCAAGAGGATCCTGATTGGCACAAGTAGCAATTCGCAGTCGACCAGAGCCCGACTCAAACCCAAGCCAACCCCACCCAGAGCCCAGAACAGATACGGCGGCATTAGTCATCTTTTCCTTAAACGCTTCAAAAGAACCAAAGTCGCGTTTAATAGCATCAGCCAGAGGTCCACTGGGCTCACCACCTCCATTAGGGCAGAGATTGCACCAGAAGATACTGTGGTTAATGTGACCACCGCCGTTGAATTTAAGAGCGGGCTAGATGATAGAAAATCATAAATACGAGCGTCAATGAGAATTAGTTCTAATCGGTGCAGAATCGAAGAAACTCAACTACCGAAAACCATGGCATTACCAATCAACTCGAGAATCAACGTCCGCACAACAAACAAAAAGGATTTGTTGTAGCAGTACTGTGAAGAAACACAAATCTTCAAAAGCAATGTTTCTGTTGATCAGTCTAATGCAAAATAAGTAGCGAATTCCATCGTAGTAAACAGATTGAGCGTAAGATCATTAAGTCAACTTATAATGTTACCTGGAGTGATATCACCTTCGTGACATCACCTTTATCCAGAGCTTCCGCCAACTTTTCTTCAGCAATGTTTAAGTTGTTTACGTAACCTGCGTGATGCTTTTGATAATGACATTTCATGATATCAGCAGAAATAACAGGTTCAAGTGCCCCGAAATCATAAGGGAGATCCGGAAGAGTATGTTTCAAGGCCGAAAAGATACGCGTACACTTGTAAGCTGGCCCAAGATAGCGACGATACAACCCTGAAGCGAGCATAACGAAGGGCAGCCCCGTAAACCTCGATGACCTTCGCAATACAAAGACTGACTAAAAGTTTTTGCAATAATACACAAACAAATCATTTGTGTCATGCGTTTGTCGAGTTGTATTTTACTCTTTAGAGCTCAATTTTTTCTTCTGATATTCTCAGAATTCAAAATTTTGCTATTTTGCAAAATCAGTTCACATTTTTGGCAAAATTAGAATCCGAATACAGCTAACATTTGAACCCAGAATATAAAACGTCTGCTTATTCATGTCTAAATTATTATGTAGAAGAAATCTTTCATCCTATGTCTGAGTTTGGGTTTAACAGTGCCTGACGTTTTCCCCTTTGAGCATCAGAAATTTCTGCACTTTAATTTACCTATTTATCTCCGCTTTAATGGAGAGCATCATCGAGTTGTGCTTATTATGCCTTATTTATGCGACTGTCTAAGGTCCGGTGGGGATCTTGGTGTTGGGAGCGAGCCAAGTTTCAAACTCTCATTTTTCCTCTTAGAATGCATGCATGTAGTCTAACTTAATAACTTAGCTATGGGATGCTACAGTGCTAGTGACTGGTGGTCTTAGGTTGGAAGAAATTGTCTTAACGTTCCGGAACTTCCCACAGGGTGGAAGTAGGCAGCAAGTAAAGCTGGATACATGTATTCCAAAGAGGCAAAGCATCTGGCCTGAGCGTGTCCCGCAAGTCAGCACACGAATACAATGGCCAGGCTAATCCTAAGTTGACCGCCAAACGTCATGCGATTACCTAAACAAAGTATTGTACTGCCCCTCCTTCTGAGCGACGTCCTCGGTGATCCCCTTGATAGTCTCCCGCGCTAGCCATCACAACATATTCGGTAGTACAAAAATGCACTCACGAGCCAACCGTGCCAATCGACAGATAGCATAAGATTGTGAAAACTTACTTGTTCTCCTCTACAGCTTTAACTGGCCCTGTAGTAACGTTCAGTCTGACAACCAGGTTTGGGACCGCATACACCTGTTGACCTCACCTTCATGCAACAAACGATGCGTGTTAGGTTAGAGGTTATTGGAAAAATGTCGAGTTCGCTTTCTGCTGCCACCAGTGTAGCGTCTCGATACTTCCCACAGGCTGGAAGAAGGGGGTAAGCGAAGCTCAATATAGGTATTCCAAAGAGGACAAAGCATTTGGCCTGAGCGTGGCCTGAAGGCCGGTCCACGTGTACAAGGGCTAGGCAAATCCTAAAGTGACCCTTTTCAGCGATCACTCGTATGGTCGGCGCGTACTTTGGCGTTTGTCCTACCTCTGTACGCAAGAAACGGCCGCAAGATTAAGCCAAAGTGTAAACCCTTCTTATTCTCATAGCATACGTGCGGTGAGTCCAAGTTTATTCCTTTCCCTTTTTAGTTGCGAGGCTAGGGTTGTCACAGTAGCTACCAAAGCGATTGTCATGTATGATGAAAGTGTTTCACATATTTTACTTTTATCATTTTGTCTTCTTTTATAAAATGCAGTGACTGTAATGCGTCAAAGGTGTTGTTTTAATAGTCGCTATAGGCTAGAGACAAGGTATCAAAGCTAACGCCTTTCTGGGATGCCAAATAAATAATTTGTAAGCAACTTGTCTTCTAAGGAAATCCTAGGGAGGACTTGGGCGACGATGAAGTTGAGACTTAACTAGTGGCAGCTGGGCTTTTCTCTTTTAAAAAGGGTATGGACTTCGAAGATCGGTTGCTTACTACGAAATGCAATTTAGTGCTTTATCAAAAGAAGCAGCGAGTTTTTCTGCTTATTCATGTCCTTTCCCACGAATTACTCCGCACTGTTATGGATGCTGGAGCCTTCGTCTGGGATATGACGTTGTTGGGATGTTTAGCCAAGAATACGCTTAATAAAAAAATCAGTTCCTTGCCTATGAGTTCCTCTATCAAATCTTAAAACCAAGTGAAGATAATGAGTTTGCCCAAATCCTTTCAATTTCTGCCAGAAAATATTTCAAACGGCTTCTCTTTTTACAAGATCGCGACATGGGTTGTAATTCAGTCCTCCTGGAGGAACATATCGTGCCGTTGAGGACGTTCAAACTTCGCCGACTTATTGGTGTAACGACACTCAGACGCCAAGACCTTCGCTTTCGACCTCCTTCCCATTTGCATAACAGATGGCAGAGCTGATATGAAAAACGCCGCATCCCTTTGTCTGCTACTTTCAAGCTCAGTGAGCCCCACTTTTCTTTTTTGTGCTTCTTTATGATTCCCGTACCTTTTTTCGACTATGGTACAGCCTGATCTCGATAAAAACACACTCTTTTTAGTCGCATTTGAATACGATCCGGGTTTCGCTGTGAATACAACATTGCCGACCGCAGAAGGAAGACAGATGTTGGTTGGGAAAGAATCGATTTCCGGGAGTTGCAATAGGTAAGGAGAGCTGGATAGTGAACTTCATGTTATGTCCAGAGCTCGCCTGGGATGTGATGTGATGTGATGTTATGCATTGTGAAAACGAATTTACGACTCATCAAAACTACAAGGTAAGTGTCTCTGCTCTCACCTTGAAGACCATGCGAACGACATTTGCAGTTCTCTTTTTGCTGCAATAGCCATTGCCATAACTAGTTTAGGTGACCCCTATTCAAATAGCGAAAGGAGCTATGCTCAGGGCTTAAAAAGTACTCAGACGTTTTCCAGAGCGTGGTAGAAACTGGAACGAATGAAAATCCTTAACCACACGATCGATACTGGTGAGTTTGAGCCAGTTTCGCATTCCACCTCCCCTCCAAGATGAAGTACATCCATCCATTGGTGAGGCCTTGTGACGACGTCATTAGGGCCTCCACATCACCCCATCGCATTAGTAAAAAAAGTGAAGGTAGTCTACGTCTGTGCCTATCATTAGAAGGCTGAATGTGATGACAACGAAAGACGCATTCCCTCTGACCCGCATCGATGACTCATTAGACTCACCAAAAGGAACCAAGTGGTTCTCAGCCATTGGCAACCGTAAGATAAAGGCAGGATTAAATGGCTTTCGTTGTGCCAAATGGTCTCTACGACTTCCAAACAATGCCGCGATCGCGGTCACCTCCCAAAGATTAATGTAGAAAGCTTTGTGCAACTTCCTGAGACGCGCTGCATAATCTACCTTCAACAGCAATTCTAATCTCTGACGATTATTGGATCGTCAACGAGAAGCTGGTTCGACATTTAACCAAAAGAAGTACTGTTTGCTCCGGCGATCTGTCACCTACCAGGACTACGTGGTCTATACCGAGGGGATAACGGTTTTGCAAATTATTGCCCTTGTTTCGTCTAAGGTTTTGCTAATATCGCTAGCTCACTATATAATATGAGAGAGGCAAGCAACCAAGGAATTCCGTAGGGAACCGAACACACGGGGGTCCTTAAGGAGTTGGAGAGCGCTTCCTGTAGTGCACCAATGCTGGCTTTACCTACCTTTGAGTCTAATGTCTCCTTTTGTTCTAAACGCAGATACAGGCGAAAAGATGGGAGAAAATACGTCATCGTCTGCTGTAGTTCTCGTTTAAACAAGAAGATGCAACAGAAAGCGCATCGTTACGAGAAGTTTTTGTCCTACATACATTGGTTAAACGGTTAAAACATTATCCGATAGGCAAACAATTCATAGTGCGCGCAGACCATCAGTCTTTAGCGGCATTAAGAGAGATGATAGAAATCGATCGCTCATTTGCTCGCTGTTATGAGGATCTCCAGCAGTATAGTTTTACCGTTCAATATAGAGAAGGGGGCGCTCTTTGTAATACAGACGCACTACCTTGCAAACTCTTTCCTCCAGATGCAGATGGCGCTACAGTGCTGAGCGAAACTACCACCCTCCGTTGGGAAAACACACAAAGCGCCGACCCATACACAGCTGTTAGGCATGAGAAGTTACGGAAATCCACGGCCAAGCCTACAGCACTGTTAGAATTATGCGAGAAACTAGGCTATACGGGGAAAAGAAAATGGCTGATGTTACAAAAGGGAGGTATTAGTGGCCCTCGCTGGCAGCCAGCAAAGGGCTTAGGCCACGATAGAGTTGTGAACACCGTCACTTCGACATTTATCTTGCTTTTGTATGTCTTGACTGGTCTTCAGGCCAAGCCAAAACTTAATTTTTTTCTCCTGTTCAGCCTTACATAATGCTTTCTTGCATCAAATAGAAAAGGCTAGGTAGGCATATCCAGACGTAAAATAATGGGCTGGTACTGTAGGGGAGAGGTGGGAAGCCAATTCGGACGCGGCGCTGGTGACATTCAAGCACCGTCCTCTAAAATTGCGTGGATGCTAATTTACCGTGTCTGTTTCCGCTGTAATACAACCGCTCCTTCTGCAGAACAGAGCTTTGGGGCCGAAGGAGCAAGAGAAGCCTGTGCTCTGACACTACTATCGGCGCGGCATCTTCCTCCTCCTTTGAAAATTCTCTCAGCCTTTATGGAAGGATTTTACTAGAAGATGGATTTTGGTATCTCCAGAGACGGATGAATGAGTACGATTAACGGTTATTCATGTCGGTCCAGCGAGGAGCACGGCACTCCGCCATCACTACGTTATAACTGACTTCTAGGCATGTTTCAAATGACCGTTACTTGTTGCAGATGCTTTTATCGTGGCTTAAAGGTAAGCCAATTTGGCTAAATAAAATGTCCTAATAAGCGACCACTACTCATATGGGCAGTCAAGCAGCCTTCAGTGAATCGAATTCAAATAGCATAATCAAGCTTATCAAAGCTCAAACATAAAAATGTCAGGAATAATTAACGCTTTTAATTATTAACAAAGCGCTGCAGATTATTTACAAAAGTTCTAAGGTGCCTGTGTCTGCGTTTGATAAGAATTACTTGTCGTCTATTGGTTAGCAGCTAGTAGCCTACATTAAGGCACGGCGCCCTCAGTCTCACATTGGCTGCTCTGGTGTTTGCCATTTTGCCTGTAACTAGCAGGTGGGTCGGATCTCTTCGGGTTGTCGCCACTCCGTACTTTGAATTTCATTGTAAATGTTCGTTATCACCAAGTTAACAATGATAATGTGCACTTCGTTAACATCGATTGTTTACCATTCAGTAGAAATTTCCATATAAATATAGAAATGTTCGGCTATTGTCATGATATATTGTCGAACATGGCGTCATTTCCATAAAATCTTGTGGTTCTCTAGTTTCAAGATTTTTCCGGAGAAAACTGAGCATTGATGAACCGTTTATATTCGACTAGAATAGGTTTTCGGTTCGATTTTTGGTCTTTTTCATGAGTGGTTTACAATTTTAGTCACATAAAGTTTGCACTGATATTTATACGATTAAATCTTAGGAAGACTGAGTGGTGTGAAATCATCATAGATGCAGAAACTGAAAAATATGCTAATGACAAAGATATTCTATTTATTACCAACATTACAGGTATCTGAAATATATTGAGAATTACTATAAGGTTTTATGAGGTCTGCTGCACCTCGCCTAAGATATTAGATTCGACACATTTATTCCGTAATTCTGGTGGAAAATCGATGCAAGTAATACGATTTTATGGACTGTAGGAAGTAATGGACAAACTGGATAGAGGAAATTGCAGTGGGTCATTGTCCGACGACACCTCAAAAAATCCCTTCGTCCACTCAATTCACATCACTCCGGCTCGTCGGGTTCAGTTGTGGATTTTCGCCGTTTTCGTTTTTCCATTTCGTCTCCTCTTCATGCTAACCTTTCTCTTCCTTGCTCTCTTCTTTGGCGAACTGGCTACTCGACGAATGGACTTCTCCAAACCAATGACTGGTTTCAGGAAGCATGTTCTTCTACCGGCCTTCATATTCTGCGGTCGCATGCTTTTCACTAGCGGCGGTTTCATATGGGTAGGTCATAAGGGCAAACGGGCTAGCTGTGAAGAGGCTCCGATTCTCGTGCTGGCACCCCATTCTTCCTTCTATGACTCCCTTGTATTTCTCTCTCTGGGAATGCCTTCTGTTGTGGGCAAGACGGAAACGGCTCTCTCACCTATCGGTTCATTCATAAAAATGACACAGCCTATCCTGGTCAATCGAGATGATCCCTCGTCGCGGCAGAATACGCTTGCTGAGATCAGACGTCGAGCTCTCTCTAACGGCAAGTGGCCACAAGTTCTAATCTTTCCCGAGGGCACTTGCACTAATCGATCGTGCTTGATCAACTTCAAGCAAGGTTCGTGGGATCTAGGTGTCAAGGTTTCTCTACTCATTTACAGGTCCATCACCGTGAATGCGTTTTAGGAGCCTTCACTGTCGGATGTCCTGTGCAACCTGCACTTTTGCGATGGGGTTATGCAGTGGTAAGTTGACGAGAATCTGTACTTGTGTTCTGGGTTCTGATTTTTTCTTTCCTTCAGAGAAACAATTTTTCTGCTTTTACGAAATCTTTTGGATCAACATTTTCGGTGTAAGATGGAATTTTCTATCGGTAGCGCGGTAATGAATTAAAGTATCTGCATAAAGTTTGGGGTAGGGGTGCATAGGGTCGTCAATTCCAACCGAAATAAAAGCCGATTTTGTCACTAACTTTGCTCCAACAGCTGCCTGCGAAGCTGTATTGCGCTTCACTTAGTCTGTCACTATCGTTTATGAAGTGAATAGTATTGATATCTCAGGGTGGTAGCTGGGTTCATCCAAAAGGATGCAGGAATTTTTTAATAAGCTACATTCAGTAGTGTTTATGGGTTTGGCAGCTGGAGGCTTTAAATGGTAAAGTCATCGCATTTGATAACACATTCGATGACTCAGAGATACTTTTTTGGAATCGGAATCGAGGTGTAAAATACGTTGTCCCTAAGCTGTTAGGTTATTCTGCTTTTTAGTCAGAATCTGCTGCTTTCTTATAACGGTAGCTAAACAGGACAAATTACTTAAGCTGCGATTCTCAAGGAGGATCAAGCGTTCATAATATTTCTGCATCTATTGGCGAGACTAACTGGTGCTCGGCACTTTTTAGAAAACCCTATTTAGCTGCTATTTTCTCCAAATGTGAGCTTTTCGGTTTCATTGAAATGAATGAATTTTATCTTAAACGCTGCTTTTTAAGACTTATGCGACTTAGGAAACCAGCGTTTCTGATTTATCTGGCACTTTTTTGATAAGAATGTGCAGTTGCCTATCTCATGGTACCAAGTTGAGATCTAAAGTGCATACTCTTTAGTTGACATTGTTGCATTGCGTATTGTTTATCCTCTCCACTCCTATTTTTTGCGGGACACCTGTCCGCTGAGGCGACGGTGTTTTGCGGGGAGGCAGACGCCTTTTGCCTGAATGATGGTGATTAATTACTACCTTAAATGAATTTCGGCTTAGTGAACACGTCTATCTTTGCGATGTGAAAAAAATGCTTCTTTTGGCATCACAGGACAGCATAACATGGACATGGGACGGTCCAGGGATGTGAGTCGAACTCATGCTCAACTGACACTACCATTTGTAAAGGTTATGCTCAATGTGGACATCGCTATCTGCATTTTGTAGACTCGAGCTACTCTGGCTTACCGCTCTGCAACCTTACATAACATTGGAAATTGAGGTAAGCTCTTGCATAATCAGGCTACCACTAGGAGTCTTGTGGTAGATGGGGCTTGCAAGCCTTGTTCTTTTAGCTCAGTTAATTTATACCATTTTTTTACTACTTTGCTTTTATCAGTTTTTGCCGGTTTATATCCCCAATGAAGCAGAGAAGGAAGATCCTCAACTTTACGCTAAAAATGTGCGCGCGGTAATGGCTGAGTAAGTTGTGATTTTTTTCCACCACAATTGCTCTTGAACAAGATGTTCACGGTGGGCGAGTTCATGCCTGTGTCCAAATTGTCCGTTATGTAGATTCGGAATATGGGGAGCAAGTCTGCATTTTTCAAAATCGTATTTATACAAAGTACTTATACCTGGACATATGGGTATGAATTTAATGGAATAGCGACTTTCATATAGGCGTTTTTGCCATTTAATTAGTGGTTACATGAACGGTCATTTTTAGTTTCACAGAATGACTTGAACTGTACTTCCTGCCGACGCTTTGCTCGTTACACAGCTATTGAATACCCAAATTAAAGTTCTTATCGAGGAAATAAATGCTAGTAAATATTAACATTTCATCATCAAGGATTCAAAGCAGTTGTGATGCGTACATCATACCAGATCCGGTGTCGCCTGCTGGGCGACACCAACGTTTTTCTCGATTTTTTCCAGAGCTGCCAACCTTCCCACCACCGAACTCAGTTTTGATGATTGTCACCGCATTCACAAGGCTATTCAATTTAATCTCCCCATGGCTTGTTATATCAATGAATATGGCAAACTTACAAAGTATCTGTAAGTTCCGAATCATTGTTATGTTCTGTGACGTAGAATTACTGCTGAATTTTTTTACTTTATCAAAGGCATTGTAATTCCTACCCATTTATCATAAATAAAGGCTTTCCTCTAACCGTTTGACTGAACATCGGATGAACCAGAACGGAATGGTGAGAGTAGACGTGCTTTATGATTATAATTCCAAATTGGATGACGTTTATATTGGTTTCTTATAATAAGACCGATATCTAAGAGAAGAATTTGGGCTTGTGGGTTCTCGCCGATTTAAAGTACGATTAAGACACAGGCAACTATGCAAACTACCGGATCGGTTGCGTATTCCATAACGTTGAGGCTTTATGGTGGCGTTATTACGGACAAGAAGCTAACATTAGAGACGGAAAATATTTTCTCGCTCCGATTCGTGCGATTTCGTTTCAGAAGGACTATTTGTGAGAGTGCTTACATTGAACATAAAATGACGTTACGATACTAATTTATAAGAACTTGAAACCAACCCCAAGCCCCATGGATCGACTTGGGTCCTGATAGCATACAATGGGATCTTTGAAAGTTTTCTACTTTCGGATTTTCTAACTTATCTTTTATTCGTGACGCCTTCAATGTATGTTGTGCAATTATTTAACTGACTGAAGTTCCCTCTCCTGCCAGTTTTCGTGAGTCTCGATCCGAGGGCCACTTCTCGGCCAGTCGGGTACCCTACGTGACTGAACGTCTCCTCTCTATGGCTACAGCTGTGCGCGAGTGGCACACAGCGAATATGACGGCAGGAGGCTCCAAGGCCTTGACGTCCTCTGAACTGGTCCATATCTTCCTACCCCCAGGTTCTGAGGCTGCAAAAGACGTGCTGCAAGACGAAATCACCCTTCTTCGAAGGATGGTGGCTGTGCTTCCCAAAGTAAGACATTAATTTGTGCATTCGACATGAAGTCTGTAGCATTCAGTGGTATGTAAACATCAAAGATCATGTGACAAGGCGGATGCCCATATTCGGTAGCAGGATATAATTTTGTTTGATAGTTGCAATGCGATTCCGCTCTTTGATGTTGGTGGGATTCTTTAAACGCTTTGCATCGTGAATTGGGGACTTGGGCATTACGGCGGTTGTATAGTAAGCTAAAACGCTTTACCTTTCTGAATGTATTCTGCCAGACCCCTAATGGTCGCCCAGATATCCGTGTCCTGGTCGTTCATCTCTGCTTCCTAATGTTCTCGTCTTCGCCCTCGATTGCTATGCAGCTAGCGTTTCAGGTAGGTTATCTTATTTACTATACAGGCTTCTTTGTGTCACCTGGTGGCTGCCACGTAAGTGCATCAGTCAACCCGCATTGGCTCATCATATATTTAGGTATATTGTCGTGAATGTTAAGGCTAGAATGCTGGAGTTGCCCTTTTGGGGGAACCAAATTTTAGACAAGTTTTATTTGTAGGTGTCTTCGGATGACTCCATTATTATTTAGCTATGCGAACTAATAACACCTTATGCGGCACCAGTAAAATGCCTGAGAGGATGGAAAAGTTTAGTCAGTCTTGCTGTATGTGAAAGATTTTATCATTTTGGTAGGTAGTCATCGAATTTTCGACGCATGGCAAGTTTCCCATTTGATATCTCCGTTTTATGCTTCGATCTCACGCAGGCCTGTGATTTTCAATTTACTAATTCGCTGTTCGTGTGCCTGGTGCATTTATGCTGTTAATCCACCTTTTCCTTATGCATTATCAACATTTTTTTCTGATTTCTAACGCCCTGTGTAAAAACAAGTTCGGTATCTTCAGCTTAACTTGGGTTGTGATGCGAGTTCTCGTCGAAACTGTCGGCTAGTTTTCTCACACGACATTTACACAAAATTAGTGCTTTCAATGGCATTTAGCGCCGCGTTAGTAATGAAATAGCCAGTTAACCCTTCCCAGTTATAATTTAAGCAAGTATTGTTGAATACGACTAGTAGGCTGTCGTACTCCAAAGTCATTCGTTCTTTTATTTACTTATTTACGGTGTAGGCTTTTGACTCCACAAACACCAAATCTGATTCCAGTACTTTGTCTGTTGACTATGGTGACTGTGAAGACATGGATAAATTTGCCTCACGATCAATTTCGCCGGATGATGCGGTTCGAATTCTCACCGCCGCATATCATCTTTCCATCGAGGAGGCAACTGCATTGCTACCTTCTGGTGACACACAGGGTAGCTCTTATCAACGTGACCTCATTACACCGGGTTCGTTAAACAGATCTCAGTACTTTTTTACTGTCCATCTTCCGATTGCTATGCCTTCAATTTGTGTCTTAATCTTGGCTAGAGTGGATTTCGATTAGTTGTTTGGTTATGTTGGTGCTGGAGTGAAATCGAAAATGTTGTTTAGGCAACAATGTATGGCGCTTGCATTCACTTTGCCGGCAGTGCCTTGCATCTTGCTCATAGTCACTTACCAGTAGCTAACCGCTGCACCCCAAGTCCCAACAATGAAACCGCTGCCAAGCTGCTGAGCTCATCTTGGCACAGTCGATTTGGTGGGTTGTCTTCTCGTTCGCGGTGTGCTAGCAACTTGGAATGGGTAAGCGTGCCCACCATCTCCGTTGAAACAGGTCTCCTTGTCTTGTGCACATGTTGAGGTACCAGTTGGGCGGCCGAGGTGGAGTGTTGGGCTCAGCGACGGCAGATTTGGTGCAGACTGGTGGGTGCATTTGGTGGCGCCTCTGCAACAGCCACACTGTCGAGTCATGTCATGTCTGTGGGTAGCTGAGTCTCTCACTCCCACGCAAACGGTGTAGGCAGTCCTCTTTTAAACGAACAAAGCGGAATGTAATGTGCTCGTTTACACGAGGCTTTGGTGTCCATTAGATGGTGTCGAATGAGAGTGTTTGGACTGCTGAAATAGGCTGGATCGTGTCGCGATAGCTTTGCCACCTTTTGTACTCCATCGTTGAAACTGTTGTTGTACAGATGTTAATGCATAGGGTGCTTGAGGCTCTTTAATTTAGGAGAAGCCTTGTACAAGCAGGTAACTCATTCTACTTTTTGAAGGTGTGGTTTTTTTTTTATTGTTCTTGTTTATGGTTAATCTGTGAGGAACCTTTTACTATTGTCTGAGTCAGCTATTCTATCAAAATGCATCGGAATGGACAACTTCCTCCAAATTAGTCCTTGTATCGCCCGTCTACTTGACATTGTTTGTGTGCTACGGTTTTAACTTTTGCATGGTAGGTTATCTGGCTCAAACGATGAACACTCATCATCTCAAACTCGTTTCTATTTATGACGACTACAAGAACGAACTCAGTCGTCTTCGTGGTCAGCCGGAGCGGGCCATATCGGAGACCTCGTCCACTTCTAATTCGATCTGCAGTCTCTTGAGTCTAGGGAACGAAGAAGTTGTTTTCAAGCCAGGACATCGCAGGGAAGCCTCTAACACTTCTGTCGCCTCCTCTACAGTTTCTCTCGAACAGGCAGTCGAGACCGATCTTCGGAACCGAGTTGTTCCTCAACTCTCAAACTGAGATCTCAGATCCATTCCATCCTCACCACCTGTGCTGTCTTCCACCTCTTTCGTGTTATGCCTTTTGGTTCACTCTCTTATCTTATTCTTTAAACTGATTGATGGATCGATCTGTTCTTTTCTTCCTGCCTCAATCTTTTACTGCTGCATTTTCATAAGGCATGCATTTATGCTACTTCTGGTTTACTCCTATGTGCCGTACCGTTTATATGGGGATGCACTTACCTCTCTTGTTATGTATCCTCTTTCTCCTTGAATAAAAAAATTTTATCAGAGTTGTCATTCCTACTGCTGCTGCCACTCTCGCTGCTTTCGTTGTCATTGATAATTTCTGCGCCTAATCCTCATGTGCACTCGTACTTAAAAGGTGCTTTTGCTACTCCAACTTGCTCCTCCTTGTATAGTGTTGGTTTGGTGAACTTGCTATTACTTGTTTGCGATTTTCCCACCTATGGTCCCTTAAACTGCATATAACACTTTACAAAGAAAATAATAAGACCCAATGCAATTACGTGCAGTTTTTTGAAATCATTGCCTGCCAGAATTTTCGGGCTTGTGTTTAGACAGCTTCAGCATTGTATCAGTCTGAGATGGAGAGATTAGGGGTCGTTACGTGACTTTTCCTTTCCAGGTTAATAAACTTCATGGAAGTTGACAGTTCAGATGACCTACCCTCAGAAAAGGAGTGTCTTAAGCGCTGTGAACTGTTCTCACACCTCACCAACACTAACAACGCACTGGCCATGATGTTCCTCCAAAAAGCATCTTGGGACGTCGAGGTCATTGAAGCAAATGCTTTTACTTAAATCTTATCAGTATGTGTATGCAATTCTCATTCGCATTTTCCCAATTTCAGGCAGCAGTACAACAGTTCTACGAGACCACGAACGATTCTCCGGAGAGAAGCGGGTATTTAAGCTTTATGTTCCTTTTCGATGGCATGGTCGGTTCGGCGAGATTCTTGAGGAGGTCGAATAGTACACAGCAGTCCGACATATTTTTACGAGATATTAGTTGGCTGAATTATGTGGGCTGAAGGGAATTAAATGTCGAGCACACCCAATTTTGAATAACTTCTGTGCTAAAGATGTGTCTCCTCGACAGTTCAGTTCGGAATGGATTTTATCCGCGTGCAAAATTTGCATTGTGCGTTACCTCTTGTTTTAAATGAGGTGTGCTCTTATCATAAGCACAGTAAGTGTTTTCAATCGGAATAGGGTCTGAGTTGTTTTGATGAGTTTGAAGCGATTGACTGAATGGTATAATTTTTGTTAACCTCCAATTTGAGTATATGAGGAAATGCAGAAAAACATGCAAAATTGGTTCCAAAACCAGGTAAGAAGTGGTGAATATGTTTCTAAAGGCGTTGTGTCGTTTTATGGTTGAGTAAACTGAAAAGTTACTCTAGTGTGAGGTTGATAATTTTGGATATTTTTATGTTCTGTTTTTTGAGGAAACGCAGGCATAAAGGGTTGGCCAATGTGTACCTCTTCACGACGCAGCTTTTTTAGAAAGCATAATTATTTATGAATAAGGTCTGGGTCTGTGCCACCGATTTCGACACGGGTAGTAGCTTTTGGGATGCAAACAAAGTCGACAAGCCGAAGCGCAAGTCCGTGAAAAAATTAGACAATACAGGTTATTTCGCTAGGATTTTTTAGCATAAGTGGCAGTTAAAGCGCTATCTGGATACTGGCATATTTTCCTGAAAGATCAAACAGAAATGCTTTGCTATTTTCCTATTTTGTGGTTCTCAAGGAACTTTTGCCATTTGTTCAAAGGTGTGTTAAAAGGCTCTCATTGCAGACTGACGATAAAGTACAAAAATGTCACATTGCAGTAAAATTTAAAGGCACCGAACTCAATTAGTTTTTTTCATTTCTGATCTTTTGTGTCCTACGTGATATGCTTTCATGGTGGAAATAACCTTACAAACAGGAATAGGTATTTCAGTAAGGTTCTTTTCTACTGTCACTTTTCCTGAATTCATTAGTTCCAAACACCAGTCTCCTTCTTTCGCTCCCATTATTGACCTGACCTTGGACAGCGATGAGTCGGTAGTGCTAAATGAGGGGAGTGACGCCGAGGAGGAAGTGGTGGACAAACAACACGCACACCTCTTTCGCCTCCTTTCCTGGAACATTGACGGATTAAGTGTACAGTCGCGCGACTTTCGAACACCTGCGGTGGTTACGCTCATCAAAAGGTTAGTCAGACAACTCCTTTTCTGTTATATGAGGAAGGAGTTGGATTTGTTCTCTATACCACAGGAAGGGCTCGCAAAATGGGAAAAACCATGCAACCAACTTACCTATTGCTTGAATTTTGTTAACGGATTTAGTCGATTATTGTGGATAAGCGTGTTCGGTGACTCAAACTGATCGTCTCATGCTTCTCTATGCTTGTTTCACACCCAAAAGTTGTTGGTTTATTTTTACACTGAATAGAGCAGCACTCAGCCGCTTTTGACCGATTTCGTCTTCTTTTCGAACTGAAATCGTGGAAAGTATGGCCAGTCAAAGTTGCCTTATTGAAGCTTGAAGTAAGATTCGATCAAGGATACTACGTGCTCATTCAAATCTATTTGGAGACATCAGATTTGTATGTCATTATTTTACGATTTATAGCGAGAAGTTCCACGTGGTTTGCCTGCAGGAGGTAGTAAAGGAAACTCTGGTATACATAACCGAACAATTAACTTCGCTGTATGAAGTCTTTCATCCTCAGGACGTTCAATGTCGGGACTACTTTCCCGTTATCTGCATCCTTAAGCACCCTAGTCTCTCAGTTCTCCCAAATACTTTCCAGGTAGGCTACTTTACTTCCTCAATTGGGTGCGAAAAGGATTAGGTTATCGTTCTCTGATTATACTGTAAGAGAAGAAATTGGTCTTGAGATGTATGAGATTTTCGAAATTATCAAAGCGTTGTTGCTGGGGTAAGACTTTCCCCATTATTAATTTAGCTTTTCTAAGTTGTGGTGGTCTGTAAACTCTTTTTGGGGATTAGATTGCCATCAGGAACTGTGCCATAATTATGAATTTTTATAATGCATGTAACCACTTCGTTCTGAACCTCACGACCGTTAAGCCCGACTCATTTGTCTTTGAAGATGTCATAAGATCATGAGTAGGAGGGGAACCTTGCTATAAATCATGCGGAAGGTTTAAGACGCTATTTAGCCTGGAGCACTAGAGCAAACCAGATCGAGATGCTGGGCGAACATATAGAGTCGCATCATTTTTTGTTAACAGTTAACTTATCTCTAAAGATGGAATTAAAGGCGAGGAATGCGGCAATGGCTTTGCTGCCGCTTTCATTAGCGTTATTCCACATAAGTAGATCGTGTCAACACTGCGCGACACGCCATTGATAAATCTGTAGTAACAGGTTGTACCGAGCTGATTAAATTTAAAGCTAAAATCGTTTGGGCTGTAGTTGACAAACTGTTTTTGAGGCGACCACTTAGGCAGTTGGTGTTGGAAAGTGGAAAACATCCGCGTGGCTAAGGTGTTTCTACTAGACTTTGTTAGCCCTCTTTTAAATGCGTATCAAAGAGCTGAAAGCTGAACTGTAGAGGCAGACTTGATCTCTACTGGCATCATTGGATTATCTTTCTCGTCATTAGCTCGAGGTTGACGCTTTCTGGGACTGGCAACTATTTGTAAAGGCCACTGAACATGCGGTTCACTGCATATTGTAGGTGACTCATTTCCCTGGGTCGGTGATGCAACGTATTCTCCTGAGTTTGGACGTGGTTCTCGACGTGCCACGCCTTCTACGCACCAATCCAAACGCCAAGTTTTGGAAGCGCATACCACTGCGGGTTCGTTTGTGGACATCGCACTTGGAGAGTTGCAATCAGTTTGCTGATGAGCGCAAGTGCCAACTCAAACGTGTTTGGGAGGACATGCGGGCTGCAATACATCCTATCTACAGTACCACTAATGCTCCTCTCTGTGGCATTTTTTGCGGCGACTTAAACATTCGTGATAAGGAGGTGTGTCGAAGAGCTAATAACAGGTCAATTTGTTTGCTAGTCTTACAGGTTAATATAAAACAGCAGCGTTCGAAAGGCTTGTGAGTTCCGTGAAATTAGGGAACATGGAGACCAACTCTCGTCTGTGTTAATACCGGTTTTCTACTGAATGATACCATAGCACTTACTAGAGGATGATCAGAATTTTCAAAAAGTTAGTCTTTCCTACACAAGTACATCTGTGGTTGTATCTTGACTTGCAAAAGGTCATGGTTCGAAGTGAGGCACGACTATAATTTGGCTTTCCTTTTATGTTGCAGCAAACTTTTTATTTGTTGGTGGATCCAATTTTCACCAATGCTATAATGCGAAAGTTATTGGAACCAGTAGAAAATGGCCACCACTGTCACAGAAATAGTTCGTTCTATCAATGAACTAAATTCTTCGCCACCGAATTGACTAGGTATTTGTAGCTTGTGATCTGCATTGCCATTACAAGCAAAAGACAAGAGAAAAAAACAAAAATTCTTTTGAACCGATGAGGTGAAAGGTGGATAGATGCCTATCATAAAGGTCCCAATTATTACTGAAGTAAATAGTGTAACAAAGTTTGATGACAATATAAAGTGGAGAAACGCTTTCAGTTTTAAGTCGAGTAAGAGTAAGTTTTCATCTTCCATATTGCCGTCGGAGTTAGATAAGAAAGTTCGTTTATTCAGTAAATGATGTAGAGCATAGGGAGTTGTTACGAATCGACATTTCAGCTTCGATGGGATCTTGTGGGTCTCTCATTGCAACTACCAGATACATTTTCAATAGCCATTTGTTTTCTTTTAGGTCAGAGAGCTGGGTGGACTACCGGAGGGGATGGTAGACGTGTGGGAGGTGTGTGGAGCTCGACCTGAGGCCAAGGCGACCTGGGATCCAGTGCGCAACCCAAATCTTCAGCTGGACCAGAAGGAGTCGAGCGCTTCTCGCAGCCGTCCACCTGCCCACGGTTTGCGCTTCGATCGAATGCATGTGCTAGGTCGTGGATTGCACCCGGTAGATTTTGAGCTGCGCGGTCTTGAACGAGTGCCGAGACATTCCCATTTCCCCTCCGATCACTGGGCCATTCTGGGGCACTTTGATTTTGATCCGCCCCCCACTTTCCATTAACATCGCTTTGGCTGCTTGAGGTTAAGCATGGCGATACTACCTTGTTCATAATGCTTTGCTACGAATTTTGCTTCAGTTTTTAGTTGGCGGCAGTCAGGTTCACGAAGTTTTTCTGGTTTACCGGATAAAGTGCCAGAAAGATGAAGTACGGGTTTGAGGCTATCAAAAATCCTCGTCACTCCCAACCATTTTTTCGTCAAAGCACTCGTGTATTTAAATGCAGTGTTGTTTTAGAACTAATCCTGCCTCCTTCCAATATTTCGAGCTTATGTTTGTCAACATTTGATAAAACCTGTGTAAAAATTGCAAGTATTCTTACTGTATTCTGCAAAGTCGCACAAACCTATCGGTAGAATTTAACTTTTCTCTTTAGCTTCCGAATTTAAGTTCTCTCTAATGGTAAATTGGAAAGCAAATCAGTTTGACAGGCGGCAGGCTATGATAATTGACATTTTGAATTTGTTTTTGCTTGCACTGGGGTAAAGTGGTACGAATTATGCGAAGTAGTGAATCCTAGTCTCCATGGTCATTCTGTCAAATAAATAAACATGTTCTTGAAATGTTGGCTGTGTAAACACCTGGAACTCCTCCATTTCTGTCTTGATTTTGATCTTTAAAACTATCGACATTTTGTGGCTGCATTATTCCCGAACCTCATGCATATTTTCAGTCTTTGCCTTCCTGTTGTTGAAAGTGAGGGTTAAATTTTGCTTTAAGGCTAAAGTCGTAATCAAGTCGTCCCTGTGTCGGAATTCAACATTGATTTCAACTAGATAGATGCTTTATTTACTCCTTTATTTTTTATCTCAGCGTATCTGATGTGCGAATAATTGTTGACGTCAGTCAATGCTTTTTAATGCAATTTAATGTTGGAACCGATCTGGATCTGGGAGGTGCGACCGTTAGGGGAATGGAAGAGCAAAGCCGTATTCGGTAACCGGGCGCTTACCGACCAAGTGCCAATTATAGCAATTCACTTGTAAAGTTATGTTTCATAGGCTCCTCCAATTGCGAATGAGAGACGGATGACGACTCTGGAAGCTTGCATCCTGATGAAGAAGCTGGACTTTTTGCTATTGTCTATGGGAATGAGGATTAAAAGGTTGTTTTGTCATCTCGCAGGGAGAGCCTTTATTTAACACAAACAGACAAATAAGAATTTGCCTGTCGTCGCATCAACGAGAAAGAGAAGGCGTGGTTGCAGTCATTCTTGAAACAAGGAAAACACCAGTGCACTATACACGCCCTGCTTTTATCAGTGAGTTTATCGTAATGACACCAAATTGAAAACAGAAAATAAGAATGTGCATAAATGAACGAGAAAAGTTGTGAATGTGTTATAAAGTTTCTTCTGGAATTTCCCGCTTTTGCACAGCTAAATTTGCGATTAAACGGAATTTGTTTAGCGTGTCGTGTCGTTCACATATAACTGAAAAGACTCAATTTCGACATTGCTAAACTCTTCCCGGCAATGTCTCTGAATCTGGGTGTTGTGGAGGTTTGTTGGTCATCTTGTGTGTTCACCGGAAAGCAGTCATGTACGGGGATGAGTAGCAGGTTTTGTCACCTGTCCCTTCGCCCTGTTTTCACCTCACTGCCGTCTAGCTGTCTGTCTAAATTTTATCTAGCCAGTATGGAGGAACAGTCATCTCGTCTTCGCGTAATTGTGATCTATGTGTCCCATAACAAACTTTTGGAGCAGTTTACGGCCAGCAAAAGTAGGGACACATTCAGACCTATTATGGTTCATCGTCAATTTGCTCATCCGCAGGACGAGTACTTCTTCCGCCCAGATGAGGTTTATAGTTCAACAGCATAAATCATGATAGACACCCTTCAAGGTCACATCCATTACTTTCGCTACCAACTTTGAGGGCTAGGACTTCTTTGAAGGCAAAAGATGAAGCGGTGCTCGGATAGAGTATGTGCTACCGAAGTGTTGAAGACTGGCGCCCTAAACCACGAAACCAGCCAGTGTCGAAGACTGAATCTGCGAATTGAACAATCAATCAAACTATTGCATTTGCTTAATTTATGGATATAATTCTTGAATTTAGCTAATAAACTCACAAATGATTAAAAGGTAGGGGTTGTGGCGTGATGAAGGTGGGAGAAGGGTTTATTGTGGAGGCGGTCAAAAGGTAAGAAAAGGGTTTATGAGTTGGTTGAGAGTTGTTAGTAGGTCTCATTTGATCCTAATCAAGATGCCATCGGAGCTAAGCCTGATTGTATGATTACGTGAGCTTCAATTGTCTGAGCGGTAATAAGAAGATGCGGTTTATGTCTGGAGAGATTAGGTCTGAGAGAATAGCGATAATGAGAGTTGCAGTTTAGTGAAATTCATTCTGGCCGTCAGCTCAAAGGCTAGGAGTGATGATTATGTGCTCATGCAAATGACTCTTAGTAGGTCGCAATTGAAGACATAATCAATGTGATTTACTCGACAATCGAAACGAATCTTGGTGGTGGCCACTATAGGAGTGCGAGCCCAGTGATCGTGTCATTATTTTTCCCGCCCCTTTATATTTTACTAATGTTAACTCGGAGGTCTTTATTTATCATTCTGATGTATTTGCAAATGAGAAACATTATAAAGTTGACCATCCCACGGATAATAATGCTCGATGCGGATGTTGTGACACCATTTTCGTCCAAACACTCATTCGACACCATCTAATGGACACCAAAGCCTCGTGTAAACGAGCACATTACATTCCGCTTTGTTCGTTTAAAAGAGGACTGCCTACACCGTTTGCGTGGGAGTGAGAGACTCAGCTACCCACAGACATGACATGACTCGACAGTGTGGCTGTTGCAGAGGCGCCACCAAATGCACCCACCAGTCTGCACCAAATCTGCCGTCGCTGAGCCCAACACTCCACCTCGGCCGCCCAACTGGTACCTCAACATGTGCACAAGACAAGGAGACCTGTTTCAACGGAGATGGTGGGCACGCTTACCCATTCCAAGTTGCTAGCACACCGCGAACGAGAAGACAACCCACCAAATCGACTGTGCCAAGATGAGCTCAGCAGCTTGGCAGCGGTTTCATTGTTGGGACTTGGGGTGCAGCGGTTAGCTACTGGTAAGTGACTATGAGCAAGATGCAAGGCACTGCCGGCAAAGTGAATGCAAGCGCCATACATTGTTGCCCAAACAACATTCTAGCCCTTCTAGCATTACAATCCATTGCACCATGATTAAAACCAACAGTTTTAGTTAGTTGGGAAAATAAAACATGTCTGTACAGGTGGTTGTTATTCTTATGATTTCCAAATTTCGCAAGTGTTGTAGGGATAGTTGGCCTTAATATTATTGAGAATGTCTGCACTCATGTATTTTTCTCTTAGCTTGAACAAGACAATACATGTTCGTTGTCATGGTGTGAAGAAAATTCACATCCTTTTTCGCGTTGTCTTTCTACTTTTTCACAACCTGAATGCCTTTATAGGGCACCGTAAAGCACTCTACGACGGCATATTTTGCTTCATGATTATCACTAATTCTTCGTCGTCGACTTTTGCTTTGGCAATGCTGTTCGTCGCCTTCACTTCCAAAGACAACTTTAATTGCTCACTTCACCAGACACTTCGCATTTTTGCGCCAAACTCTGACGATGGATTAAGGGAGAATGGGATCATTTATCCAAGCACTGCTATCATCAAACAAAAGTACACCATTTTGGCTCACATTAATTCAAAAGACGCCAAAACTCTGAAATTGTTTAAAGCATGCTAGATTCAACGGAGTGCTGAGTTGGTGATGTACAAATACAAAAAGTATTACCATGAAGCACTTAATACGAATAAATTAAATTGGCAACATGGGAAATGAATGCCAGTCTCAAGGCTTAGATTGTAGTATTGCATTCACTTTACCTTTACGCGTAACGCCTCAAGTTATTCCTAAGGGCACACTCGTGCAGACAAAGGCTCCTCGAAGTAGAGGCTACAGACATGGCTGGCACGCAACCACAACCCTCTAGCAACTCAAGTCGCATGGAATCGGAGTCTGCATGGCTAAACATCCAGCTACGACAAATGTTCTTGCAACACAATGCGATAATTTACGCAAGAAAATACCAGTAACTAACTAATGTGACTTGAAAGAGGGAAATGATGGGAGATTACAGTAGTCAGCTTTTTTGGCGGTTACCACTTAATCCAATTCCAAACGTGGATGGTCAACTAAAGAACCATAGTTTTTAAAAACGCTACAATTTCACAAATTGGTGCTTTTGAGGCAATTTGTGTGCGCTCTAAATTCATGGGATTTTTACTACATTCCCATTTCCACAGTTTTCCCCTTCCGTTGACAAGTGAGCGAATCATGCAGCAGTGCCGTGGAGCACGTTGAATAAATCTAATTTGTTTTTTATCAAATGTTTGCCAACGTGATTTGTGCTGGGCTCTGAAGTCCTCTAAATTACGAAAGTAGACGTGACATTTATGGAACCACTGGAGACAAATAAAGGGTTGGGTGAAGTCACGTTTTTCCATGTTTTTTGAGTTCATTTGTTAAAATATAGTTTGGAAAACTAAGGAACGGAAAGTGCTGACGTTAGCACTTCATGTTGTGGAAAACTGCTCAACTGTCTATGCGGATAAGGTGTCGTCAAAAGATGTCCGCCTAGCCTCTTTGAGTCCTTTAGCAGACCATTAAAAAGCTCTCTCCTTCTCTCTCTGAGCACCAGTTTCGACACCTCGGTTAGTCGAACTCATGGACCAGTTGCCACAACATAGATACCGACGCGCGAAAATAGCTTACCAGCAAAATTCTTTACAATTTAGACGACACCTGACCGTAACCTCACCGATTTGTATCCGAGCTATTACACTCCATCTGGAGTTCTTATTTATTTTGAAACTATGCGGAAGAGCAATCGAATGTGCACATCCTCACTTGTGTTCATTATTAGCCATAAAAGGCACTAATTCAAAAGGGCACTCATTTGTTAAAGAATGTTATTTAAAATAGAATCTTAGGGTTTGCATGTTAATTTCAATGACACCCCTATTTAAATAGAGTAAACATTTAACCAACGGTTTTTTGCAGTGCGTAGCAAGGTTAATGTTAGTTCTGCCATTAATGGATGTCCGGAAGAATAAGGAAGTGAGGTGATCGGCGAAGGCGGACGTCATTTTAATCCCACCCGTCAGCATCTGCAGGCTTAGTATTAGGTAAAAAAGATCAGAACAGAAGTCTCTTGGAGTTGAATACGTTTTCCATGGCCATATATTAGTAGCATTGGGAGACAACTGTGAGGAGAAGACAGCCACAATGCTATGGTAGAATGTGTTCTATTGGTGTTTAGGTGGGTCGATTTGCCCCCGATTTGATCCGGGTACCGTGCTGTTAGGCGGAAGTACAATTGAATCGTCTTTTAATGTTCGTGTAAGGAAACTTGATTACCTGATCAAAGCACTACCGTGGAGATCAAAAGCAGCACATAATTTAGTGTAATCGCGTAGATACCAATGTCCCATTTTACAAATGCTTTATTCTACCATCTGCGTTGGAAGCTGTGTCCAAGTAGTGCGCCAATTAACAGTACAAAGGTGTTGCAAAATCGCAATCAACACAGAAAACTTTTTTCCAAACCCAGCATCAATGCAGGTAAAACGAACCGCAGAGTCTCCCACCCATTCTACCAGCTCATTCAGTCGTTGAGTGAGCAATTGTCAAAGTAACTCGCAAATGACAAAGTGTAGCAAAATTCGGCAATTGAAGGCTTTTCAAGACAGTGAAAGAGAAAAGAACAATGCCTCTACTCATTATGAAACAACTCAGATCCAGACAAAAACATAGATGAGGGAATTAATGAGAGGCAATGCATTGTGCGAATGGAGCCTAATCTGCGGTCGCCGACGATAACAAACCTTCCTGATGACTGTTTTTGGTAAACCATCTCCTCTCTATAACAAGCTAAATTAGCATATGGCACCTGCAGGAGGAAGTTGGTCTGCTCACCACAACAGAAATAGGAGATGAAGATCATCAAAAGAGTAATTACCATTGGGCAGTTAGATGCTACTTTCGCCCTCCTACCAAAATGGCTAAGCACAAGGTCTTAATGAGCACGAACTGCTACGATGTGCATTGATGCACACCCAGGCCCCTGAACAGTGCCAGGAGGTTTTGCATATAACTTTGAATTTTGTGATATTCATTGCCGCAAGGGTCCAAATTCAACTTTGCTCTCATTGGCGGATTGGGCATGTTGCGACCACCTAGCCGTGGTGCATAAATTATTCAAGCAAATGTGATCCGATTATGCCTCAAAACCCACAATCATGAAACACGAGTTTTCTCTTAGATTAATAACCCTAATTTTAAGCGTTATGAAATATTGCAAAAGCGTTAAATTTGAACTTCGTAATTTGAGGCAAACTAAAGTGTTTGCACAACATTTGCCAGCTTTAAAATTTCATTCAAGAGGAAATGGTTATATAGACCTACGTCACCTGGCAAATGGGGGAATTCATGTGAGGACTACAGGCTCTGGGGCAGTCATTCATGAGCATGATGTAAAAAATGTGATTACTAAGCCATCAGAGATGACACTTTAATTGCGATTGTCAATTGCCTAAAATTCATTCAAAGTAGTAGTTTTAGGTTCATTCTCCATGCAGCAGAAAATGTGCCAGACACAGAGGCCTTATCAGAACGACCTCCATTACGTCCTGGAAACAAAACAGTTCAACTACGCAAGACACGAAAAGCAGGAAGGAGAGTGTGGCTGAATTTTGTTACCTGTTTGACGGTAAATTGCTTCATTTGAAGCATTTTTAAAATTCGATGCCAAGGTAAAAATGCACAGAAGCACTGCGGAACTGTCATTAGAAAATGAAAATATTCATTGTAAACGGTGGTATAAAATCAAAGCTACTAGATGTAGACTTATTCGTGTTGAAGGATTAAGAGGATTCGAAGAATTGCTGGTCTTACTGAGGCATCTTTGGAGACAGTGTAAAGGCCACCTACATATTCTGCGTTCCATTACAATGAACTTATAAATGCATAAAATTGCAATGCAGTATTGAGAAGTCAATTTATGCAGTGGCAAGTGATGTTTTTGCTGTGAAACTTTAAATTTGATAGTCACGCTCCTCTTGGTTCCGCCATATAGTAATTAAGTCATTAATTTAGATGTCGTGTCTCATTCGTGCATTCTCTCAACCTTTTGTTGGTGGAACATTAAGGCGACTTCTGCGAATCGCTGACGCCGTACCTTTGTCCATTATATGACCAAAGCCCTTCGTCCGACTGTCTAATAGCCTTATGGAAGTTTGTCCTGGTACCAGTGGCAATTTAACTCGTAGTCTTCAAAGCTAATGCCATACTTTGTTCCATAGGGCGAAAGCACATCATTTGCCAATTACTGAAACAATTGGTGTTATATTTCATGCATTACGACGCAGTCGCCACTGGCATGACAATACCTCTGAATGCATAATTGTGCACATGCGTCCTCATTCACGACATCTTTAGTAAGCAGAAGCCTCTTAATGAAACTTAAAGATTGCAGGCGCGTTGATTGGTCCAGGCGTTGGTTAATTGTCCAATAAGGTAAATTTATTTGATAAACCAAACAGGATAGGGGCGAGAGGAAGGTGTAACACTGCTACCACCATCCAGCCCACCTCCCCACCTCCGTGCAGCACCCGTCAGCATCATTACTACCGCCTCCAACAACATCACCTCCACCATCACCACCATTACTACCACCACGGCTACTACATTCCTAGGTCCAAACTTTTCAATGAAATAGTAGCAAATCGGACAACAGCTTCCTACTCATAGATTGTGTGACCAACGGGCTGTGGTGGGAATCTTCTATAGACTCTTTAAAGGTCGGGTCATATAAGTGGAACACAAAGTAGACAAAACAGTGGTTTAATGAAGGTTTTTCGGACAAAAGGAATTCCTCCTTCAAACGTGCTGGTATGTCTCGCAGACCTTTCTATTTCATTCCAATAATTGAGTCAGCGTATATTTTATATAATTCTTAAAAATTTTCATTAACCAGTTTATTTGTAAATATTTACACTAAGAAAAGAATAGGTCTGCATAAAGTTTCGTTAAATCCTTATTGTTAAAAGCGTAGCATGATCTTTGGTTGAGTTATTTTGATGTTTTTAAGTACATTTTCTGTTGTAAATCAGAAACAGAACGCCACCTTTATGCATCGAAGTGGAATAAATTTACGTGCAAATAATAAATGTTTTTAACCTAATCTTCGACGCCGGCTGGGGGCAGTGCCCACGCTTCACCAGCTGCGTGTCCCCAAGAGCTGGAGAAAGTGCTACCCCGCCATGAAATACGTCCCATTTTGGAGAAACAACTACAGTGACCTTTTGTGCAAGTCGTGCCCCAAAGTTCCACTCAAAGTCACAGGCAACGTGGCAATAAATTGCATCCTCAGGATACAGGAGTTAAATGTTAAATTAACTCAAAGTTTAGATGAGTGCGCTTAAAATGAGGCTGACTGACAAGATCTGGAGCCGAGTTGGAAGCTCAAAATGATGGGTTTTGCAATCACTGTTGGGTTCTCTTCTAAACTCTGCAAAAATTAAGAGTGAGCAAGGGATAATCCTACCAGTTCCACATTCTGTAAAGAACTTTAAATGTCCACTTTCTTGTAAGTAGTTGCACTGATTTAAAATTGTTGACACGAGTAACTGTCCACAACCTATAACTACCATCTTTTACCATTTCTATTATGTACTGGCTAACGCTAATTATCAGTATAATCGAGCGGACTGTAAAAAAGCCAGTAGAATCGGACAACTTCTCAAATGGAAATCGTTGGAACGGAACTCATCTGTGTGGTCAATCTTAGCCAAGAGTGGATAGCAGAGTTCGCTGATGGTGAGCTAGACATAGAGTAGGAATGAAGGATGTGTATCTTTCAGGTGAGGTAGCTATAGGGATTGGAGGTGTCCGAGATGTCACGACTCAGCATGCGTCGCTACCAACTGCAATCAGGGGAGATGCCCGAGCCACTGCAAAAGGTCGCCATCCTGGGCAAGCCTGTGTTCAGCGCCGGTCTCGAGCTGTGTTGGCAGGTCTACGAGGCCCAACTGCAGGAATCTAAGGAGGTAAAATCTGTTCCTTTGAAATCGTTTAAGCCAAGTTCCAATAGTTTTTAGGGCAACCATGTAACTCGAGTCTAGCGTCTCCAATGCCGGACTTTAGTGGCATTATTCGCAGGGTTTTGGCACAAAACACTTAAGCCTCTTAACGTTTAATTAACCAAGGATTATTATGCACCCAGAACACAGATTCCCCAACTTCACACCCATTCAAGTGGGTTTGAACACAGCAAATGGGACCAAGGACTTTCGCACTTTTAACGGCCATCACCTCAGAAGTTATGCTATGTGTATTGTCCTCCCATGTTAAGCTGTATTCATTTCAAGGTTGTCCAAGTCACTCCATAATTTGCTAGGCTAAATAAAAACGTAGCACTAATGGAATGTGCTGCCCCACTTCCGAAGACACTTAAGCCTTAAAATTTATGCTACAGAACCTTGCAATCACCAGGATGAGGGTCAAAAAAGTCCATTTTCTGAGGTGAGAAAACAAAATTTGTTGAAGTTACGTTAGCAACGTCTGTCATTCTAATCCACTTGTTGACGAAAACATTGCTGGATGCCTTTAGACACACACACACACACAAGCGCATTTGGGGTTACCAGAACAATTTGTCATTATACACTTTGCTAGATTTGTTCCGCTTTCGTTCTTACAAAACTTGTCACCGACAAAACGGGGAAAATGAGGAAGCGCGAAATAAATTTGGAAGTCTGTCGCAAAGAGATAGGAACCCTACGCAATCTGCAACACAAAAGAATCCTCAAGATATTCGCCGAGTCAGAGGAGAACTGGTAAGAGCTTTCAAGGGAGACATCAATAGCACAAAGGCATTATTTGTTTCATGCAATTCTCTTTTTAAGTACGAGAATTTTGCCTTCAGTCCGTTCAAGCAATATGATCTTTTTTCAAGAAACCGATCGGATAGTGATAAAGAAATCGTTTTTTTAAACTTAGTTACTATCTCTCCTGGATCAGTGAGCCATTAGCAGGCACACTCCAGTCCATTCTGAACAAGTCGCCACGAGGGGTAAGTAAAGGTCACTTGCTGCACAGCGTTCGGGTGTATCATAAGTGAGGCGTCACTTTGAATGGGACAATGTAATCTCGAGGTCCTAGTCTTCTCTCTCTACTACTACTTTTGAAATTCGTAAATATAGAATCAGTCACAACAAGAGCTTGCATCTCATAGTTGGAAGAATTACTCCCTATTTTTAAGGTATGGGTCAGCATGGAATCTGTGTGGGGTCTCTGGCATTTGGAGTGCTCGAATGAAATGTGATGGTTGGCGTCGTAGTCAAAGTGCACTTGAAGGTGTCGGAATCATTTTTATGAAAGTCACGACCTTCTCATCTACGACTTCCTTTCGCACTATTTCAAAGACGGGGTGATTTGAAAATCTTTGGGAGGCACTTTGTAATTGCGACACACATTAAGTTCAGGTGAGGTTCAACGCCACTTCACATCTAAATCCACTTTTCGCTTGTAGCAACTTTTGGGAATGGAGCTGGAAATCATACTTGGAGTTTTTCAAGTAAGTATAGTGGCTTTTTGAGTCAGTAGGAGTGTGTGCAGTCAGCTGACCCAAACTAGAGCCTAAATGGTTTGCTTGGTTAAGGAAATGAATGAGTGAGAGAGGCAGCTGCTTTTAAATTATCGCTTTAAATTGCCACATTTCCTTTCCGTTTTCATTGCGTGGGAAACAAACTTTGGAGAGGCAAATAGCCATTAAGATAGAATTCACCACAAAAGTAAAAATAAGGCAGCAGAAATTCTTTACCTTTGTTACACTCATGCATGCCGCATAGCATCCTTAATCACAAAAACTAAATTAGAAGAGCTTTTTACTGTTAAGACCATCTATTCCTCAAGTAGGATAACCTTGGAGTCTAAATGATACGTGCACAACCAGCAGCTGGAGGTCCAATTGACGCCTCCTGCTGAATTGAAGCTTTTTAATTTCACATTGGCGACTCCCCTAGCCTTTCTCTATTGCTCATTCCTACAGTCAAATTGTTTTCACAAGGCATCGGCGTTGCAAACCTGCAATGCTATCCACTCTGAATTCTTTGAATCCTCACACCTAGGCTGACGAAACCCACTCACCCGTTTCACCACTGGTCCTAACTACAGTTCATGTAGCTAATCGTGTCGAAAATGAAAAGTTGTAGCCCTTGGCTCCTAGTCGCTTGCCAAAGGTCAGTCCTACTTCAGATGTGATAAACAATGTAACCTTTATACAATGCTCCAGTTCTTTGCATTAACAATCGTAGCAATTGTTGTTAAAGTAACCATTCTGTGGGAGAGCACATCACAGAAGTGTCATTGGTATGGTGCCACAAGAGGAGGGGATCTTGTTTACTTATACTTGATAGACCGAAAAAAGTATGTGACAACGTCGTTGTTTGAGCAATTGTAGGCAAATATGTCTTCCAGTACATTGAGCTGATGGAGGGTTAACGAGCATGCGTGGATTTATTTTAGGTGACGGACGCCTTGCGCTACTTGCATGGAACCCAAAACCTGATGCACTGTAACATTTGCCCTTCATCCATATTTATCAACATCTGTTCTCAGTGGAAGTTGGGTGGATTTGGACTTGCAGAAAGCAGTGCTGACTCAACAAAGGTATACTGCAACTTATTAAAGGCCAATTTGTCTTGCTCGTATGTATGCAAATTACTCCTGAATGCCCAGTATTTACAGGCATTAATCTCATCATGGAATCCGAATTCCCTATTTCTAATCGTCTTAACCCAAATAAGCGCTATCTCATGAACTACTTTCTGGTACTCGATGATGTATTTTTAACTAAAATGCACCCAAAGATAGCGAATAACAGGTGAACTGTTAGAACAGGACTGACATTTTTCATGTTGACACGTGTGGACATGTGTACAACAGGTAAGGAATATGTTCGAAAGCTTGAGTAGTTCAGCCTTCAGTGTGTCTCACAGATTGGAAACTTTGCTAGTTTACTAGGCTTACCGGTTTATCAGCCAATGTGACTTCTGCAATACCGCCGATTATTTATATTCTGTAGGGACACGCGTGTGAATGTCGATTTAGTAAACTGAAAGCACAAGTAGATTCGTCAACAAACTTCCATTTATTTACTAGTTTGTAATTTTTGTTTGGGAATTAAAATGAACCTTAGGATTGGGTAGTGCAACAAATTTAGTAGTCAACCCGTCTAATACGGCTTAAATCGCCAATGTAGATTAATTACAGGCTTGTCAACTGTCAAAAGACTGTTGGACGATTTGCGTTTGATAACACCCGAGCCTATGCGTTTAGAACAAGGCTAGCTTCACGGGTTTTAACCCGAAAGGTGGGAGGAACTTGCAGCCCGACCTGGACTACATAGCACCAGAGGTTCAGCTGCATCACACAATGTCTCCCCTTGCGGATATATTCTCTCTGGGCATGGTGATTTGCTCCATCTTCAACGGCGGTGTCTCCCTCCTCCACTGCGAGGGCAGTGTGGCCAACTACGTGAAATGCATTCCATACGTAAGCCAGGGCCGACAGACCTGAAGCAGTCTCTTAATCGAGCATTCACTCCTCATTCTTTAAAAGTCTTTTGTTAGAAAAGTGTTGTTTGGCAAGTAACATTTGCTTTTCAGATCTACAAATAGAGCAGTTCCCATAGGCCAGTAGTCTGGAGGTCTTATTTCGGCAACGCTATTTTAAGTGGGTAATTAGGCATGCCAAAAATGAACATCTTTCGAAGCTAACTAATGAGGTAATTGGATCTAGTGGAGATAGGAAGCAACTTATCTAATCAAGCCTTCATCCCGCTCCTTATATGCCTTCCAAAGTCCCACCATTTGCACCCACAAGTGGATTTCAAGGTTACCAATCCTCCCGTGTCCAATACAAAAAGCATAAAACAATTTTTAAAGGAAAAGTCCCATGGTTCCTCAAGTCCATTTCATTCCTCATGCGTCTTCGCTTTTTGTTAGCCATGACAGATGGAACAGATTTGTCTTTGGATAATGCACAAATACATTTTAAGGGATTTAAGCTATTATTGTATGTCTTTTGAAAGTTATTCTTTGAAAATATTATCCTTGGTAAAACAGAGGTATGCGCTAATAAATGAGCTAGTTCTGTTACCGATTTTGTTGTACTGTAAAATTGCAAGGTAAATAAGCTTTCAAAGTGGTTGGTATGAACAATGACGGGCAATGAAGAGGCAAGAGAGCCAAATAATTTCGATGGTATGTGGTCCAAGCCTATTTACAGATTTTAAAGGTGTGATGAGTGGCTCACCAGATTAACATGCCTGCCCTCTGGTAAGGTGTCTCTCTTCCCCTCTTTTCACGAATGTCTCATCTCATAATGCTTTGTGACATTTCATACTGAAATAGAAAGGAACAGATGCGTTTAATTGCTTCATGAAGTTGGGAGGGAGAGTAATGGCTGCATTGTATCCATAGTATCGACATGGAAAAGGATGAGCTTGAAGCTTAGTTGCCTGAAGGCTGCAGATCCCCCGATGGGATTAAACCGGCACTCCAACTGCGTCGTGGTTAAGTAGTGCAAAGGTTTGCACTCTGTGCATCACGTAACAATGCTTTATTTGGGGCATTAGTGCACCTCACAAGACAGTGTGGGTAGTATCTCTCCGAAAATGGCTTTGTATTAGTATTAAAAGTATTTTTTTCAGTCATTAACTAAGTCCTCGTTCATTTTCCTTTCCAGACCAAGGGGAATTTTTCTGACAAGTGGTAGAGTGGGAGCTGGATTCTCTTGCACCATTTCCTTTTCGTGGTTGTTGACGGATTGAAACCATGGAACGAAATTGTCTCATTTAAGAGGGTTTTCTTACTTACAAAGTAGGGTCGAGACTATGCTGTATAATCACGTTCACGATAGCTAGTTCACAACATTTCTTCGAATTTGGTCAACAAAAAATAGACCATTTATTTGAGAGTATTCATAAGACAACGTAAGTTTAATGTAGAAAGTGCATGTTTTAGTTGCCTCAGAGGTTTCAAGAGATCAGTGATCGCATGCCCAAGCCCCTGATTGAACCAGTACGGAAGATGATCAGTCAAGACGTCCGTGAACGACCCACATCCCAACTCCTTGCCTTGGTAGGTTTTGACCTACTAATTAAACTTTCTGGGCTTAAAACAGATGTAATTGTTTCCCATACGGCCACCAAAGCCTCATTTTGTTGAATATTTGCCCAAAAGATAAATTCTTTTACTAACATAATATTCAAAGTGTAGTTGTAGTAGTTGGCACCCCGTCATCAGGTCTTGTTGTCTGACGGTTTTATGTGATGTCCTTTTCGCGCTCGTGTCTTATTTTGTCCAGGTCAAAGCCCTTGATTTCGTAGACATCAAATACAACTTAGCACTTTATTTTTGGATCACACCAGTGGGCTGAAGACCGCTTGTCAAAATTAGTGTGGTGGCGTTTCAACGGGGATTAAAAGTGAAGAAAGAATAATGGATTGCAACTAAAGGTGAGGAAACCAGATGACGCAGGAGAGAGGGTGGGGGAGAGCGGAGGGTGGAGAAGAGAAGGAAGGAAGGAGAGATAATCGCATGAAGTCAAGACGCAGGCTAATCTGATCGCTTGTCAGCCTACTGTCGCCTCCCTGACGCATTACTTCTTCGCGCACTTCAAGTTGCCCCGTCAGCCTTTTTGTTGTTAAAAGAGATAAACACCTAGCCATTACGTTAAAAGGGAATATTTTCGTCTAAACGGCATTATTTTTGCAATTAATTGTTTTAAGTGCATTTAGAATGTGTCGGTTTGAGAGGTCTCACTAGGAGTAATGCTGGTGTCCACAAACATGAGGCGAGGTTTTCAGCATTCACAAATCCCTGACCTCCATTTGTTTTTGAATATGCGAGTTAAAGTAAATTTTCGCAGGTCATAACAGACAATGATAGAACTGTAAGGATAATTTTACTTTTGTAAATCTTTTAATAGCTAGATATGTAAGATCTCTTTCCTTCCATCGATAAGTGGCATGAGGCCCAGACCATGACGCAGACTAGCTGTGGAGCGAAGACTGATTGAGGCAACATTGGAGAGGATGAGAAATCGCAGTTGTAAAATTCCCCTTTTTTCGTCTGACCTTTTCTTAACTATGCTTATTGCATACAAACACACGAAAGTAGCTTTGAAAGTGTTGAAATGGTCTGGCGAAGGTTGTAATCGGTCTACAGAGTCGAGGGTACTGCAACGGCAGTTCTCATCAATAGAACGCCAAATCTTCGCACGTTCCTGAATGTGGACCTGAGGTTCAACTTTCCTCTATCAATACGATAACGCTGGAATTAGCTCAGAAATGCAATTTGAGGAGGATTAAAGGTCATCAGCAAACTAATTTTAGCAGCTAATAGGATACAGTATTTTTTTCGCATAAAGGAGCCTTTTTTAATTGTACAAAAGGAGTCATTAAAGGATGCGGTTTGCCTTCAGCAATGAATATCTACAAATCTTTTTGCACATTTCCCGCCAAATAAAATGCTGAGGTACTGGTTCAGTCATAACCTTACCGAACCGTGACAGAAATTTCATAATTGACTCGAATGCATAAGACATTATCACCTTTTGATGGTGAAGGTGAGTACTGATGTAATGCAACCCATTGGATAATCCGTCCCGTCGTCGAGTGTCAAACACTATAAACGTAAGCGTGAAGAGTCGGCACGACGTAAAGCTTAAAACCTATTCATTAGAAGAGAAAAGGGATATAATGGGAGGATAGCATGTGCACATTTGATAAAGGACTGAGCTCAAGGCTAATGGCATGATTTAGGGGCTAACTTGCACACTGGAGCACCTTTTACCGAAACCAAGAGCTAAACACCAAGAATTTGTTGTATGGCGTTCACTGTTTCAACGAAACAGTACTTTCAGAGCACAGTGACGTAGGGAGAGGAACTGACCTTCCAGGTACTAAAAAAGCAGCACAATGAAGTCATTTAAATGGCACGAAGCTCTATTATCATACCGATGGTTTCGTTATCCTTTTGGTTGCATCTTAAATGCAAGTCGCATTTCAACTACATAAATTTGAATCCATGTAGCAAAATAAGCATTTGAAGATGTGGTTTAAACGCCAAAATCCTCGCCTAGATTGCGTTTTAGCAGACTCAAGTATCTAACGGCAAGTTTTCCCAATCTGCTCACAAAGTTGACGAAATTTGGTGCTTTTTTGACTTTTTAATCCCTAAAAGGATCGAATTCTCCCACCTCTTTTGGAATTACAGACGTAGTCTTCCAAACATGCCAAAAAAGGAGAAATGAAAATGAATTGGGAAGGGCTATAGCGTGTCTTCTAATTATCGCATCCAAGTGACCATGCCACCAATGTGTTTCGTTTGACTTAGCTCAAACTCTTCAACGAACCCTCCCTTCTCTCCTACGAGGGACTCTTGACTCTTCAAACTCGGTCCCAAAATCAGATCAAGGAATTCTTCAATCGCTTCGCTAAGGCTATTCCCGAATTTGACGAGGTAACATCACATCCTTGCCCATGGCTCATTTAATCTCCTTTTTTATACATTAAGGACTCTTTTTCTTATGACTGGTTATATGACGAAAGTGAGCTATTAGCGACACCGATCGCACCTGAGTTGGATCCTGTCTCAGAAACTCTCCGTACACTATCAGAAATTAGTTAGCATGGCCGAAACTGTAATACAACAAATCATTTTAAATGAATTTGCTGCATTAAGAAGGATTTATCGTTAACTCCTTGACAGACTTAGTCGAGTCCTCCCCAGAGACCTGCTCGTTCAATTCCCAATCATAATGCGCAGCTGAATTTCTCTTGATTGAGGGAATACTCTCCCAAGAAAATGTGGGGCATGCCAATGAAAGCTGGAGTGGACTGTTTTTGGAACAGCCTTGATAATTCAATAAAAAGGCGATAAAAATGGAGGTCGAAAGCGGTTTTCGATGAGGAGTGAAAAGCACGTCAAGCACACAGCACTGCTGCTTTTATTGTAATTTCATTTAAGTAGCTAAAAACAAACTCGATTTTGAATGGGAAAAAAACAGCTTCTAGCTAAACAGACACATAAAAAAATTTTCCATCCTTGCACGGTTAATTTAAAATAAGCTGCAGCAAATGATTGAAGGAAATGATGTTGGAGCTAGTGTCCTCCAACACAACCAAATTGGTATTTTAACAATTTACGAGGGTGCACCAAAACTTTAAGTTGATTTTTGTATGTAAATCACGAGTTAGGTTTGCCGGAAACTGACATCTTAAAGGGGCATTTTGCAGGACTTCCGTTACAAGAAGGTACTCCCACTGTTGTGGGAGTGGTACGACAGTCACCCGGATCTGCAATCCTTCGTCCTCCCTTCAATCCTGGCCGCCACTCACATAGCCGACAGAGCCGATTTTGATCTCTACCTCCACGACCGACTCTGCTCTGCCCTGCGGGGCCACAGGAGCAAACAGGTGAGGGTGGCGTTCCATATGTCTTGGCTATTGGGTGGTTTCATTCTACCACCTAGAATGCGTTCATCCTTCACTTTGTTGCGCTTATCACTTAATGCCTGTTAGGCTCATTTTGGGACTGACGGTGTTTTGATTCTTGGGGAGCAATTAATTGTCCTCATAAAGTCCTTCCGCTAAATGTATGCTAAATGGAATGAAAAGATGACAAAGGTTGGTCCTAATAAGTGAGGCGTCACTTTGTCATTTCCGCTCCTCTGATGTCGTATCTTTTTGTCGGCGAACTAACAATTAAGAGTGTTGGTGCTCAAATTAATTTTTCCTTGGGCTGGCACCATTAAAAGTGGCCAGCTTAAACAATTTGATGAAGGATAAATAATGCATTTCTTTGTTTTCACAGTCCAACGCTTTGCACTTTCTGGTGCTTCAATGTTTAAAGTAAAATTTAAGAGCTTGGTTTTACGAAGGGTCAGGGGTGTAATCCAAGGTATCTTTAGTCGAGATTTTTTAATCACCAAATGGCCTACGTTCATCCGCTGCCTCTGCGTATACCCCCAATCAGTCTTCGGAGTGAAAATTGTCCACCCATTCCCAGTCTTTCTCGTCGTGCTCCACTTTTCCGTCTACAAAAATGCTAGATAAGCATGAGTAAGACACGAGATGCGTGTAGAGTCTCCGACTTGAATAAAAACCACAAAATCTAGTGCACTTTGTCATAGGCAAAATGAGTCAAATACTGATGGCAGGGCATGGATGATGGAGCATTGCAGCTCTCTGCGCTTATGACAAAGGGGAGAGCAGTTCCATTGGAATTCAAGTGCCCGCTTTGATTAGATGCAGGTAGTGTAACTTTATGAGTAATAATATAACGCATTTTTTGCAAGGATTGTGACTTGTCAAGACTTGCATGTTTAAAAAAACAGTAACACTGGCATCCAGGACCTAAACAATCTATTTACTCACGCCAGCGTAGTGCAGACATTCAGCGCACTCTATCATGTTGTCGAAGGTAAATACTGACTAGACACTGCAAACCTAATTAGACGCGAGAGTGCTCTCTTGACAGAACCCAAGATTTTACAGGACACTGGTAATTATTAGGTTGCGAGTCTTGACGCTGCCGATCGGAGATGCGAATACGAAAAGGGTGATCGTCGGACGGCATGCTCTCTAATAACAAGAATTAATTAGAGACTCGAGTAAAATCTCTTAACAAATATTTTTACATTGTAAAACTGTTCAAGCTATACAGCCCGGGGGATGACTGATGATTCACCGATCGTGTTTTTGTCATTTCGAAGCATCCACCACTTTACTCTTAATTCGCCTAAATTTTAAATTTTGGAAATGTAATTTGTTTACCGCCTTTCAGACAACTCTGGTAGCTCTGGATTTGGTGGAATTCTTCATAAAACATCTTACACCTGAGGAAATCGTAGAAATAATTTTGCCCGACATCACCAGCTGCATCAAGATGGGCAGTCGCAAGTCTCTGGTAAATCCGTTCCCAATCTTACATCTTATTTTGCATTTAAATTGTTCAGTCGACGAAATGGCTCCCTTGCATTCTTTCGAGTGGCATTAATTTCACCCTGAGGCAGAGTTAATGCGACGCCTTTTCTATTCATAGTCGGGCATCAAAATTTTATGATCCTTTCCCTTCCAAATGCGCAGTAGGAAAACAGGAACTAGGTTATTGGTTAATGCAATATTTAATTTACTCTTACCGATGGAGGTGAACAGAGGTGGAGATTGTCATCTTTGAATGCAGGGGTCTAAACCCCTTTTCAGGATAATGTATTACCCAACGTGAAACACTTAATCATTGCTAAAAGAGATTTGCATCAAGATATTTTGACGGCTTGGGTATGATTATGCAACACTAGCATCGCTGCATTTGAAATGGGTCTGTTCTGATTTTTGTGTCATAGGACAAGGTGAAGAATGCTGTCTACGTTTTACACGACTACCTCGGACCAGAGGAACTGGAAAACTACGTCTTTCCAATGTTAAAAGAAGCTGCCGAGGAGAACGATTCCTCTGGCTTGGTATGTCAGACTGTGAGCTTTCCAATCTACTTGCACATTAGCGAAATTCCCATGTTTATTTAAATCGAAGCAGACCGGATACTGGAGTAGAAATACTGCCAGTTTACTGCAATTCCTGTTAAAAGGCATTATTTTTTACATTATCAAACGTTTACCACACCGTACCTTACACCATTCGTAATGAGTAGATTGATACCAGGGGAGTTAAATTAAGGAAAATCTTGTAGGAAAATTGGCTTGAATGATGCAGAGCAAAGTCGGATGCATAAAAAGCTGATCATATGCTTGGATTTTGACTTATATTTTCCACAGAATAGAATCAACTGCGTCAGTTTTGGATTTTCTAAGCAGTTTTGCTAAGTACTTATCCACGACAAGTCTCTAAACAACCAATTATTATTTTATTGCCTAGGGAGTTCTCCATTTTACACCTTCTCTTCGCTTACAGTACACCTCGCACATAACAAAGCCATCAAATTGTGACAAGGACACTCCAGCATAGTTCACATTTATCCCCCTTGGCAATAGGCCTTAAAGTCCTTGCTATTAAGTTACATTTCCCGCTTTACAATGTAACAAGGGATGAAGAGAGTGGTAACCACTGGTGTAAAGTCAGGACTTCTTTTTGCTCATCATGCACGGACTCTACATAGGCTGTAGCGTCCCGGAACTTCCTAGCCGGTATAATAAGTCAGTAAGTGCAGCTGGATACAGGTGTTTTGAATACGACAGAGCAAATGGGCCTGGGCATGGTCGGAAGGCCAGCCCACGTGTACGAGGGCCAGACACATCCTCAAGTGAACGCCTAACTTCAGCTAGTTACATAAACAAAGCATTACATAGACGATATTTAACTGGTTTCAGTAGGGCAAGCAATGCTGAGGCATCTTTTCTGAACTGCAGGTACAGAACGTGATGCTGGACTGCATAGAGAGCCTCGTTTCACACTGCAGACCGGTGTTCGTGAGCAAAGACCTGCTTATCTTCCTGGCCTCTATGCCCACTGCCAACATCGAAGTGGTGTTTAATGTTGCAGGTAATGCTTTTTGCGCCCAACGGGAAGGCTTTCCTACAAGGAGTAATATTACAACAAGGAATGGTTTAAGGTAGATATGGCAGGGAATTGGACCTCTACTTTAAACTGTCTGCCTAAGTTGTGCGGTTTTAAAGCCCAGCTCTGACTTCTCTAAACTAAGATGTGCTGACTGACGATGCAATAGTTGCATCCTGACTTGACACGAGACACGTTTGCAATCCAGCCAACAACACACAATCAACGAAATCCAACATGTTATGTCAATTTTTTAACCGTCGGTATACTTTCGTGGTTTTCCCTCTTAAATTCTCGCCTTTAAGGGCACTTGAGGTTCCATTTTTGTGCCTTTGCTCGGTGGCCTGGCCTCCGTGTCATAGGAGTGGCTGCCTCCTCCCTCCTGACCCAACTCATTTTCTACCCATCGTAGGTCTTCTTCCGTCTTCATGAAAAACTGCAAGTACTATGACGGTCAATTTTTCAACATTTAACTTTTCGCCTTTGAATGTAAATTGACTATAAGGTAAAAACTAATTTAAGAGCCAATTTTCTTACTAAAATAACGCATATAAAAGGGGACCGGAGTGAAGTAGTAAAAGTTGACAAAATATCAGTTTAGTTATCAATCAGAATTTTAGGTTAAAAAACATCACGAAGATTAATATGGCATTTTGTGAAAGAAGACCCTTAATGTGTCTCCAAACACTAGGATTTTGAGTGCAGCTGTGAAGTTTCCAACGTCGGGGCAACGCAACCACCCAACAAGTAAACTTCTGTATTGAACTACTTAAAACAGCAAATATTTTATGAACTTAAGTATGCGATCTGGTAAAAATTTGGTATCATAATCACTTAAATTCACTTCCGAGATTTACCGAATTGCTCCATTTTAAGGAATGTAAAACATTTCGTTAAAATGATGCGTGATTAAAAATATGCGTTTGCAGGTGTTAAGAGAGTGATAGGTATTCGCTGACGTTCAGAAGGGAGGAGGGACTACTAACAAGATCTGGAGGCTACATCACCCAAGAAGGAAGCCGTGGGTGCCTTTGATATTAAAATAACGAGCAAAACGATTGCTTAGAGCAGCACAGTGCTACATCTTACGTCAAAGGTTTGCTTCTGCTTTTGCTTGAGCACCACTGCTTCTGATTGTGCATAAACAGACGAAATTAGTTGCGTAAAAAGTGGTTCATTTCAAGGTATCCCTTCCGCCCACTCTAAGTATGCCTTTCATTGCACCTTTGAGCCACGATAATTGTTCCTCCGCTCGCCCCATTTGAGTTGTGGAAATGCATGTAAATGCTTGTTAGGGCATGCCATTTCATCATGTTTACTTAGTGCCTATCTCAATGAGAAGGTGATGGGCATGGAACATCAAGTGGTTTGATAACTTCACCTCTCGTTTGCAGGCATCTTTCGGAAGGTGCTTTGCAACTGCAAGTTCCACGTCTCCTACTCGCTCATTGCCACAAAGCTCCTCCCTCCGCTGATACCTTTGCTCATTTCAAAGAAACTGAGCCTTACGGAGGTATGTCTACGATTTGCTCGGATAGTACCTTGAACTCCAAAACACTGCATGCCCTCTGACCTGAAGATTTTTTCTCTGAATGAATGCTTGATTAACATTGTACTGTTGGAGTCTTTTTGAGAGCATTTTACTGCATGTATTAATTCAAAACAAGCCTACGGAGAACTGAGTTAAACCAAATTGATGTGGAACCCAAAGCGCTACCCATTATTTAAGTTTGGATTATGCCCGCTTTCCACTGCTTCACTTTAATTCATTTTGCAATTACCCGCAAGAGTAGGTAAAGTTGTGCGATGGTGTAAATTTTTGAGCATTTTTCATTAATCCAATGGACTGCTGGATTACAAACTGCCAGATTGGGAAGCAAAAATAGGCCATGGTTTACAAAATGTGTTCTTTATTAGTTCGTATTTAATGAAATCAAAGCGACGTTTCCATGATTCACCTCTCAAAACCACACTGTCAAATGCTGCGACAATTGGGACATGCTACTCAAAAAGGTTAGATAGTAGAGTCGACTATTCTTCAAGCATTACCTGGCCGATTATTACTATGAGCATTTAGGACAACCATTAATGGAAGGTACTGATTCAAACCTTAGTGATAAACTGAAGCATTTCATCTAAACAAAATCGAAACGTTGTCCAAATTATTAAATTTCGCAAGGGCTACCGTAATGTGTTTAGTAATTAAAGCTGCTTGCGCCGCATTGTGGGATTTGTGGCTGGTAGAGGTCTGCACGGAATGTCTGTATACCATGGCACTTCCTTTCGTTTCTACATTTTGTACTAATACGACGTGTCCTAATTTGCATAGCTAATTTGTGATGGCCTCTTGGCATTCTTTTGATCATGCCGAACTTTGCCAGCACGAATTCTCACCTGCACCGCCTCTTTCCCCTTTTCTATGATAATAATGAACGGGCACGCACCAGTCAACTTAATCAACCATCATGTTCGCGCCATTGTTGCCTAAAGGACATTTTAAATGGAGGTGAAAATGGTTTACCGTTGTAATGTTGGTTTCCAAAACACAAAGCAAAACGCAATATTTATGACGTAAACCAAGTTGTAGGCCTCCTTTCGACGAAGTGTAATTGGAAATTCGACATATACCTGTAAAAATTGACTGCAATCATCCACTCCAAATTTTCGAAATTCAAACACAAACAAACAGAAAACTTTTCGAACGTCAGTGCTTAAGTATACTCGCTGCTCCTCAGTACTTGACTTAGTAGTTGTTGCAATGAAAAACAAAGAAAGCACCAAGGATGTGTTGTCATATCAATGCACTTGGTTGACTTCGATAGACAGGCAAAATTAGTCATCTCCAGTTGACAACCGAACACAACGCTTACGAATGTCAGTGAGCTTTAAAAATCACTAATTCTCTTGAGTATTTCAAAATCAAACCTTCTACAATCAAATCCTTCTCTTAGACTCGTAAAATGAGGTGACGTCAAGTGGTATTTTACTGCGTCCAAAACCCCAAAAGCATTGAGGATGGCCATACATCAGCGACATTCGGTCTGTCTAGTGGTGAAATTGACCAGCACTTCCACCCGCTCCAAATCGTTGCGTGATAGGTGCACCGGGAATAGCAGCCGACTCATCACTTCACCGTACCTCCACCCAATGCGTTTTGCCACTGACCGCAAGGTTCAGACCGCTGCTGTCAGCACTGACGCCTCCTTTTAACGTCTACCTCGCACCCTAAGTATCGACCCTTGAAGCTTAAACTGAACCAAGCAGCCTACTTTGTCAACCCAAAGGTCCATTTGGACCTCATCTGCAACCCATTCACAGTTAGTGCTATGAATTTCATAATTCACACAAGTGGGATGTCATTGCGTCCTTCAACGACAACACTGATATCATTGCACACGTCTTGTCAGTGCGCTTTAAATCCGTATTAATCCTAATTAACCTGACAGTTTCAGCATTTAAATATTTTGACACACATCCTTGTTCTTCGTTAACCTGTTGTTACGTGCGAAATTGTCACTCAATGAGTTGATTGAATTCTCCAGTACAATTTGATTCGAGGTGATTTCTGTCCGCAGCACCATTTATTAAATGTGTCAGCTCTTCTGAATTGACTGCTCGGTGTCAGTAGGGTAATGCTTGCCATATTTCTTTCGTTTGTTTTCACTTGTATTTCTTCTGTTTTAGTTTCGCGCTCTCATGGGAGTAGCTCGTTTGATGCTGGAGCAAATTGACCGAGGGAGGACCATTGAGTACTCACGTAAGAAGAGCCTCAGTGCGGATGAGGGCACCATGGATTTCAAGTGAGTTTAACTACTTTTTGACATCTCTGCTATTAAAACCTTTACCTCTATCTGTCATAATGACTTGGGAATCTTCACTGTAAGAATTAATTAGTCAGGCACATTCCTAATAAGCAGGCGGGAAATTGTAAGACCGCCTTATTTTAACTCAGCTTATGCAACCGATTCGGTTGTTTGGTGACTGATGCGTGGTTTTTGGTAAGAAATTAACAAATACACTTGATATATGCTTCATAGCATGACAAATTTGAAGATTCTCAAAGAACCAATTAGAGTGTGCTCTTAATTTCCCAGATCGTCTTTTTTACCAATCGGAAAATTCACTTGACTTCAGCACTGCTCGCTCTGCCTTGGCGTTCACAGGCGATCGCACTGAAATGGACTGTGCGCTATAAACTCCCTTTTGGGGTCGGAGAAAACGTTTAAATTCTTATCAGTAGAAATCTTCAAAGTTAAAAATAAGTTAATTTTGCTTAAACCCACCAATTGGAGTTGCAAGAGTGCCCCAATACGTAGGTCGAGTCTCAACGAGTAACCATCGTAAGTTGGAAAAGGTTCTGTTTGTGATTTTCATATGCGACGAAAGTTTTGGCCTCATAGACCGGTTTGCAAAACAGCGTACTTTTGGAGGAAGAAAAAGTGTATAATTGTGGCCTAATTTTGCTCGTGCGAAGGGCTTATAATTAGGGCCTTACTGAGCTTCATTGGTCAGTTCGTTCTCCACGGGCCTTATCGCGATCGTGAAAGCGCCAATAACAGCGAAAAGGCAGCGCTGGGCATAAAACCTGACTGCTTTTCTTTCCAGTAATCAGGCGATATTCTGAAAAATGTAAATTCATATTATCACTTATGTGGCGTGAATAAAGGATTTCATCCAATTTTCGGTTAGACGGGCTTTGATGAGTCATTGAGAGTTTCCTCCAGACTTACATCGTGAAACACTAAGACCGTCATTTGTGCCACCCACATGTTACAATCATCAGTTTCATTAAACTAGTTGGAGCATTTCGAGATTGCCGCCTTTGTGAATCACGTCGGATCCAATTTGGAGGCTGTGGATACTTCACATACACTATGTAAAACGGGGTCAGAAGGAGATGCAGTGACAGAATGTGTTACTTAGAATTTGTATGCTCTACGAAGGCAGTCGGACATTAATACTTCCTCTCATTGATAAATGGCAGGAAAGTTTAGGCACAGCTAGGCTATTCCTGCAGTCCTTTTTGTTTTAAACTTCACTGTTTTAAAACAGTTGCTAATTAATCTATGATAAAGAATAGGAGTGATATTACTTTTTAACATCTAAGGAAAATGCAATCACTGACTGTTCTCCAACACTGCCCGCTCACTGCTTCATCCCTCTAAGACCACTTCGTAACCACAACACCGAGTTGCCTTGATGGACGACAACTATCGTTCCTAAGTCTAATCTTCTGCCCAAAGCCTAAATATCACCGTTTTGATCCATTCATTCACTTGAACTTAAACAAGAGCGACATTACAAGCTTAAGGCAACATTCAAGCCACAAAATACTCTACCAGTCTTTCAGGCTAATCCAATGCAGATTAAGGCTTTAGGTTGAGGGGGGAAGCGCGATGTCAGACAACCTCATTTTCCATTATCCACTGCCGATACTTCTTCAAGTCGTTTTCTCCTTTTCTTGAGACAATGGTGGGACAGCTGTGCGTGAGACCGAATCGGCATTCGAGAAGTGAACTCAAAGCAGGAATGCAGCAGCAAGTGAATTTCTATTTGCCCCTGAGGGTAGAAAGCCTTATGAAATAGTGTTTGCTTATCTCATTTTCTATTAGCAATGGGTGAAATCTCAGTCGTCTTTTTTTCCTTAGCGAATGAAATATTTAAGCGACTTTTCACGATGTCGTAGCTAATGTTAACGTGCATCACATCTTCTGAGCATTTTGCCTTGTAAATTCACAACACAGGGTAGTCGTCAAAGCATAAGATGCAATTGTGAAGTAGACATCGGACCACCTTCAATCAACTTTTTTTTTTGGAAAATTAAATCATCAAAACAAGTTAAAAATTAATCTCATCAGATAATAAGCGATTTATTTTGCTACTCTAACAGTACAGTGTGGATGTTTGGGTACGGGTGAAGTTGGAATGATGGACAATCTCGTGATCACGGATGCGTAAATGCACACTGAACGACTGCAATTGCTACTTTTAGCGTCAGAACGAACTCCGGTTACTACAGAAACCTTCCCCTCATTTCCATGCAGCAGCCGACAATTGACTTCTCCCGAAGTCCTCCCAACCTCAACCATGCCAACCCGTCACGCCCGCGGTCCCACTCCTCTGGCTAGTTTATTTCTTTCGCATTCACCTGTCTACCACTTCATATTGTCATCTTGTCAGTTTAGCGTTAATGTTGGGCTAATCACTTTTTAAAAAAATGCTCAGCGTTAACATCACAAGTGACTGACCGTTACAATAGTGTCACTGGAGTGAAATTTTAGGTACTAAAAATTACCATTAGTGGAAGGTAAGAGTGAAGATTTTCCTGCCTCCTCCCTTATAGATTCAAACGCTTTCTCCATCGGCAACCAGTCCAGCACGTCACCCTGGAGCTCTAGTCGACAATTTCTAAGTCGGCTTCGAGCCTCCAGTCAGTGCTCAGAGACCATGTTTCAGAGGGGTTCCACTCCATTCGGTAATTTTTTTCCTCCAGCAAAGCAGTTCTAGCTTTAAACCTAATGCCTCCAAGCAAATAAATAAATACGATGCGTCGCTGTTATCTCTAAGTCAGACAATGCACAAAGGTTAAGCATTTTAACTTCAAAGTGGATTTCAGATGACGCAAATTGAGTTGCGCTCCCTCAAAAATGGATACAGGAGCCATTTTTTGCAGAAAGCAAAATAAATGCGTGTAGCATTTGTAAAATCTGGTTCCGTGCAGCTCCAGAGATCCTCGGTAACTAAAATGGTTTGCTTGAATTTAAGTGCTGTCTACAGATGTTCAGAACATTAAAGTCGTTTTTGTGGTAGCAAACCAACAAAACGCCAAGTATAAAATGAATCACTGCTTCGACGCTGTCAGTTGAAGGCTTTATAGCAAAGACGATTCACGGTTCTGCCAAGTGAGTTAGCGCAACTCGTCTATGACAACAGCAGAACCAAAGCAGTCCCCTTCATTACAGAACTTGTGCCTCGTTAGACTTAGGAGTTCACATCAGCATTGCAGATCCAATAATTAATTAACAGAGTCTTTAATGTTTTACTGCAGCTGGTCTGCAGTACCTGAGACCGCAGGACAAGACACGTAGCAACCCCAGCTTCGGCCAGCGTCTTTCATTGAGTCTCTTGCCCAAGGCTTCGCGAGCTGCCTCCTGGAACAACTCAGCTACGGCGCTGGCGGCACTAAAACGACGTCGCTCCTCTGGCGGCACCTCTGCACGCCTCTCGGTAAGTCATGCCTATTCGAGCCCTCTTCTTCACCCAAGCCTCCGCATAACGTTGCATGCGTGATGATTAATATAATTTAAAGGGGCCGACTATTCAAAAAGCGAGGGACATCTAAAATGTGGTGAAGTGAACGCTGTAATTTAGCTGTCCGACTTCTCAAACATTACCGCGGGGATTTTAGGAGCAACTGTCACTCTGCGTGGCCATAAATCATTGGAAGCTTCGTGCTTAGCTTCCAAATATCCTACTCGTTAAAACAGCCCAATGCTGCACAGTGTCATTTTGCGGCAAGTAAGCTTATGATTAATTGAGGTGACATTTGGATGGGATCCTGATTTAAGTTCATTTTGAAAGTCCACCGAATTTTTTGCAAAAAAATGGCTGTTTAAGCAGCCAAATGACTTGGTTTAGATGATTTAATCCATCCTAAGTCCTTCTTCCTATCCCTTAGCATTGTAAGTATGCAAAGTCGACTCTTTGAACAGATTTTAAGGTTTTCGAAAAGTGGGAATAATGAGATTCTGCTTTTAATTTTTTTATTACAGTCGATATCGCTGTAGATAGGATTTATTAGCGTAAGAGGCGTTGCGTTTTGCGCTGTGATTCATTACTGACCACTATGCGCAACACAGCACGAAAGAATGTGACTACCCCGACTTCCACCCAGTCCTCACTTCAATCCTTAACTGTGCAGTTTTTAACTGCCTCAGTACTTTTTGTGACTATCTCATTCCTAGTTGTTATCAAACGGACTACTTCGGTGTTCGGAGTAATACTTTAAAATCGTTTAAATGTTAATGTTTATTCATTCACACCTCGTCTAGGCTAACAATGAGGGCTGAAGAAGTAATATTTTGGTGATCAAAATGGCTCTCAGGTTGTTTGTAAATCGCATTATTAGCATTCCAGGTCCGAGGTAATGTAATAAGTGCTAAGCATCTTGCATTTTAACCAGCAATTATAGGGTCTCCATATCCATCTGCACAGGGTAATTTTGAGGATTTTAGTTCAATTTTACCAATTCAGTAAACATATGTGTGGTACACAATTTGTGGCGTCAGATTGTGATTTTTGTCATCACCTCCCTTTCACTTGCAGTGCAACTTATTTCAGAGGCATCCCACTAAGCCGCCTCAATGCTTCCGCCTTGGGAACCATTGTTATTGGCACTCCTTTCGCTTTGACATTTCAAGGTGGTTGTCAATATATTCAATATTCTGCCGTACGGATCATAGACGAATGATTTCAAAGGGTAACAAATTATGAAAGTCAAATGTCACCCACCGCTTGAAAAAGCACCGATGCTATCATAGGTACACAATATGAAGTAACTCTACCCATCCTGCTTACAGCGCCTCCAAACCAGCAGACACGGTGGTTTCCGCCACTTATAAGTTGTGGTTTAAATCACCGCACTGTCAAGCAGGGACTAATGCGGAAGTTGCATTTCAAGTAGCCCATACGCATTCGCATTTTTACTAACCAAAGATTTTGTGTTCCCTGTTGACGGATAGAATGATCACTATGATTATTTGGGAGTGGACAATCGAACGGGAACGGGACTTTTGGACCCGCGCCGCCATAGCTACGGGTGCTCGGGCACTTCCTCAGCCAATTCACTGCTCACCGGTGGCGTCTGCGAAGGTCCCTTTTCCTCTAGTCCGTTTCAGTCCGGTCAAACCAGCCGACGTCCTTCTGCTCCCATCTTCGACCGAAGCGTTGGATCAGCCAATTATTGTAGGGATTCTCCATCTAAATTGCCTTAAATTTGTGCTGAAAATGCTCGTCCTACTTTGCGGATCAGGTACAGCTTTGTTGCATTACTGCATTTGGTCTCCTAGCGGTCATAGTGAATGAAAAATAATTCACATTTGCATAAGTTGGCCTTTACGTAACCTGTCTTCCATCTAAATGGTTCATCTCTAGTAGTTTTTACTCACTTTAAACCGGTATGTGCTGTTGAACCGAATGTTCTCATGGAAATGCTCAAACGGTTGAACATCACCACTGCGCAGAGCCTAACCCGCTAACCCTACTCTGTTTCTTCTTCAAGAATTTGAAAAAAAAACTTCTACGGAACGAATCGGGTTTTAGTGAAATCGACACAGTGAAGTACTTAGTAATGCACTTGATGACAGATGAGGTGTCGTGGATGAAGAATTTTGACGAGAACGAGTTGTGTAAAAGGAATGCGAAGTGAGAAAGACCCTGAACTGGTTTCTCCACTGTCGCAAGCATAGCGTTGGTTATGCCTCACATCAGTCGTGAGCCTCAAATCTCGTTGCCATTCCGGGTGACCATTTGTACGGTTGGTTAATAATTTGACCCATTTTTTTGCACTGTAGGTAAGGTTAATTCATTTTTTTCGTGGCTGCAGTTTTGTGCTAAGTTTTTTGATGTGACATGGGGATCTTATTTTTGAGAAGTCTACTTTAATCCAATTTATGCAAACCCATTTGTCTTTGTGTTTGCTTTGAAGGAATAAATTACCCTATTCTTAATCAAGATAATTTTGACCACAAACGCATCATTGTTTTATTTGTCAGAATTTCAGCATCGCAATCGAATCAAAGCAAACGACCACGTCATAATGCGTTGCTTGTACTACATTTCTTTAAATGTCAGAGTGCTTCGCGAAAATTTGTTGTTTATGCGAATTAGGAGGTCTAGCTTCCCTACTTTTGCATAGGTTTTGGGTGTGACAGGGTTATGCGTTCCCCCCCTACGAGATCGCTTTAAATGAGAACTGGTGTTGTGCCCAGGGACTTGTCTTCAGACGAGGGAAGGCAGCACTAGGGTAGGCTATGTAGCACCGGCGTATGGAAAAACCCGAGAGGACTGCTGGCATGCCCTGGAGGACAGAGACGATACCTCAAGCGTGAGCAGAATTAGAACGAAGAGTCAAACGATCGGTGAAGCTTTTCATTACCACCCAATGGCATTCTTACTAAGCTAAATTAACTAGTCTGCAAGCACACAATTGACACTTTCGGCAACTTGAAGTCCTTAATTTGACTTTTATTAACCCTCTTTTCGCAGGTACACTTTTCTTAGCAATAGCTAACATCTCGCAAGAAGTGATTAAACTCCAAGGTGATAGTTGAAGAAATTTTATACTCCGATTTAATTTCTCTGTCGTAGTTTTCTTGGATTAAATGAGGGACTCTCCTGCATGGCATTTGCGTTGAATTTATTATGGTATTTCGGATGTCGGTCTAAACTTGTTAAAAGCAAGCCCACAATAGGCAATGTCAAGCCGCCGTGTCGGTCCGAGTCACCTTCGAAGACGCTTAAAGCCAATTTTTGAAGGTGTAGAAGAATCAGCGTGTTAGCAACATGGACATAGGGATCAGCTTGGATTTTAAGTCGAATAAGTAATTATCACGCCCTGCCTTTGTCTGGTCTGTGCTTATCTCTGATGCGTTAGAGATAAGATTGGGCATATCTGCTTTCTGAATGTCGAAAAGGTCGACTGCAAACAAGCACGTATAGCCTGGGCGTTTGATGGTTGCATCCATGACTGAGATTAGTAACTCAGCAAGTTGTGTTTTAGCGCAAACAGGACAATCACCTCCCACTGGGCAGCCCCTGGAGAACGTCTTCAGCAAGATTATTGTGAGTTCATTAAATAGATCTTTCCTGAGCCCGGAGGACGACGCAATGCTAGAGTGGAAAATGCGCTGCTAACACAAAGAGAGATTAGATTAGGCTGAACAGTCCCATGAATCCGAAATGCAGAGTTGGAGGTCTACCTTGAGCACTAACCTTCATACCCTCTTCCTCCTTGCTTGCTGTCATTGGTGTAGGACTTATCGAGACTTATGCTCATTCAAATCGCTTCTTAAAGAGGCGCTTTAACTAGCGTTTATTACCCACATCCACAAGCTTGATACTCATTAATCTTTGTCAGTGTCGGAGGAGGGGGTAGTGGGTGAGGAAGGTGTTTCCACCCGTTTACATTCGTAGAGAATTGCCTATTTCACCACAAAATGACAACCTTATTGAGTGAAGTAGTTTGTTTACGAAGAGAGGGAGCTATGGGGAACATTTAAGCAGTGTAATATGAAATTCCAAACCTACCCAAGAACCTGGAGGCATTTCTCGCCTACTTGATACCTCGAAATTGCTAACGAGAGATGCATCTCAGACGCCATGCTATTCATGCGCATTAAGTTTTCGAACCAGCTCCTTACTTTCATTAAGGAATATCAGGCGTGTCAAAAGTAATTTTGTTGGAGCACTGCAATAAACGCACGAAACAAATCTGTGCCTAAATTTGATTCTCTCATATTATAAGTAATGTGAAGGGTATGGCAAATAAATCCACACGTGAGTCAGAGTTCAATTAATTATAACTTTTACAATTGTTCCTGTAGACCAGTATTTTCACGAGACGCTGAGAGGACAAATGGATGGTGGAAGCAAAGAGTACTAAAACGTGAAGGGATACTGGGATCTTACTCCTTCTCCTCCTCCTCCTCCTTTCCTGATTATTTGGAACACTTCACACGAATGAAGATTTGTTCGCTGGAAGCACGTTTATTGACTCATCCGTTCATTCTAGCATACATCACCGAGCTCCACAGAATTTGTGGTCATTCTTCAACTAGCTGTTGCCCATTTCCACTTCATATGCCATCTTTTTTTGACAGTTTTATAGCACAACGTTGTAAAAATGTGTCGTGATTTGGTAAATATGAATTCGTTACAATGTACCAGTTTATTTAGGTATCGTATCTGCGAACAAACACTTCTCACTGTGGACAATTCAAACATTTGCATCAAAAAGCGAGAATTTTGGACTCATTTTAAGTAAGGTGTGCATCGGTTGATTGGAATGGAATAGTGAAGTCATTAGGCAATTTTTGACATCTAGAGCCGCCTGACGACGAAAGAAAAGTAGAATGCATGTGTTGTTGATGTTCATAATGGGTGGAGACCTAAATATCCTCAGCGTCAAGGTGAAGGGTAGAACAAATGAAAATTTTGCATAGATCGTTTCAATTCCCAATTAACCCCTCGACCATATCGTTCCCCTTGTTATCGGAACCGGGTTTTCACTTCATCAACCCTTTCATAAGTATGATAATGTCGGTGAATAAATTGGTTTTGCATTAAAATGAAACTCCTGTGGCGATCTGGAGTTGGCGGAAGCCAGTTCCAAAGGTGAACTTGCGTTTTTGACACAGAATTGGGTTTATGATCTACTTAGAACGATTTAAGGACCAGAATTCTCCAAGGAGATAAGGCTGTAGATACATAAGCCGTCTGTAATCGAGATCTAGAGATGCAAAATCACTTTTAGCAACTGACGTTCAAAGTTGTCATACGATTGACATTGGACACCACTTGTCCTCGAGAAGGAGGAAGCGTAGAATGGCATGCTTGACTGCATAACCTGCGTTACTCCTTCAGTCTCCGCTGCCCAGTTAAGCATGTCTGCGTCAAATTTGTCTCATCCAATTTGTTCCCTTGCTTAAGACATGTACAGAATTTCGTTCAAAAGTAAAGAGTGGCGATACGGAGGCTGCAAGGATGGTATTAGGTATGAAACGATTTCTCAAATGGTTTAAAGCTTACATTAGCGTCTTCTTAAGTGTATTTTAAGATTTCATTCAAGTAACAGCAGTAGAGCTCCGTAGGAGCTTAGTCCGTACATTTTGTGAGGATCGTGACCCGTTAGAACACAAGAGAACTCAAAGTAATTGTCATTCCTCACCTTAACAAATGCTACCTTGAGCCTCCTTGTTTTGATAACGCTGCCGATGATTGCGTCCTCATTTATCCTGAGTTCACGTTCCAGTGAGCGCATCTTAAGGCAACCGATAGGAAGCAAGTCAGTTGGTGCCTCCTCACATCATTTGGCAGCAGGACCAGTGAATTTTATTATAGTCGCAGGCTGTCAGGCACCAGCGCCATTCCTCCAAACGCAATTAAGGAATGCAAATTAACTCCTTCGGGATTAACCACCATTACATAATTTATAGAAAGGCTAGTCAAACACGTACGAATGAAGCTGATACAATGGTAATCTGGGGAAACGGAAATATTTATGCCCATGGCTTTCGGCATGGAAAATGGGAAACGTGGTGACATTAACTAATGAATTTTGCATTACAGAAAGCGACTTCACTTGCAGTAAATGGTGTTTTAACATACAAAAATTATGGTAGCGCTGGGAACTGCGTTAAGTTGGTTAATTTGGAGTAAGTCAGACCAAAATACCGATTCTTTCAGCCAGGCGAACATTTATTTCGCTGAATCACTCAAACTATGAATTAAAACTTGTTTCATTTTTAAGAAATATAAGTATGTCACACTCACAACAGTAAAGCTAAAGTTTCCCTCTATTTTAGCACTTATTTGTGCTAAAATGGTTAAATAACCATTAGAAGGACGCATTTTGGATAAGTAATGCTCTCATTTTGTAAGCGTTATAGGGAGTCTGTCAACAAAATGTTGAAGTAATTAATCTACATTTAAAGATTGCATAATACCTTGGCTACTTGTAAAACTCCCCACTCTGGCCTTGTTTGCGCTTGGACTCCGCGGTTGTACGTCCGCCAAGAGGAATGCCACTAGCATGGACAGATATTCTGTGAATTTGGAATGCAGCTATTTATTAATTTATTTATTTGCTAGAGGTTTGGTCACCTCCTCGGCTGAACGGTCACCATCGCCCCTTGATCGGCCCAACAACTGATACCCCATAAGCCTTCATCAGGCGCCCCAGCAACGCAAAGTACTTAGGCCAAATTTGATGCTCACAGCCAATGCTTCAGTGCAGAGACTGAAAGCGTTGCCATTAATAAAATTAAAAGTGCACCTCAAATTTAAATTTGTTAGTACGTCGTGACTTTAAATGAAGTGACACCACAAGTTGGCACCAAGGGTTATTGAACACTTGGATGCCCGAACATTACTGTGTTCATTCAGTTATTTTGACAACCAACATGTTGATAGGCGTTGATGCGATTTGTTAGGCCTCCACTTTAAGTAGCATTAATAGCATGTACGGTACTTTGAAGGTATAATTTATTCGAAGTAATAGTGAACTCATAACCTTCTTTGGAGTCCAAATGAAGTGACTGAAGCAAATTTAGAGGGGTAGCTTCCCACAATTGCTAAAATGTAAAAGTTAATCGAATGGATGTTGACCAATGCCTTGGTTGGTCGCCCAATTTTGCATATGATTACGCGTAAATTAATGTTCCATTCCGCCCCAGCAGGTCCATTTCTTCTGTACGCAAGCGAATGACCTTCTCCACAAATTAGAGACGTCTCGCGAATTCAGGAACAACAGCACTGCACAAATTGAAGCTATTAGCCAACTCGACTCCAAATTTTAATCTGCCGGAAGTCCATGATGGACTGTGAGGAATTAAAAATACTTTGTAGCCTCCATAAATGACTGAACGCCATTTTTTGAGACTTTATCTGCAATACTTTGTTAATTTTACCACCTGATGTCTGGCGGTTACTTTAAGATTCGTGGGCTGGTCTTCGGGTCAAGTTCAGGCTTGATCTCCTTGCTCTCCCCGGAATACATGTATTCAGCTCCATTTAGGGCCTTCTCCTACCCAGTAAAAAGTCAAGGGAGGCTACAAAATCCTTTTGACGAGTCCTTTAAGGATCTAGCTAAGATACCTAGATGAAGGCGCATCAGCCAATTAAAACTCTGATAGGTATAAAGAGACAACGCTCAAGTGAGAGGAGGGAGAGGAGGAGCATGTTAATTCATTTCCGCTTTGCTATTTTAAACTGCTCTTTCTTTTAGATCAGCATCTCTGCAATTGGCAATGAATGTACAAGATCGTCTTTCCATGGGGTATTATGTAGCATCCAGCAATATGGTGACATCCCATCAACTCTACCCAAGTATCGATTTCTAACAGAACCAAATAGAGTTGTTACGTGGATCTTATGCATAATCTTATTCGCATGAAAGTTTGATGAAAGATATGGTCAATTTGTGGATGGTTTTTGCTTACAAAAACTGACCAGGTTCCGATGACTGATGCAGAGGTATATCTTTGTGAGAGGGTCTTTATATGACGTCAGTTTAAGCTCTCCTCTGTGTCAGCAATATGCTATAATGCCCTCCTTTGACTTCAGGAAAGACCTGGATCGATGTATTATATTTTTACGAAACCTGTTGTAGTACATTGTTTGCTTTGTAACCTGTATGACTAGAGTTCGCTCTTACATTCATCGTGCTCTTATGTGCTTAGGATGGCATTCGGTCCAATCCAGAGCCCAATTTCTCCATTTTTCTCCTCGAAAACGTGTATCAGCTCTGCTAAATGACTTTCTTGACCTTTTGAAAAGTATCAGATTGTTGCCAATGTAATACTTTGTTTGTGCGACTACCTGACGTTTGGCGGTCACTTTGGAGTTTGTCTGGTTTCTGTACACGTGGGCTGACCTTTGGGTCACGTTGAAGCCCCATTCGTCCTGTCGCCCTCGGAATACATGTATTCAACCTCATGCCTTCTTCCACCCTGTGAACAGCCTGAAGACGCTACAGCAAATGCACTCTTTTTATTGGGCTCAGTGATTTGGAGCCCAATATGCGCACCTTCTTTTACTTAACTTATTCAGAAATGTTGGCTAAAACGGCTTGTGTTAGGTGAGAAAAGTCGATAAGGCCACGTATATGGTTTCATAGTTTACTTTACTTGTCCGATTATTTTCAAGAGATTACCACTGTAATAAGCTGGAGAGCAAAGCATAATTAAGTACTGCCAAATTAACTCACAGTTTATTTCGATTGCCTAAAATTGGTACTGAAAACTGGGAGCAGAAGTGAAATGCAATTGAGCTCTATTAAAGTTGTAAATTTTCGGCAAAATAAAGCTGATGGATTAAATTTTTAACTTTGGACCTGCCGATTTTAAAATGCAATAGTCTAAAATGAAAAAATAATGTGGATAATACACAGCTTAAATATTACCTTCATGCAATGCAAAATTTTGATTGGCTAACGCGCTGCTCTTAGTTTAACCTCGTTGGGATTGTGCAAGCTCTTGGGATGTCGAAGTCTGCTGAGGCGGAAGCGACTACGAAGTTTTTGAGGCACAAGGAAAGTCTGGTACCGGCCTTTCTAAGTGTCAAGGGTCTTGTAAAGTTGCACATTGACTCATTCAATCATTTCATTGAAACTGAAATCCGAAATATAGTCCAGGCGAACAGTCGTGTAAGTGTTCCGTCTTTTAATTGGTGGCTGGAATACAATAATGTCTACATCAAGCCACCCAGTGTTAATGATGGGAGCATTGTTGCTAGTCCTGTTACACCACATGATTGTCGGCTTCGTGACCTCACCTATGCTGGTGAAATTCTGGCTGATATTACCTTTACACGCCAACACGAGATCGTTTCCAAGAAGGGAGTCTTTATTGGACGGATGCCAATTATGCTCAAAAGTTCGAGTTGTGTCTTAAATGGTGCGTTGCTTGCCAATGTTGAACTTACCATCGATCATTAAGTGCTCGTTTTAACTAATCTTAATTTTTTAAGGGAAATCGGCATTTGAACTAATGAAAATGAAAGAATGTCCTCTTGATCCAGGAGGTTATTTTATTATAAATGGTAGCGAGAAAGTGATTCTCATGCAGGAGCAGATGTCTAAGAACAGGATCATTGTCGATGGAGATACAAAAAAGGGGATGGTCTGTTCTGTAACCTCTTCCTCTGCGCAAACAAAATCAAAGACAAATATCTTACTAAAGGATGGTCGTTTCTTTCTACAACACAATTCCTTTACTACTGATGTTCCCATAGTAATCTTAATCAAAGCTATGGGCATAACCTCGGATAGGGAGATTCTGCATTACGTCGGGTGTGAAGAAGCAATCTGGACAAGGCTGGTCCCCTCATTAAAACAGTGTATCGAAGCGAAGGTGAGATTTCTTAACCTATCGTTGTATTGGGTTGTTTCTTCTACTCTGTAGGTGCACACAACTTTGGAGGCATGTAAGTGGCTCCAATCGAAGCTCCGCGCTCCCCGTTTCCGCTCCACAAAAATAATTTCCATTGGCGGTAAATCTGCCACTGATATAACCGATCGTGATGTCCAGGCGGACATTCAGCGAATGCTTCGAGACATTATCATTACACACGTTCCAATGAAGAAAATGAACTTTCAGGATCGTGTTCTCTTCCTTGGACAAATGATCCGCTACCTTGTTCTTCTTGCTGACGGTCAGATACCTGTGAGTTCCGGTTGTGCTTTACTTATCATTGCTCTATGTCTCTATTCTTCATTATGAGTCTTCTTGCCCTAGCCTGACGATCGTGACTTCTATGGCAATAAACGAATTGATCTGGCTGGCTCCTTGATTGGGCTCCTTTTTGAGGACGCCTTTAAGACTTTTAATGAGGATTTATGGATGGCCGTTTCGAAGTCAGATACGAAACGGAGAGTCTCCCCATTCGACATCACCCGGCACATTAAAACTTGGCTTATCACTGAGCAACTGAACCGGGCCATCTCTACGGGCAACTGGGTTATCAAGCGTTTTCGTATGATGAGGCAGGGTGTTACACAATTGGTCAGCCGTTTGTCCTATGTAGCCGTTCTTGGACATATGACTCGTGTTACCAGTCTCTTCGAGAAAACCCGTAAGGTGGGTGAATGATGCATGCTGCCTGCTCCAAGAGTCAGGATAGAAGCGACTTTGAAAGGGTTTTCGTTGATTTTATAGTCAAACTAATAGGTGCACCTCTTAGTAGACGATGGATTTTGGATAGCAGGGTGAATCAGACCATTTTTCCTTCCATTCGATTTTCGAGAGGCATTTAAAATGGTAATGTGCTCATTTTTCGTCCATCGTTTATCTCATTTCCTAACAGTAATCTTGGTTTGCACGTTTTCTAAATTCACTTTAAACATCTTTGTACTGGTTTTCAGATTTGCGATCCATCTAGAGAAATGTAACATATTTCACCGACGCATGGGAGGCACTTAGGAAGTAGCTGATTAGTCGCTTCACTCCTTTCAGATTGCAGGTCCTCGTGCCATCCACTCGAGTCAATGGGGTTTGGTGTGTCCCTCGGACACGCCAGAAGGAGAGGCCTGTGGTTTGGTGAAGAACGTCTCCCTCATGTGTCACGTAACCGTTGAAGTTGACGACACTAATCTCATAGAACTTCTTCAGACCTACTACGTTTACACTCTTCGTGACTTTAGCTATGCTCCGGATGAGTAAGCTTTTGCTATTAACGAATTTGATTATTTGCTTGTTCATTTCTATCTGTAGGTATATCGTTTACGTCAATGGCAAGCCAATTGGCTTCACGAAGGAGCCAAATGAACTTGCAGCCGTAATCCGCGGACTGAGACGCTCGCGCTACCTTCACGAATTCGTCTCTGTGCATTGCAAACCAGTGCTTCGCTGTGTCCACATTGTTAGCGATGGTGGACGTCTGTGCAGACCTTATATTATCGTCTCCAACGGAAAACCATTGGTCACTCAGGGCATGCTTGACGTAAGCCCATAGATGCTAAACTTATCACCGTTTGTATTGTTTCCAAGATGTTAACTGTGTTCGGCTGACTGTAGGATCTTGCAGCCAAGGTTCTGAACTGGGAAGACTTTTTGAAGAAGGGCGTGATAGAGTACCTCGATTCAAACGAACTCAATGATTGTCTAGTCGCGTTGTACGAGAATGATATTACATCCAACACTACACACTTAGAAATTGATCCAGCTACCATTCTGGGTGTCGTAGCCGGTCTCATTCCCTACCCGGACCACAATCAATCGCCTCGCAATACGTATCAGTGTGCCATGGGTAAACAGGCCATGGGAACCATTGCTCTTAATCAACAGATTAGGTACGTAGTTCCTTATCTAACTTTGCAAAGTGTTTATTGGCTCCAACAGCGGATCTCTATAAAATGTTTTATTATTTAAGGCGTTCATGCTTTGCGTCTCTACTGATTCCTAAAGATTGTGTGGAAGTAGGCATAACGAAGAATTAACTCATTTTTGTTTTGTTTTGTTCTTAAACTTTACAGAACTAAACTTGACGACTTCGATATAGTTCAAATTTTTTACCTTTTTGTAGGTGTTTACTCCTTCATATTGCAGTGCCTTGCCTTTAGTGTGCGACGGGGAAATAGAGTTTCCCTTGCTATTGTAAGACGAGTTATTTGTTCCGATTTGCCGGTTTAAAATTGGATGAGCTCTTTCTACGCAGCTCTAATACTGTATTTATACACCACACATCACTTAATTTTGTGCTTGAATTTCGGAGATTCAAAGCCTTATTTTTCAGCTCAACTAAAATAGTTTAGATTGGCCTTCGGAAAACGGAATTGTTATCCATTCCGAACTCATTTCTCGTCAGTCTAAATGTTTATCCCAACTTATTGCTACGTATTTGCCGCTCTCTAGATGGAGTCTTCTCTTGCTCACTTAGTTTGACACCCAGAGCTCAACGTACCAAACGGTGGTTAGGTTTTCATATCGGGACACGGTCAAATACTCTGTGGCTGAAAATGTACGTAAAGCCAAACAGCCGGAACCGTTACTGATAGGACGTTGCTTACGGCCGTCCTTGGAACTCTTTCATCATGTGAATGCTCTGCTGATATTTAGCGGACTGTTCTTCTCGTTTGAAAATGACGGCATTCTTATTTCATCACTACTAGATACATGAAGAAAGACTATCACAAGGGTTAGGTGGTCGTGCAGGCACAGCGTTCCCTGAAATACAAACTTGGAAGTATATACATATTTCCAATTGGAAACCGATAAAGTCATTGCTGGTTGGTTGATTATACTTATTCAGAAGGGCGTGTCTAAATATGCGAAATACTTTTGAGAAATGGAACTCTAAGAGCCAATGGTGGTTGGAGTGTGAATTTTTCTATTGAATGAGGGCGGTGACGAGGCGTCTGGATGCTAATTGTAGGTTTGACACGTTGCAGCTGCAGATGGTATACCCGCAGCGTCCACTGGTCCAGTCAAAGACTATCCAGATGCTGCACTTCGACCAATTACCAGCGGGTCAGAACGCCATCGTGGCGATAATGTCTTTTACGGGCTATGATGTTGAAGATGCACTCATTGTCAACAAGGCCTCTATTGATAGGGGTTTCGCACGAGCCTGCGTCTACCGGCGTGTTGGAGTGCACATGAAGGTGTACGGCGACGCCACCTACGATCGGCTTATGGGACCTGTGATCGATCGAGGTTGGTGGATGCAAAAGTTGCTACTTTTGTTAAGGGGAAAGCTCATTTGTTGACCCGGTCCCGCTGCTATGCAGAGACGGGGAAGCCGCGGCGCGAGGACGAGATTCTTGAGGCAGATGGCACGGCTGCAGTGGGTGCGAAGGTGCAAAATCAACGCATCCTCATCAATAAAGAGATGCCGGTAGTTAGTATTCCTTCAGTGGCTTCTGAAAATGCCGGTTCGCTGAGCATTCACTCCACTACACCAGCCAATGCGGTGAGTTCCCAAACCACGTCCTGTTTTACCATTTCATTCATTCTTTTGGAGTTCTGCACGTGATTGTCTCTAGATGAGCTCTGTTCGATACAAATAAATCGACTTAGTGGCATGACTAGTTGCCATTTTGTGTGTTAAATAAGCCTTTATTCGCCATCCAAAATTGTGAGATAAAGTCTCGCATTGGATGGAGTTAATTTTAAACGGTTCACTCTGCAAGATCTTCCATTTTTAATCAGGCGTCTTCATTTCAAGACTTCGACACCGAAAACTTGTTATTGGTTGAATGTGAAGCGAGAATACCGCATTTGCTATAAATGAAATGACTCTTGTGATCAATTGTCCCATCAAACGAATTTCACAGAAGCAATTGGTGCTCTGCCCATCAAAATTTACGTTTCGCATCTGTATGACTGGCAAAAAACATTGTGATTTCGACGGGCCCACTTGATCAAGCCGTTCTGGTGCATTGTTTATGGCTCAGTAATGGTTAAATACTAAGATGAATGAATGCGACATCGACAGTTGGTTGGCTAAATAGGTACGTGTATTCTTACTTTAAGATTGAGTTCAAGCGAGTTCCTGCGGATTACCGTGGCATTGAGCCGTCGTACGTAGACAAAGTAATGTTCGCGGCCGCTGGAGACGGTCAGGTTGCAGTAAAGGTACTTCTGCGCCAGACGCGACGGCCGGAGATGGGTGATAAGTTTTCCTCGCGCCACGGTCAGAAGGGAGTTGTAGGCCTCATCGTGCCTCAGGCTGACATGCCAGTCTCCTCCCAGGGTATATGCCCTGACATAATCATGAACCCCCATGGCTTCCCCAGCCGCATGACTGTAAGTTCCATCCGCTCTTCCCAGCTGCCTTTATCCCTTCCTACTGCAATCTTATCTTCCCATCTTATGTTAACCGGCATTTGAGATTTGCTTAGTGAAAGTCTGTAAGTGCTGTCAAGCTGTTGAGTTAAGAAGTGAGAATAAATGCTAAATGGTGGAGAATGCGTTATCAGATTGGTTTTTTGTTGAGGAACACAACAGCTACTCATCTGCATGTGTCATAAAATTCGTAAAATAGAATATAAACGCGTCCGATAAATTTGAGGTTGATGAGTGGCACTCTGCTCACAAGTGGTAACTTCGTTCCGCTTTCCTTTTACAACTACCCATTCTTTCCGTTTTGTCTATACTTTTCCTACTCTGAATTTTATACGAAACCTTCCAAAGCGATTCATTTTTCATAGTGGCCCCTTATTATTAAATCACATGCCTGTTCTCTTCAAATAAGCAAAAGGATTTTATTCGAATGACTGATTGATAAATGTAGGCTTGTGGGAATGTCCTCAAAAATAATCCCTCTCCTTCCGTACGCTCGAAGCTCTTGACACTACTTTAGCGTCAGAAACTCGCCTTGGTACCTCGAATGGATGTTACAAATTTAACACCGACAAACCAAATCAACAGTCACGTTATCGGGTCGTCTTGTACTCACATAGCCTCGGTATTCCTAGTGTACCCATCATAACTTCACATAACGTGTGGAGACAAACATCATTACCCAAGAAGGACGAGGGAAGGACCAATTGGGTTTGTATTAGGCTATATCATCTGGTCAATAATGGAAAATTGGCAGTTAGAAAATTTTCACGATCTAATGAGTAGGTATTGTGATTTGGTGTCATTTTGTCTTGAAATCTTTTCTAAATTAGTGGTAGTAAGCGTTCAGATTATAACGGTAATTGCTAGTGCTAAATTTTCATTGCTTTAATAAATCTAGTTTGCATAAGAATGGTGCCAGAACGACATAATGGGATTATTTTAACGACAATAATAGTGCTAATCGAAGATATTTTGAACAGGTAGGAAAACTGATGGAGCTGCTGGGTAGCAAGGCAGCCGCTATCGATGGTCGTCTGCGAGACGGCTCCGCTTTCTCCGGCGATCCGGTAGAATCGCTCGGTGAGGTGCTCATCGAACACGGCCACCACTATCTCGGTAAAGAGATCCTTATCTCTGGAGTCACAGGTGAACCCATGGAGGCCTACATCTACTTCGGCCCCATCTACTATCAACGCCTCAAGCACATGGTTATGGACAAGGTTAGCATTCTCCACCCACTCTTTGAGTTTGCGTTGCACCGAAAACGACAGCTACGATTCGCATATACACTGATAGGTCCACGCGCGTTCCCGTGGTCCAGTGACAGCGTTAACACGACAGCCAACAGAGGGTCGAAGTCGGGAGGGTGGGTTGCGAGTGGGTGAGATGGAGAGGGACTGTTTTATCGCCTATGGAGCCTCTCAGCTGCTCGTAGAACGTCTGCTCACTTCCAGCGATGCCTATGATGCGGTGGTATGCGAGGCTTGTGGCCTCCTGGCCTCTTCGCCCAACTGGTGTCAGTACTGCCGCAGCAGCAGTCAACGTATTGCCACTGTGCGCATGCCCTATGCGTGCAAGTTGCTACTGCAAGAACTCATGTGCATGCGCATCCTTCCTCGCCTTCAACTATCTGCACCTAACGAATCTCCTCTCGTACAGAAACTGCCGAGTTATCCAACCTCAACTAGGATTCAGGGTGCTTCTAAACTATAATTCAATCAATACAGTCCCCTTTCCCCCTCCCCTATAGATTTGTGTCTGTATAGTTTCAATGAATTTAATTTATTTGAAGAAATTTTAAAGTGATAATACGTTTTTACGCAACCACTAGCTATATTTGCTGCATAAAGTACAATGAAATGTTCTCCAATTGCTGGCAAAAATCGTAGTTTAACTTGGCAATGGTCTCCAAATTCTTCGTCTAGCGGGTGTGTTATTGTGGAGAACGAAATGTGATTTACCGTCTTTAGGATAAGCTCTCGTAGCCGTCTGCGTCTTTGTCCAGTCAGAGGTATAATGGAAGAATCGAGGACAATCTCGCTCAAGTTCAAAAGCGTGTTTCTAGTTAGTCTTAGGAGAAAATGAAGGGACGGGGCAGCTTACTCTTGTTCTGCAATCGGGACGGGGAGGTACTGGAGGGACTCCTGAAGACGTTTAGCATATTCAGTGATCTTGTTGAGACTCTCGCGAACAGTTCGCAAGTCAGCAGCAAAGAGCACGCATGTTTCAGCCTCCTTCGCTGTTTCTGCAAGAGATTCTTGCGCTTGGATTTCAGCGACTGTATCTGATTTTTTACTTGAGACTTCGTTTTCAGAGGTCTTGAAGCATATTAGGTGATAAAGCAAGTGCCCACGTTATCATGTCAAATACAAGAATACAATACAATATTGATAAAAAGCAAAACCGGCGAAAAGAAGTGTAAGAAGGCAGTCTTCATCGCCAATTAGAGTGCGCAAAGTCGATATCGTTTGCCCTGTTTAAGCGCCATTACATAACTCGATGTAGCATTAAATCCACGAAGAGGCAATAAATAAGAAGCTATAAACTTCAGAAAATAATGGTAGCGCAATTCGCAGGTCAAAAGATGAGCGATACTCTAACAAGAACATTCAAGTATGGAGGTAAAACAGAAAAAAGCCATTTTATAATGCATAAATGACTTGACATTAACAGTCTCATGAAGTCAATAAGGATTAGGAGAAGGCACCTACAAATGGGAACGAGTAACCAAACTCCTCCGCCAAAGCGCACACGGTATCAGCCATTCCGAGCCGTTCCAATTATTGCGCTTACAACTATGACCAACTAAAATCACACAATTGCAATTATTCTATGTAAGGTGGCAACACTCCTAAGTTCACTAAAATTCTATTGATCAACCGACTTTCAAAATATTTGCTCGATCTTCCATCTTCATTATTATATTGTGGCTTCACTATTACAGGATCCAGAGGTTTCCTGCCTTTAACGGCAGTTAGCGGGACTAAATGTACGTATTCAATGGGAAAAAGGAGAATACTGGGTTTCAATTTGGTCTAAAGTTGAATACCAAATCAGTATGCATTAGCGCAGTAGCCGACCTTATATATGTCTGCCTTAGTCTTCCCGTTGTGTGCAATTCGCCCTCGACAGCCACCATTGTAATGCTTTGTTTATGCGGTCACTTTAGGACTTGTCTGGGCCCTGTACACGTGGGCTGGCCTTCGGGCTACGCTCAGGCTCCATTTCTTTTATTGCTTTCGGAACACATGTATTCAACCCCACTTATGCCTTCTACTACCCCATTGGAAGCCTCGGGACGCTACAAGCATATCGCATTCGGTCCTATTTGAAGACACTCAAGAAAAGTCACGCCAGTCACCAACTCCCATGAGACTGATGAATTATACCTTACCTTATCGACAGATTCAACTGGATCTGTAGTTGCAGAGGCAAGAATTGTCCGCAGCTTGACTTTGAAGCATTGGTGTAAAATGAATTCACAATTGGGAAAACGGGATATAATACAGGCTTTCATGAAAAGGAAAAATGCCAGGTTGACAAAAGTCGAGCACGTCATTATTAGGCCTTCGGGTATATAAAATGAATCTCTCCCTCAAAATACTCGCATTTTCAAGGTAAAGCAGAAGTCTGCCACGAAAGGTGGAATCCAGGAAAAAATCCATAACAATTCGGGTTAGCAGACAGCTGCCAACAACATATTGTCTCAAGACTTACCCATGTGTACTAAAAAGAACAACACTAGAATTGAAAGCTCGCACTTTGAAGAGAAGGCTAAAATGAGGCTATGATATGATTAACCAAACAAGCTTAACGCTTATGCTTTTAGTGTGTCAGCTGGTCCGGAAGAAGAACCAAGACTACGTAGCTGAGAGCAAGGAGTAACACTTGAAGTGCCCCAAGACTTCTCACCAGGTAAAAAAGACAGTAAATTGGGCTGAATACGTGCATTTTAGACGAATAAGGAGAAATTGCGTCTTGTCTTGGGCTGGAGGTCAGCCTACGCGTACAAGAGCAAGACGCATATCAAAGTAACCGCCAGAAATTAGGCAATCACACAAACCAAGTGCTTCAACAATTTGCTTGTTACACTGTTAGTGGAAATGACAGTCATTTTTACAATCATCCTACTTCTGTGAACCGATTAACCTAAGGATCACGAAATTCTTCGCTTCCATCCCACATCCCAGAAAACGAGTGTTTTATTTATCAATAATCAGTTTCTAGCAGCAATGTATGACAAGCGGTCATGCTGTTTGAAATGAACTGAACATGTGGGCGCTGCAATAGTGACAGTGGAACACGGAGCCTTGTGACACACGCCTAAGGTGCGAAGGAAGAGCATCGTTTGCAGGCGTGAAACTCTCTGATGTTTTCACAGCAGAATATTCCAGACAAGGCATTAGCAACTACGAGACATGGTAGCTGACGGCTGGCACGACCAGCTTTTGGGCGTTATGTTTTGATTGCTGGCGTGGAAATTGTACCAAGGGGAGTGTCGAGAAAGTCGCTCAAAAGAGGCGAGAGTTAGTACAATACTCTGTTTGTGTGATCGCCTGATGTCCATGTAATGCTTTGTCTATGTGACTACCTGACGTTCGGCAGTCACTTTAGGAATTGTCTGGTCCTTGTACTCGTGGGCTGGCCTTCGGACCATGCTCAGGCCCATTTGTTTGTTTTCTTCGGAATACATGTACCAAGCCTCACTTTCTGCCTTTTTCCACCCGATGGGAAATCTCGAGACGCTACAGTCCAGTGGTCACTTTGGTATCCGTCCTGTACGCGTAGGCTAGCCCTTGTGACATGCTCATCTTAAGTCCCTTTGTTCATCCTGGAATACATGTATTTATAGCCCACCAATTGCCTTTTTTCACCCTGAGGGAAATCTCGGGACGCTATGCAATCCCTACTCCTTCTCTTAAAGTATATGTGTTAAGCCCATCTTAATAGCCTCTAATGATTGAGAAGTTTTGGGGAGCTATATTAATATTTGCTTTGTTCTTAACTAAGTTCTTTGCTACTCAAAACATCCAGGGGTCATGATCCCCACCCTTTTTCTAAATGCAAGTGTTTAGCTTCACTTGCTGCTTCCAAACAACGCCGTCTCAAACATCCTCGTACTTAATTTCAGTCTTTCTCGAAGGAAATTTTGCCGACGATGATTTAGTAGGCAATTCTAGATAGGCCATATCAAAGGAACAAAGGCAAACCAAGGCTATCCGAGTTGTTTCATGGAAGAGTTAGAACACTCTACGTGCACGATCTGCAGCAGCACCATAATTGTACACACGCAAATCGGCAGTTCTGGTGTCTAAATCTGGTTGTTGCAGTGGCATAGTAATACATACTGGTTATTCAAATGAGACTTTATTGGAGTGCGAATGTACGTTCCAAGACGAGCTTGGATGTCCCACCTGCACCCCGACCTCACAGGGTATTAACACTTAGCACTGTACAATAACTTCCTTTTACCATGTTTTGCTAAAGACTCTTATAAGGCAAATAAAAGCAAGAGGAAAAGGTACGAGTGTCTTAGTGGAAAAATTTTGACTTTTATTTGCTTTATAGAGGACATTATTGTTGGTTTGGGGTAAAAAAGTGGTGACTCAATACAAAACGTATAATATAAGGCTTATTTTCAATGCACTATTTAAGATTTTACCACACTACTTATTAAAAGTATTTTCTGGGTAATGCACCTAATGTTTAATTAGTTTTACTCACTAATTTTTCCTGACCTCATGCATGCCCCCATTCACCGCGTTGCATAAACTGTTTTTCAATGGATGACTTCACGTCCGCCTTCCTTTCTAGGGGAAAGGATGAGTTAAAGGACGTGGAAGCTAGTATCTCTTACACTCCATTTGGTGTCGAAGCGCAGAATTCGGAAGTGTCTACTAATGCTGAATCCTTACGACAGCAATCTGCAGATATTGAACCGGATACTGTTAAGCAGTGGCGGCATGAGTATCACACAAACATTGAGAAAAAAGACGCTAATGAGGCCGCGAAGGATAAAGCGATGAAGGAGTGCGCCGCTAAGGTGGGTTCTGCAAACTAGTTAGTGATGACCGACTACCTTAGATAAATAATTTGTAACGATTTGCTACTCCCGCTGATTCGTATAGTTGTTTTAACTTTGCTAGCCGTTCGCATTGTTCTTGGCCATTGCTTTGGGCTTTTTACGCATGTGCTATTGCTGTTTGCGAATCTAGTCCAGAAGAGAACGTCGCGCTTTTATTCACAGCTAGTTGCTATGTGCACTTAGACTGGCTGCTGCATGCTTTATCTACTCATCCTAGAATTGTAACCTTATGTCCGAATCTGCATTTTAGGAATTAGCTGAGTGGCAGACTTGGCACAAGAAGAATTTGATTGAGGCGCATAAACGAAATCTGGCTCACGAAGAGGAGCTGCAAGCTCAGAGAGACAAGACGATGCTCCTTTCCCAATCCGTCTCAAATGTTAACTCATCGGACTCCGCTATTTGGGAGCGTGTATGTCAGCTCTGTGATCTCACGGTTCCCACATGGTCTGGGGACTCTGTCTTTTCGAAACCATCGGTGGGTGCCTCATCTAGCAAGGACGTTACGCGATTCCGCTCCCTCCTTCTCTCTCTTAAGAACAATCCTCCCAGGGTATGCCACTAAATTTTGGGAAAGTAACCGTTCTCCTCTATCACCACTCTGTGTTGTATAATCTTGCATTCCTTGATTGTTTGCTGGCATAGCCCTTCCCCCTCGTTTTTTATTCATCTCCCGTCCTCCCCCCCTCCCACTTTGTACACCAAACCCAAGGTACATCTCGAACTTTCGCTTGCTTGTTAGTTTCATGTGTACTACTGTTGTTTTGTTTACGAGATAAAAGTTGCTCAGCTAAGTTACTGAGATTTGATCGCACACATTTCGGCCATGCATCCACTTGAGCAAGTGATCAAGAGATCGCACAACCTATCATCGACATCGGGATGTGAAACAAACCGATGTTGCACTAAAGTACCTTACAGATACCGCTGTGGTATCTCTAAGTTCTCGAATACCTTGTCCACAGTGAGCTAGTGCTTACCTACTCAAACAATCCTTTCCCTAATTAGTGCAAAAACAGAGGTGTATGCACACACAATCAACTTTTTGCATAATTTAAAAGGTACTGAATGAATACAAAGCCAAATCACGACAAAAGAGGAAAACATGAAAGGACAGAGATGCCGTCGTGATCACGATGAGGAATGGGGTGGTGGAGGTGGCGGTGCTCCACTAGAGGGTATTGAAATGGCGAGATGAACACCGTTAAACCCCGTAGCTGCAGCAAAGGCAGCAGTAATGGAGGGAGGTGGAAATCGCATATTTATCGTTTCAATGCATGCGACAACTCGCTCTAGTAGAGCAGGCATATTTCTCGAGTACTGCTCTATCCGCCTAAATAGGCACTCCCAAGTCAGCGTCTGATTCGTCGGTGGCATGCGTTGATTGGCTAGATAAGCACTCAATACCATGTCCACGAATTCGCCCCAGCATTCCTCTGAACGGTCTATGCTGCGGAGGTGTAGATTGACTTGGACGTGGAATCTGTGCAAGGCACAAACACGTATTTGCATTATAAAAAAATTAGCTGGATAACTTTCCAATCGCTCCCCAATGTGACGCAAAAGACTAGCAGAATCTTAGAGGCTCATGGAATGCACTTCTACAGGGACGCCTAAACTGAAATGCTTTCAGAGAAACTACATATAGTGGTAGCCGGTCTAGCAGGATGAATGTTGTAATAAGGACCTATGGGAGATATTGAATTCGGTTTTAGATAAGGTTTGTGCATTTTGTGGAAACCCGCATCTCTGACTCACCTCTGTGCATAAAAGACAAAAAAAGCATTCCAAATGTCCTTACAAGTAGTGTATCCTATTAACCATCTGCTCCAGAAGTTCTTTGTTCACAGTATTGGGCGCAACATCATTGGCAACATCTCCCACCACCGCTGGAACGGTGATCGTCTGTTGTTGCTTCTGTAACATATACTTCGGCTCCCACTGTGAGTAGCTCCAAACCAAAGGTCTCTGATGTGTCAGTTGGTAGGGGCCGACGGAAGAGGAGAAGGGATACCCGCTGCTTGGTGAGCACTGCGAGTAGACCGATGAAGACGACGAAGTGGAGGAGGAAAGGCGATTGGGAAAATACTTGTCGAGTACCTTCACTGTTATTGCCGACATAATGAGAGGACAGGGGATGCATTTAATCATGCGCCTGCAGTAGATGGATACAGCCTCATCACCTAGCATCTCTGCCACCTCCAAGGCGCGAAGAATGTTCTCCTCAGAGGAGCCTGGAGCGTAGTCGTTTCCCCTGGTGTCGGCCAACGAAACGCGGCTACTCAGAGATTCGTTTTGAAACAAGGTCGAGACATTTTCGCCATCAAGGTGTTGGTGACGATGTTGCCAGTGGCAAAACTTGCCACTCCAGTCCCGTGATTGTAGTGGCGTGGAACCCAGCTGAGGCGTCTGGGACAGCAACAACAGAAAGGCAGATTTACAAAGCTCATCAGTCTAGTTTAAGTCCCAAGTAAGTGTCAACGAAAGAATACCTGATAACAATGACTTATAACATTATGAATGGATTTTCTGACCAAAAGAGGTGAAAAATGGAAATTCTGGACTCTTGAAATAAACAAAAAACAAAGATTATGAGAAGCGAAAAGGCGGTGTCTGTAGTACTTTTTTTACTACTATTTAAATTCTAGAATAGCAAGATCCTTATCAGTTAAAGAAAATATGCATTGTTGAGTCAACCTGAATACGACCTCTCACTTGTGAAAGGAAAAGTTTTTCAATTCCACTTAGAAATGAACGGAAGCTTCGAAGTAAGAAGTGGCGTGCTTTCCCTTCCAACTCCCAGATGACTGCTCCTTCCACACTTTTGACCGCAATCGAATCAATGGGAGGTTCCACCACTGCTGGAGTCTCTACCCGTGTTTCAGCCACATCGTGTCCGGCTGCCTCGTTTTCTGGACCAAGCGGTGGACCTCGAGCGTTACCGGTGTTTGCCGCGTCTGCTGCCGCAGAAGCAATGACGGGAGACCCTGACGTCACAGCATCCTCAGCAAACATTGCTCGACGGAGATAATCCTCGATATCATCTAGGGTGCAGAAATACAGGAAAGGGTAAGAATTTATTAAGTTCAGATTTAAGTGCGATAACATGAAAATGTGTCCATGTCATTCAAGTCACCAGTTCCCCAGCCCTTTTTGTGTCAACAATAAACCTGCTTTCAAAATGTCAACGTCTAGGTATCACAGGACATGTAATTGGTAAACTGGGCAGACGGAGTGCTTACTTTGGCTTCGATGCAATGACAAAATCAGTTGGCAGTGAATAACCAAAACACTACAGTAATGCATACAAACTGTGAAAATACAACACATTTATGAGGGATATGAAGCAACTGTTACCCTGAGCAATGGAAGCAGTGACTTGTGGAATAGAAGCCGGTGTCGCAGTTGGGTAGAGATGTGAGTGTCCAGAGTAAAAATCGTAGACAGCGGGAGCCACAGGTTGCATAGTCAACTGCTGCATCGGTGGGAGGGAGACACTCACCTTCAAGTGAAGCACAGTAGAAACGGTCAAGTGCCGAGAATTTGAGTATGAGCAAAATTAAAAGGGCAGGTGGTTTATACCTGTTGCGATGACTGTACAGGAAAGACTGGATAAAAAGGGAGGGAGAAGGGCTGTGCAAAAGATGGAACAAACGCCGAACCGGCAGCTGTGACTGCAGCAGCGATGGGATCAATATTGGTTGTGGGGATGTATACGAGTTCAGGGATGGAAGGATGAACGGACTCCTGGAAGCTACCAGGCCATGCGCCACTTTCGTTATTGGAAGGCTGGTTCTCCACAGTAGACACTACCGGAGTTCCAGATGTCACTTCCACCGACGAAGGCCTCGTGGGGAGTTTGCCTTTGGTGATTTCGTAAAGTCGAAACCAGTAGTTAGCCAACTGGAAATGAAGCTCGGACATTACTCCGTAGGGTGTGGACTTCACGCCTTCTTCGATGCACAAAAGACCACGTTCAAGCATCTCTGGCATAGCGGAGAGCTGAGAAAGTGCACACTTGATGGCATCCGACTTCAATGTTGTGCAATCTGTCAAACTCGCCAGACACAACTCGCCCGCCATTTTTGACAGCTACAAGGTAATAGCATCAACCGGTGATTAGGTTCATTTACACAAGCATGAGCATAAATAAAGGGTAGAGAAATATTCCGTTCAAGTTGGAATGGACACTTACTCTTTGGTCTCCCTTTTTGAAGAGCTGATAGGCTACGGCTGTAACCTCTTCAGTAGTAAAGTGATTGCGCCAGGAATGCAGTAGCATAAAGGCTGCAGGCAGCTCAATTTCGAATATTTGCTGACTTATCCAGGCTACGTGACGCGAATATGTTCTGCTCTTCCATGAAGGTTGCTGCAGATTGACGAGTCCCAAAGCGTAGAGACCTACCTGTAAAAAAATGAGTGAGAAAAACGCCTACTGTGCACAAGTAGCGCTTTTATGGTGTTTTAGCCATCTTTGTTGTACTTCGGAAGGCCTTAGGGGCGACCGACCCATAAGAAGAGAAGTAAGCCATTGGGTAATGCGACAAAAAGTAAAGAGTATACAGCAAATCAATTTTTACCTGGACGGCAGCAAAGTGAAGGTTTTGGTTTGTTGGTCCATGTGTTACTGCCTCAGGGTTGAAGACAGATACACTGGCGTTAGGTCCACCGGCCGCGGTGCGGATGCTCTTGGCCAATTGAAAAATGTGCTGTGCGTAGGATTCAGTGGGACGTTGACGTGGGATCGCACACCTCATGCCGTCACCGACCATACTTCGCTAACAGGGAAGGAAAAAAGGATCACTTGTATTGAGCATACTACGACTACACTACTACCCAATTCTCTGACTGCACTCATTCTACGCCTCCAAGAACTATCCGAGTTCCAGTAATTACCAGTTAAGCATTTTCTAGGCAGTAAGCAAAGGGAAGCCTTGTATAAAACGAAACATTTAAACTCTATTGAGCTTGAATAACATCCTTGTGTAACCTTTGGTCAATGAATCTAATTAAAAACAGCCAAATTTAAAGTTACCTAGCAAGCATGACAAAAGGAACTTGCCAAAGGAGGCCTATTTACTACCAATCCACAACTGTTTGCACCCTTCAAGCCAGATCTGAGTAATGCACCAATCACCCTGTTAGGACATTGACTACTTTTAATACAACACTGCAAAAGTACGGCACTATCACACTGATGGAATGAAGAGCTGGTACTAGCCCTCAAGTTTCGCTGCGTTTAATGGAGCCTAAATCTGATTTGCATGCATCATGACGCTCTTGAATAGAACTACACACCAACTATTTACCGAGTAACTGACAGCCACATTAGAAGACGAGACACCAGCCGTAGACCTCGAATCCTCTCCAGTAGAAGAGGAGAGGCAATCGGAGGAGGAGCCCCCATTTCTACGTCTAGCAACAGAAGTACCGCTCCCTGAGGTGATGAAAGTATCGCCAGGCGTCATCCCTTTGGGTAAACGGAAGCGAAAAGCGCCACGACTGGTGGTGGGCGAGTTGTCACTGCTCGTGGTCTCCGGTGCACTGCTATCCACGGCTGCCATACCAACAGAGTGACGGTTGATTCGCCTCGGATCACGCAGGGTTGCGCAACGTAAGCGCTTATCCCAAGCCTAAAACTCAAGGGGAGAAAATGAGTAAGTATTCCTACGTCGATGCGATAGTCCCAGCAACTCAACCCACTTTTGAGTCAGAGAGTGTATCGGTATCTTCACTGGTCGATGTGGCAGCTCGCTCAGAAGATGCCTGGTGATTCTTTTCCACGCAACTGAATGATGCCGAGGTATCTGTAGGTCCAATAACAATGTAATAAAAAAACTTTGCTACACCAACTTAAAGATCATTGTCTAAGAATACCTTGAGGAGGAGAAGCAGGGCTTGGAATAGCTGTATCACCACGATTGTTGTTCTGTTTATCGATTCCCACAACCTCTTCTAAAACTGACAATGATACTGGTTCTGTGGCTCCTCCCGCTGTTGAAGGTACATCTGCATCAGCGAAAGCTGAGTCCGAATAACTACCATCATTCCTAGTTACTGAAGACGCCTCATTTTCGAAGCGATAATGCATCATCTCTTCAAGACTAGCGGAGAGGCAGAACCAGAGGGGTGGAGGCTTGAAGGTGCTATTCAGACTTGGATCTAAGAGACTTTCGATCAAGTCTGAGATGCGATGAGAATCATCCTTGTAGTAGCGAAGGATGCGAAGAACAAAAGATTGCATCTGTGAGCGCTGGCACTCTACAAACATGGGCGCAACTTTCTCCGGGATGCGAGTACGCTGACCAAAAATGTGTCGAGCTAGACCAAAGGCCAACTCACAGTCATCCCTGCAACAGAAACACGCGATGTTTGGCAAATTCTTGGAAGAGTTTAAACCTCTGTTCCACAGCAAGCTATTGTAAACTTTGACCAGGCTAACATTTTCTTCCCACCTACCTAGTTTCATGAATAAGAGAGGTGGAGGCATTCGGATCTGGATCAAAGTTTCCACCATGCTGTTGGATACGTAAAGCCAACGGAAGATAAACAACTGCAGTGGGAGTTTGAGTAGTTGAGGGTGTCACATTCGATCCACCCGCGGTAGCATTATCCGAGACCGCATAAGCCGAGCGACCGCTGGAGTTTTCGCCCTCCCCGCCGTCCTCCGTACCGGATATTGGTGGTGGAAGTGGTGGCGGAGGCAGAGTGTTTGAAGGCGGTAGTGGATCCGAACCGGCCAACATTTGGAAGAGGAACTCACTCAGAGAATATGGTACATAAGCGGCTTGAATAGAACGCCAAAAAAAGATGTTTCGTTAAAAGGTTCACGTATCATGGTCGGTGAAAGGACAGAGGTACAGTGACTACGCCGATCTCAGTCAAACGTTTTTGGATCGCTACGATTATGTGCAAATGGCAAGGAAGAAACAAAGGAAGGAACCCACTTTTTCCCATAATAAATATGCCGAATTCTCGAACGTTTCCTCATACTCCAAAAGGAAACTCGTGTTCTAATCCCATGTGCGTTCAATTTTCATAGGAGGAGTTGTAAAATTGCATCCTTAAAACTAAAATTACTTTCGTACATTGTTGCTATCTATCCGCACTAACGAATGTATCTGCTTTGTCCCTGAAATTTGGTAACGCTCAGGAAGATCACCATGCACTTGAGATAGAGCAATATGCTTTTGTTTCCGTGTTAAAATTCACCTGAGCAATCACCAAAGCGGTTCACTCCATCACCCAGAAGCTGTGCCTCTCGTCGAACACTCTCAATAACCCAAGGACAGGCGAACTCGAGAGGAAGACGGTAAAGACGAGAGAGCAGCGAGGCTTCGTGATCAAAGAGACGTACTTCCATAGCTGCCACAGTGTGCTGAGGTCGGGGTAAAGCCAGCGTCAATAGACCCAGACGGAATCCTAACTCCATGTCGAGGGAGAACCATTCAGCAGCACTATCGGGAGTGGTACCGAAGGAGGCTCCAGCTCCAGAAGGCGAAGAGGTGGTGAAAGAGGGTGAATGGTAGACGCCAACGCTGGAATCACCGCCTTGTATAGACGGGTGTGTAAGATGTTGATTGGATAATGAGGGAGGATACACCAAGCCCTCATTGTAGTGGAAACTGTACAAACAGTCCATCAAGTATTCCACGCAGTACACCCATTCCGTGAACTAATGTATAGAATGGAATAAGTAATATTTACCCAAGTACATTTAGTCCTTCCATATCCTTGCTTTCGCATGAGATCACAGTCATTCTATCATGAGGAATATTTGCAAAGCAATTAAAAATAAAACTCAGAATTATTGCCCATTTACCCAAGTTCAAGTCAAACGGTACGGAAGTTAGGTTGAAGTTGGATGTGCGTGTTTGTGCAAACTGTTTCAAAAGATGAGTGTTAGTGCAAAAAAATAATTCCTATTCGTTAACAGTATATATTCGTTTTAAAAAAAAATGTAAGTCGTCCGTTCCATTGCCTTGCTCTACCACAAAATGAAAGGACCATGAAAGCTAAGAGATACATAATCATGTAAAACTACTCACAGTGATGCTGAATTCGGCCACTTCTGAAACATAAAAATCGGACCACAGTTTGGCTAACTGTTCCAGTTCCGAAGACCTTTGTGGAGCAATGTTGGAAGCTGTTCTTCTCAGATTACTGCCCCCGCCACCGCCCCGCCTAGGCGTCGCCGCTGTCGTCATGACTGATGATGTACCGACCGAAGTGTTAATTGTAGTGGTGGTAACAGTGCGGCGATAACGACGAGCGGAGCTGGTGGAGGAGTTGAGACATGTCATTCTTTCTGTATGTTTAAGAGATTCGATCAGTGGATCGATTTGAGAAGCTGTCTCAAGGTTCTGCAGAGATGCACTCTTCGCTGCAGCCACAACGGATGGCGCTGAAAGAAGCATCTCAAGGGCCAGATGACGAGCCCAAGCCAGAGATGCGCCTGTGTCATCATGCATGACAAGTCCCTGACAACGGGCAAAGTTGATCTGCGGGAAAGGGATGTCGACAAAACCATAATGAGTAAGAAGGTTACAAAGTGAGATTATTGTACGCAACGCCTACCCCAAATTGACCACGCATTGATGGATAGCTCTGACAGCCCGTAGTTTCCTGTGCTTCAAAGGATCTATTCCACATTTCCACGCCGGTGGAATAGTCGGCGACAAAAGCTCCGTCAAAGTGAGGAAGAGCTGTGGATAAATATACAAAATTCACCTATTTTCTCAATTAATTTATACGCTTTAGGTCAGAGTGCATATCACAAAGGAGGCATTGTGGAATGCTATGAAATAAAGTGAACGACACAATAGGAACGCTACCCTGTACGAATTGTTCCTTTGTTAAAGCATAGGTAGGTGGCATTTCTGTTGACCAGGAAACTCTGAAAAGGAGTAAGAGAGCAGTCGGTGAAAATTTTAAGTACGTATTTTTCGTCTCCTTAAAACCCTTACCATCACGTGTCCTAGAAGAGAAATATACATGACCTGATGGTCAACTAACCAATCCGACCAAAGAAAGTAAAGCTTTGCTGCAATAAAAACTTCACAGCACACTGGAAGTGAAATTAACATATCCAAAACGATCAGGAAAGAGCTAATATCCGAATAGTATAATATTTTGAAAAAATAGAATTTGAGGCATGCCATGCAAGATGCCATTAAGACTGCCATATATAGCAAGCCTAGACTTATGCAATAGGCGAATTAAAAAATACCGACACATTAGTCAGACAGCAAAAGCATTGAAGAAACCAATCAATCGTTGGGTTCAGAGTTAACTGGAAGTGGGAGCATACTGGCAGGCTTGGATAGCAGGTTTGAAACCAACAAATAACTTCTGGTTGTTCTCGGAGAAAAGACTTCCAAGATTTTCCGCTGAACCAAATAAGAGCGTCGAACCAGCGGAAGTGAAGAATTGTGCGACCCGCATACCCCTCTGCGCTTTTATGATTGCGGCCTGATGCCAATTGGAGAGCTTCGAGATGAACCTCTTCCGGGGGGAACCCTTTTCGCGCAGCTTAGGATCAAGACACACGAGGCGCCAGACATCGACCAGAGCCTCGCACAGCCATGCCGCTCCATAACAGGACTGCTTCCGCTTGCCCACCTGTGAGGGTCTTACTTGCATGTCCACATTCAACTGCACCACATACCACCAGAACATAATCTAAACACAATGTTTAAAAGCCGAATCAGAAAAATCATTAAAACGCCCAAACTACTACGTTTGTCACCATTTTTCTATGCCATACACACCTTTGGATACTTCAAAAAAGTAATTTTCAGGGTCAATAACCTTTGGTGGCAATAAACAAGGTGCTAGAAAATCACTGCAAACCAACACGTTTTACATTTGTGGATCGGATCTCAGCCCTGATGAAGCTAGGTAACGATATCAGTGCTTTATTAAATTGATGGGACAGAAATCGACATAGTAGACCAACATTCGATGATGTAAGGAAAAACATCACCCACATCGTGGTATCATACAAAAAGGCAAGAGAATAGAAGCTTTTACCTCATCCACATCTAAAATGCATCGAGTGAACATTTGGAGGATGGGAAGAGCATTCAAGTCCTTCTTGCGGAGCATTCCAATAATGACTGCAAGGAGAGCCCAAACTCCACGGGGCTCATATGTGCGCAGGGAGCGCAAAATGCATATCATTTCTTCGAAGTGATGCGAGAGGCAGGAATTGATGGAGGATAGATCACCATGGAAAGGGGATTTGGTTTTGGAAAAGCGAACCAGAGTATTTCGTAGCTTCTCCTCCAACGTCGAAATATTAAAACGCCAAGAGGATGACTCTCCTATTAGACCGCCGGCTGTAGGATCTGGAAGAATTGATGAAATCTCACTTACACAGGACTTGATAGATTTTCATCGATCAAATTATGACAAAATCTGAACCTTGTCCTTCCACGAAACCCTTTACTGGTGAAGTGTGTGGCATAAGAATGTCATCCAAAATACTTTGAGCAGCCGGGAGAATCTAGGACAGGAGACAAAAATATACCATCAGTATTAAGAATACGGCAAATTGAACCAAGTAGTAGTTTGCACAGGAATGCTACCTTCCTTGCACCAACATGGCAGATAAGTTGCTGAGCAAAGAGTTGCAGCTCGTTCTTGTTAAGCTTTGAGAGTGATTCTGAGATGGGTGGGCGATAGATGACAGATCCGGGAGAGCGGATTCGCTTGAGACAGGTGGCAACAACATGGGCGCACCAGACACCACTGTCAACCACTTGCTGTTTGGGGAGGGAAACAGAGGTTGTATGCAAATAGGAGTCATTTTGAAGATCGTTCCTTTGGTTTAACGACTGTTGTTGCTGTGAAATACCCTCCACCTCCACAGTGCATGTACAAGAGCAAGAAGTAATGCAAGTGCGATCAAACATTAGCGAGACACGATGAATAGGAGTAAAATCAGAAGAAGCGGACTGAATGGGTGCCTCGGCCAAAACACTCGCACTAAGAAAAAAACCTACAACAATGATACGCCGTGCAGTCAAAGTGGAAACAGTAGCTCGGTGTTAATAGTTTGGATTAAACTAACTAGAATGAGGACCTACCGATCTGTACACAGTCTCGGACGGCGTCTTTGGCAAATAGCGCTACACCATCGTTGAAAGAATGTGAGCCGCCAACACTTAGACACGAATACAACCGAATGTTTTCTTCGTTAGAGGGGAAGCTGCAAAAAGCTATGAGTTTCTGAACCTCCTCTGGAACGATGAAATGACTACAATAGATAGTCTCGAATGGGATATGCTTTGCAAACACTTTCGCTCCTATTTTGAGCAAAGAATCCGGTCCAGTGGATTGGGGTTCTTAAACAAATGGATAGATTCTAGTACACGAGGGCAAACAACTCAAAGGCACCTATGTATGAGCAGCATGTGACTAAACCATACGTACAACCAAATATTCACGAAACTCACATACATATACAGAAATGGAAAACATACTTATTTTTTTGTGAGAGGGATCAAAAACGGTGCCATTGTCGGCACGAGTTAACAAATCCATATTCAGCTCGCTACCTGAAGAGTAAGTAGACATTTCACCATCGCTGCCAATATCATTTAGTGAAGCGTCCGAAACTTCGGAAGAACTCATAATAGTGCATCAAACAAAGTTTGATAAGCGGTGTGGCGACTAGTCGTAAGCCATCCATATAACAGCAACAGCTTTCAACTGACCAATTATCTTCCGACCGTGAAAGTAGCCAATGAGTAACGGGACAAATACTAAAGGTATATTTAGAAGACATTTCTCATTTTGTAGTTTAACTCACCTAAAACTTCTTTTACGATGTTCGTAGTTCATAGCTTAATAAAAAATCAAGGAATACGCGCTCAGTATCGGTATTTTATTGCTAGCAACATATGCCAGTGACTAAGATCTACAAAGTTGATATTGTTCATCCCCTTAATGTAGTCCTTTAAATCGTATGTAGTTAACACGGTTTCCTATATGGATAGTTAAACGAAGTTTGTAGCTTATCAAAGCTTCTTACCAGGTGAGAAGTACTTTATAGAGTTGAATGCTTGTAATCAGGGGCAAGGGGAAGCGAGGTTGCTACTTTTCCATGTGTTCGTTTCTGGTTACTTCGATTTTTGCCTTATATATGTACGCGCCTACTAACCTTTGGGCTGAGATAAGGCGGACTCGCTTCTTATCCTCCTAGAATACATGTAAACAACCCAATTTTATGCCTTCTTCTGCCTGGTGAAATGTCTCGAGTATGGTTTAGCTGGAAGACAACGTAGCGTCCCGAGGCTTCCAATGGGGTAGTAGAAGGCATAAGTGAGGTTGAATACATGTATTCCGAAAGCAATAGGAGAAATGGGCCTAAGCGTAACCCGAAGGCCAGCCCACGTGCACAGGGCCCAGACAAGTCCTAAAGTGCTCGCCAAACGTCAGATAGCCGCATAAACAAAGCATTAAAGACAAGTTCATGAGGTGATAGCAAGATAGCAGCCATTGGGACAAACTTGCGAATGGACACTTATATAACAAAATAATTATGTAGAAGACAGGTAAGTTGGGCTAAATCCACGTACTCAAAGAAGAAAAGAAGGGATTTTGACCGGTTCACGGCTACGTAAGCACGACGAATACCGGAGCGATTACCAGATATGCAGGTGGCCGAATGAAGGAAGTATTACATAGTGAGTTTCGGTTTGGCCCACAAGTCAACCCAAGCAGCCATGAACGAAATAAAAAAAATAGCGACCGCCAGTCCCAAAGTTTTTTTCATCCAATAGTGAACTTAAACATAATTACATGGCCAGAATTGTAAACCTAATTACAGCAATTAAGGAAGATGGTGAGGGAATAAAAGTAGGAAGAAAAGGTTGGGACTAAGTCATCAAGATCAAGTTCCACCAATGCGTCAGACGCCGTGGAGTGCAGCGTAAAACGATGTCTTAAACGAAAGGCCGATTCAACGTCGCTTCCATGTTCATTCCACAACTTATCGAATGAATGCTTGACTTTAATGCCAACAGCTAGCTTTGCCTAGTATTGGAGTTCTGTTTGTAAAATGGTTGACTAGAAGGCTAAAACTCATCATGAGCTTATGTAGTACTGCTCTACTAAACACAGTATTGGATAAAATAAGTAGGTTGCACACTCCACAAGCAGTCATAACGAAAGAAAATGTTGGTCAAATAAAGCGTTCCCTTAGACTTCAGAAAAATCTGAAAGGTCCATTACAACTGGTGCTTTTGGCCTCCAAAGTTCTTGAACTTCATAGCCATGTACACTAATTTTCACGTCTGCCTGGAGGCTATTGCTTCTGTACTCGCTACTACTTTTCAGTTATACAACCAATTACCAGAAGTTCTGAAGGGGTATCACACGATGCTATGCAAGTTCTTCCTGCGGAAACCGACATCAAAGAGACCAGTGAACATGGGTGAGGAATAGAACGTATGTAATACCTTGTTAAGGCATTATGTCTTTTTTGAAGTGGACAAGTTTACTCCTTTGAGTGGAAGTTCCTCGATTAAATGACGTCTTGCCTAATGCAATAACTTCCCAATTCATTTCATCAATTTTTATGTCCTGCCGATGCCGACTTGAGATAAAATTAACGCCTATACCAAGCGTGTGACTGTCAACTGAGGTTAAAAGCAATCACACGCCCTTAATGTTTCTAAATTTTTAAACCAAACTGCAATTTTCTATTCAAATGTCTATTTGTTTTAAAATTGGTACCTTTAACTTGGACGTTATGGTGGAAAATCCAATACGAAGACAACCCATTTCAAATTTCCAAAGAGTAATCAGAGGGCAAAAACTCACACAGAGACCCCTCTTTTCGCATTGCAGCATGCACAAAGCATACTATCCTAGAATCCTGTGGGAAAATTTTTTGACTCGCGCTGAAATTCGGGTAAGCAAAACGGGCAAGGGTAGAATTTAATGAATTGAAATCCCAAATATTGAAGATTAAGAACGAAGGTGCCGCTAATTTATGGTCCAACTCTCAATGCTCGCATTGTATAATGCAGCGTCAAGGGGTGGGAAGGCCGCAACCGGAACGACAAATGGACTATAATTTAAACCCTTAATTCTCCCTTAGCGATGTGAAGTTCAGTGTCAGTAAATCTTGTTTAGTCATTGAAATAGCACAATTATTTATTCCTTCTCTTCAAAAAAGGCACGATGAGACCCTAATACATGGTCATAATCTTTGGTACTTTACTGCAGATTTGCTAAATTTTACTGAACGTTTTTGAACACAACTTAGTCTCAAAGTATTTGAATAGTATTCGGAAAACAAGATAAAGAACTGATACCCTCAACCATCGGTGTCAACATTTTTTTCGCCCTGTAGTCAAGGTTGAGCCTATGAGGTCAGCGCTCCATGCATAACGCTTTGTTTGACAGCTTAGAAAAACCAGAAGTTGGAATTCACCAAAGCGGTAAATTGATTGTGCATATGAGCCGCCGATTTAACACACTCGCATGAACTTTGGTTTCTAGCTGTTCGGATTGCTAAAATCTTCAAAGTTTGAGATCGGCTATTCTCATTTCCTCCCATTCTGTCTATCTTGCTAATAGTGGGGGGTGTGCAGAATGTGGTTGATGGTGATAGCGAATGGGTGAGTAAGATGCAAGTCGTTATGACCGTAGTGAGTTCCACCTATCACCCAGGTGCTTAGGGCGCGATAGTAAGGCAATAGTCTCATGCAAATGTCGTGCAACAAAGTGCCCTTTTGACCGGTTGCTTGTTGAAAGAGTAATTGCGGCAAATCCTAAGGATGAGCAATGCTTGTCTTTGGTGTGGCTAAGGCTTGGTGCTGGTGTCATTTGAGATTTTTAAAAGGTAGATAGATTAGAAGGGGCTAACAAACCTAGGCTAAGATCAGCAAACCTATAAGTGAAGGGCGGTCACTTATGACTACGCATTCTATCTGAAAAGTCTCATTCTTTTATTTAGGTACAAAAAACCTAAACTACAAACAGAATTGCTCCGCAAGGGTCAAACATCGCTTATGCAATCTGCCTGTTTCAGATTATTTGATGAGTCACCGTCAGTCGAGAGTATCAAAACGGCAGCAGCGAATAAAGCACCCCCAAAACGGTCCATCTGGATGCATCAATGTAACAACAAAAGTTGTGGTGGCAGAACAGACGTCCGTAGAAATTTTGAAATCTAAAATTTTCAATGCTTCTTTTTACTTAGGTAAGCTCTCATCATTATTTTCCAGCCCTCAAATGTTGGAAAATTAGAAAGTGGAATGCAATGCTCATTGTTTGAGTGAATGTTAGGCATTGAGTAGAATGGCAAGCAAACTACAGTGCCGCGGATTGAAAGACAAAGATTGACGTGCCCTTAAAAACTGTTACTTTGGCAAGGGACGGTTCAATGCTCCCGGCAGTATTGTCCGATCCCGATGAAGCATTTCTGGTTAGCACACTTGGACTTAATGTAGTGTGAGGTGCTTGTGAGGAGACCTTTAGGGAAGGGACACACCACGAAACCACCCAAGTAGATCTTGGAACAAAGGGAATTCGGTTGAAACATAAACGCTAAATTCTGTTGACCCTTTTGAACATGGGTCCTGGTGGCATCGACTTTGGGTTAACGCGGCCTTTAAAGGAAAATAGGAAGAAGGATGAATGAGAGATGATTTTTGCAAGAAAAGATCCTTACCCTCAGTCTTATGGATCTGTAGAGTTTGAGTAACATTGGAACCCTTTTATGACACATTGTACAATGTAGCATTGTAGCAGTGGCTTAAGTAATAAATGACAAGAGAGGAAGCGCTAGAACAGATTAAAGGGTTTACTTTGTCACAGGATTGAAACAGACAATCAGGCAGCATTTTAAAACATTTTGGCAATAAAAACATGGGTAGGGAAGGATAAGTACTCCGGGCGCGGAAGTAGGATTTTGCCTTTGGCGTGAGATTGACATTGGCGACTTCATCATCCCAACTTTTCAGGCCAACAATTCCCGATGGGTTGAAAGTGGAGCACTTACCACGACTAAGCTCCAAATGGCCACGTTTCTGCATTATTTTGAGATGCCAGATCGAAAACTGAAAGAGGAGGGCCAGACCAATCCACTGGCAACCTGCGGGACATGGGGTAGGGGCGACTTAATAACGTACTTTGACAACCCTCGTCGGCGTACATGATCATCATCACCGGCCAAACATGGACTAAGGCGATCATGAAATTTTGCTTTTCCAAGATGCAACGACTGAAATAACAGACCTCTATTATCTTCCTTATTTAAGATGGTGAAAATATCAACACGGAAAGGAAATACGTTAACTTCGGCCTTTAACGAAAAATCCTGTCGTAGCCATTTTTGAAAAAATAACGTTACTTCTGTGACTCGGAGAGGTACTGATAGTCTACAAATAACAAGAGCAACATTAAACGTCTGCAGACGGAACCAAAGACCAAAGACATCATCCCTTTTGCTGGTTGCATGGAGCTAAGCTACGCAAATGAATGAGCTAAGTAAATCAGGAGAACTAGACAAAATTCGTTGAGAACATGGACATGATCTTCACTGCAATAATAACAGCCCAAATTTGAGGGAATAAAAGAGGCCTACGAAAGAAAAAAACCACCATTGGTACTAATAAGTTGCAATGGTTAAGCATCAAAGATGGTCAATAGGTAACCCTAAGAGTGAATACCACATTCAATTTCCTCAGTAGTTGCTAACAATTTTCTGATAGCAATTTGACCCTCTTGATGAGCGCATTCAAAGTGGGGACCTCGAGGCGAACAGCATGATCCTCTCCCTAACAAAGGAAGTGTTGCTGTAACACTCATCGTAGCGGAGAGTTTTAACAGCTCACCAAAGTGTTGTTGAAATTAATGCGTCATTTGATGCTTTGCATTTTAAGATCCTGTTCACCCTAGAAATTGGGACTGAATCGCAAACTTAAAAAGATTAAACTCGTATGGAATTAGAGTACCTCATACTTAGTGGTCTCACACTTTTGCGGTCCCCATTGTGATGCACGTACCTGCTGCGATAATCTGGTTTCTATAAAATAGAATCTTAACCGGAATGAGGGAGAGACGAGAGAAAGTGGAAGCTACTTGGGATAGCTGCAGTAGTGAGGCGCTCGAAATGCTGTTTCACTGATGTACGCATCCAGGCCTGGTTGGAAAACAGTGCGTGCCAGTTCACAAAGCATTGACACGAAGAGGCTTTCCCAATTTACACCTACCGTACAGCCCAAGCCGCACTCAATCCTCAACCACTCTACAAGAAATCAAGCTTCTATTGCACTGAAATTTATCTTCATGGAAAATAAACATCCAAAATCCTCTGTCTGTAGTGCGCAAAATGTATTCTGGACAAAAATGTGATCGTGGAAGTCGGTCGGGCACCTCGAAAAGCCGTTGCCTAAATTTTCCCACTGCTAGGCATAACAGCAACCAAGGAGCAACCACTGTGTTGATGGGTTAACATGCTTCGAAATTTTGCATTTATCAGAAAATTCAACAAGCGATTATGAATTAGTCGGTGTTATCATGAAGCTTTATTTTCTTCAAATTAGCGGCAATAAATTTCTGCTCACCTCGTCTAAAAACTTTTCGATTAAAAGTGGAAATAGTGAGGGGTTCAGCATGGGATTTTCTGCAACGCAAAGCTGAAATTGAAATTGAATTGGATGAAGCGCTCACAGCGTCTTTCACAACACTTCCAGATTAAGGAGTGCAGGGTGTTAAGATGATATGGAGAGAGGAGCACTAACATGATTCGAAGGATGCCTGCACCACACATGATGGACACTGACGCCCAAGGGAGACGTATACCAAGTCTAGCCGCCGTGAGGATGCGTTTTTATGGCACATAAAAAACACTACTACAGCGACCATAAGGATGCGTCATGGATGTCCCTTTTTGAAAACGTCAGCTGATGTACTGCCACGAGATCCAGCAAAAGCGAATGTCTACATGTTTTGAGAATAAGAACGATCTTCAAAGCGCACCTCTGAAGGGAACTAGGCTCCGATTTTTGTTGGTACTGGTACCGCTGGCACTACAGCAATAAATGTGTGGTGGTGGGCAGATTATAAATAATGGAATTTAAAAATACATAATAAAAACTGCTGATTTTCGGATCGAACCATAAATTTGAAAAAAACTTTCCCAGAACGCCGTTTTTTTTGGATGAGGAGTGTGCGACTCTCAGATGTGACAATATAGCGACGAAACAGCCCCGGCACATGCTATGCGGTCAGCTCAGAGTTTGGCAAAGTAGCATGGAGAAACAAATTCCTCTTATGCATGCTTATGTCTCATTTAGACACTACGCCTTTCTTATGCCCATTGCGAGAATCCCTGCTCGAGGGAATTTAAGTTATTCCTTCGTTCACACCAAGAATCAGCTTCGCTGCGTTACCGAACAGTCACGCATGCAACATTAGCAGAGAGGATTCTACTGTGATAGTACTTTTAGAGACTCAAATAAATTAAGCCATTCAAATTCCGATAGAAGAAGGTAAAAACGGGCTTCATCAAGGCTCAGTATATATTTTCAATTGAAAAGCAGATTCCTAGGTGAGGGGAGAAGGTGAGGTCAAGCTGTGCACAAAAGAAAGAAACAAACGACAGAGGCCAAGAGCTACTACACAATTCACACTCATAAAGTATGGTGTGGGAAGCTCAACAGTACAATAGGCAGGTGTCTTTGCTCCTCCTTTTTACACAAGCAGAAAATAAACAACTGTGAGGAGGCTTGGACACCACTCAGGTTAGACAAGGTGGAACGTTGCTGAAATGGCCAGAAAGAGGATACAAGTGATTGACTGGTGTCTGCTTGATAATGGCGACCCATTGTTTTCTGTGGTTTGCTGCGAGGAACTTTCTTGAGTGGTTTGGTCATTGAAAGCATCTAAAAGAAGGGCGAAGGTAAGTAGTGTTAAGTCAGACTGTCAAGCTACTCACTACAGTTTAATGGTACGTGTATAAGATTGGCGTCACTTCACCTTTACGATACACAGTGACAAGCAACACGGGGGAGTACCGTCTAGATCATTGTGTTGTAGGCATCATCAATGAAAAAAATAAATAACAGTGAAGATGGTGGGCGGAAGAATGTAGAACCGAAATGTGCTGAATTAAGTCGCATATGAACCAAGTCACACAACTTGTACGTCTACTTGCATCCCAGAAAACGTCAACTGCACCATTGGACGATTATGGGAAGCTCTGTAACCGAACTGCGATGGAGCGGTTAAATGATGGAAAGGTTTCGAAGACCATCATTGATCACCATTCGGCTTGTTTTAACTGAAGTTTCCAACTCACACCAGTTATTCCGTCCTTCCCATTGTAATTCTTGGTAGTAGCCTCTTTAATATGAACCTAGTGACTTCGTTTTGTTTCTTTTTGAGGTTAAGTCTGCCCTCCAAATAAACGCAAAATATAAATCCAAGGTCACTATCAAACCTCCAAAGTCATTTATTGTGTCAATAGTTGTGTAAAATGCTTCTGTATTTGCGCTGGCATAATATATCTGGTGCCTTCTTACCACGAATCGCATCAAGTGGAATCGTTTTCTCAGCAGTGGGGGAGGGCGATTGCCACTTCCTAGGATGAGGTCCAAATTCTGGTAGCATAGCGACGGCAGATGTGGAGGAGGAGAGCAGAAGTCTATTTATCCTTAGGTACCGGCACTCGAGATGTCCTACTAATGCCTGACACACTGGATCCTCCATAAACTTCTTCGTTATGACGATTTCAATCTCATCCGGGGAGTACGGCTCATGCTTTGACGCCTGCAGGCTCGGCTCCTCCGAACCGGGCCATCTGGCAACGGTTTTGTTGGGAATGAGCCGAAAGCAGCTCCTTATATCCATTGCTCTCTGGACGTTGTAAACATAAATTTTGTAGATTGTGAGGATAAGTATTTTTATTGGTCTGCGTAGAGCATTGACCTATTTGTCGTTTCGTTAAAAATATTCTTTACGTAGGTGTTAGTTGGCTTGTCAAAATGAAAGGAAAAGAGGTCATAACTCAAACATGGCTGGGCCAACTCCTACGTCATTAAAGAAAAGGCAACAATACTGGTGGTCCCCACTTTTTTTTCCCAATTAAATCTGAAGAATTCAACCAGCCGACCTGTGTTTTGAACTGCCAATGAGTGCGGAAGTCTCGTCTTGTCAACTAGCAAATCAAAGACAATGACTCAAGGGCAGAGATTGAAAACACTGACAAGGTTTGCATTTTTACAGTACATTTCTTGCGCTTATGGCGCTCTCATCTACTTTTGTGGACGGTCTTGCCCCTAAAATGGCTAGTATTACGCCATATGCGTTTACACACAGCGATAACACAACTTGGGAAATGCTAAAAAAACAGCCTCAAAAAATGAAATTTAACTTTTAGATGGCAAATTCAGAAGCAAAAAATGGGGATAGCGGTCTGTCCTCGTAGACTTTCCGACCAGCTCTTTATACACTACCCTCGAATTGCATTTAAAAGGACGGAACGTTAAAAGAAACGCGCAAAATTGGCTTTAGAAATACTTCATTTCTTTAAAGTTTTGCTAAAGATAATGCCAAAGGCAGTATGGGGTTTAAAACCTGCACTGTTTCGTAGGTTAGTGGCATTTTTCGACGAAAAATGGAGAAGAAACTGTTTGTAAACACAAGTATATTTATAACGGCGGTGTTTTGCGCTAGACGAAGCATTAAAACGAAGTAAGATTGCATGACTACCTCCTTGTCAGCAAGGCTGAATGAAGTTTGGGCACCGTCATCAAGAACTTCGGCAGATTCCTTGCCAAGCTCCTTGAAGGCCCAGTTCAGATACTCATCAGGGAATGAGGGATAGCCGATACAGCGTAGGCTTAGTTCTCCACCGTCACCAATTTGGCTCAGACCAGAGAGTTCGACGGCTGAAATCGTGCATATCATCTATGAGAATTGACTTAAAAACGCAGTCATGCACAATCCTGCCGATAGGCATAGTTTTAAAGACAGTCAATCAAAACTAACATCTCTGTGAATGAAAGCATTCATTGACGGTACCACTGAATCACTCACTGCTTTGATAGCCAATGTCTGTTGAAGTGTGCTGAATAGCATGATGCAGCAGAATCTCCTGCTGTAGCTCTTCTTCATTGGCCAAGTGGAGGAGTTCTTCGGGGAATGCGGCACACACATAGCGTCCTTGTGAAGCAGGGGTGAGGTGAACTCGGAGGATCACCTCATTTGAGGCGTCCGTCTCCTCAATCACCTCTTTTAGCCCATCAGCTGTTGTGTTGATAGCCTCCAGCACTGCCTCTGGCGCCTTCGCTGGTTTGTAGTGATACCAGCGCAATCTTCTTGCGCCCGTATTCGGAATTGAAGGTGCACAGGTAAGAGTAGCTATGCCACCGAAATGAAGTGTGTCTGATGATGAGGCTGGTCGTTTTATTGTTAACGCTGTAGAGGGAGAGGGAAGGAAAAGTGCTGTTTCATCAGTCTCTCTGAAGCTATTACTAGGATGAGATTTACCGAACCAGGTATGCTTTAAATCCTTTTTCTGTCATAAAATCTTTCAGAGTGACGAAATTTGATCTTTGAATCAAATGAGGTTGTCAACTTAAATGAGACTGCAACCAACTGTAAATGAAACACATCACCCAGACCAATTACGTGTGACGCACTCTTCGAGGAATCAGAGTAACCGGCGGTACCATTGCATCAATGTAGTGCATAGGCGACTTTTAACCACCCTAAAGGGAATCCTTAATTGTGGTGTTCAAGGGTCGAAAGACGGAACGACACCATCCATTAGGAAAAATACTTGTCATTTTCAATTGATTACAGTCCTACGAGATCTGTAGAAATAATTTGAAAGGCAAATTGTGTTGTCTCGGGCAGGTCTGGTTTGAAAAGTAGTTATTTATGGTCCAAAATACTTGGCTATTCCCTTATCGAACCACGAGAGGATTAGAAAACGGTGACTAGAGGTAGGTAAGACAAAAACAGATTATTAAATGTAAGTTATTCACTTTATCCGAATAGTGATCTGCTTAATTTTTACAAATATTTTTGCAAGCAGCGAAATAACTTTCACAAAATACAGGCATGAACTCGATTTCATCAATTAAAAGCACCAAAAACTTCATTGCAGGTGGAGAAACATCAGTATCCATACTTAGTGAATGCAGTGAGAGGACCCTTTGCTACTTACTCTCCTTAAGATGTAGGGTGAACGTCTCTGGAGCACGTTTCTCTCCCTCGCTTGGCTGGAACCAGCACTGATAGTCACCGACATTCTCAGCATTCACCTGAGGCAGGAAAAAGCTCAGACTTTGCACCCCACCCGTCTCGTTGGATGCTGAAGTGTGGTGAGCCTCTGCTACCACCTCGCCATCGGGTCCGCGCCATTGAAGGTTCCCATCACGCTTCGTGGAACAGGTGACCGAAACCGCCATGCCAGGATTCGCCTCCAACTCGTATCGGTCAAGCTTGAGGTCTATCACAAAAAAGAGGTGACTGTGCCGTGTGGAGAATCAGAAGGCTTGAATTTATTAGAAGTGTAAGCAATGGTTCGGCCGAATGCAAGCTGACTCAGAGCACAGACTCTCTGAGGCTGAGGACTGGAAAGCCAAAAGAGGTGGGTGAGAATGGCAGTGCTACTGCTCGTCATAGAGAATATTAACGAAAACTGCAGTGGAAATTTGTGCTTGTCAAAGCCCTTATGTCCGTAATACACATTAGTCACTACTGCCAGTCAGGATCAAACAGAACAAACTTAGAAATGGTAAGTGATTTTAATATTATGCATTGTTGATTACTTAAGCCTTTTCTTAGCACCCAAGAATGATCCCTCAATTATTTGATAATGTTTTTCAGTCGATTTGGAGTAGAAGACGCGTTTCATGAAGTTAACCACTTGCAAATTAGAAGGTACTGTTGCGGTGATCAAAACAAAAGCTCATACAGCTACAAAAACACATCATCTTTGCTCCAGATTTTGGTAAAGGGCGCCTTGGTTTTACATTGTATCATGTGTCATGGATCACATGTCCGAAAATACAATCGGTAAGAGGTATAAAGATGTCTTTCTGATGTGCGAACTCCAGCTACTAGCAAAGGATGGCATTACAATGGAAGATTACTTATTGCAGTCCTAGAATTAACTGTCTCAGTGCGTTCAGTCGTCGACGATTCCACTTCCATGCTGTGTTAGAGCTAGTTATGCCATCTAAGAAAGCTAATACTTTTTAGCCAGTTCTTCGGATAGACCCACGGCTTTCTTTACGCCCTCACCGTTCACGATGAGACGAAACTCGGCGCAGTGCGCTGGTTTGCCATAGAAATGTTCGACTGGGGGTTCGGGCGAACAGCAGTAGATGCCAGCGTGGGTATCGTTGACGTGAGGGATACTGAGTGAGGCAGTGAGGAAGCCGTTGGTGTCGGGGATCGCAGCTGTGCGTGAGAAGGCCCCCTCCGGCATCGCTTCACCATCTGCACGCAGCCACCGCACGTCTTTTCGAAATTTCGGATCTGTACCCACTGCCGCCGAGCAGTTGAATAACAGACTACTTCCAATGTCCTTGAGAACATACTTCTCCGGCACTAGAATCTCTGATGACAGAGTAAATGGTTTTACACCATCATTAATCTATACTTGTGTAGCACAATGCTGATGTGTAACTGGGGTCATAGTTTAAAGTTTTGTTTGTTAAATTTTCTGCTTGACTGTATGCTCAAGTGAAGTATCCAGAACATCATATCTAAGCCCATACAAAGCGAAAATAACTTTGTTTACATAGCAGGAAATCCTAACAGAAAGGTTATCAAAATAGCCTAAAATTTTGCCTTGACCTCAACACCAAGATGTGCGAAACGGATCCGATTCATCGAATATCATAGTTAGAAAGCACGTGCTACTGTTAACCGAACTCTCGATACTGCTTCAACTGCTTTCAAGGCAGGGAGTCATTGGGGCATTCAAATACCTCCGAAGGCTTCAACGTGTTGTCTTTAGCCTTTAAACATTCAGACGTGTGGAAACTGATTTGCAGCTAAAATGCGATTCTTAAAGGATGTCCTTTAATCGTAACAGTAAGTGGGCAATGATGTGTAGGTGCCTAAAACAAACAGTTTTGCTCATATCATCTCCGCCACCTTTTATATAAAGGGTTTGCCCATAATACAATTCAGTCAGTATATCTGAGCTAGGATGGAAATGTAAGTTACTTGAATACTTAAAATTTCTCACTAATTTTTCGATAATCAGCGAAATTCTACGATATAAATGATATACCATCGGGAGTTGTGAATGTCACCTCCGCTGACTCCAAATCAGAAAGAGGTCCTGGATATTTGAGGAAACCCTAAAAGAAGACGCCAAAGCATTGCTTTAGTTACTGCATATTGGAAGTAAACGCCCAAATTAGATGACTCCACCTTTATTTTATATTCGCGTCCAGGTTCCAAGTTACGCACTTCGTAGGTCCCGCCTATGCCGTAGCTATTTGGAAAGATCTTTTTGTATTCAACCCCTTCCAAAGGCATTTCAACCTTCCCTTGAGCCAGTATGGTGTATGCTATCAAGTGAAAGGTGGCATCCATCTCCTCAGGCTTTGCGTTTTCACAAAGGACCTTCCTGAAGGGTTGAAGGCTGACTGTTTGGGTCCTAGGAGTGGAGTTCTGAGCAGCCAGAGCAATCGTCGAATGTCCTGACAATAACAAAATCCGTTTACTTAAAATCCATCAGTAAAGTAAAAAATGTGGAAGCGGTGCCAACCGGTGACATTACCTTGAACGCCGTATGTGAACATCAGTTGGGAGGGGGTACCAAACACCGGCTGATTATAATCAAAGGAGAAATATTTGGGAATGATTGTTATTGTGTAATTTGCCAAAATGTCTCGTTTGTTAAAAAGCTGTTCCACACTCCATAAGCGGGTAATGCAACCTCCCGTCTTTGTGCCTGCATTATCAATAAAATTGTGAATATTCCTCCAGAGTTTAATAATTGTCCTTACGAATAAAGAACAAATTAATTCACATAATGAAGCACAAAGGAAATATGAAAATGAAAAGTCGGAATTCTATTCCATAAGTAAGATAATTTCTCTACCTACAGTTGAGGGCAGCTAGGTAGTTCAATGTAAGATTTTCTGTTGTTCCACAGCCGATATCGTTGAAGGAAACCAGCACCACGTACTCCTTAACAGCCGGTCTCAACTCAGCCGTGACAAAATCCCAAGATAGTATGCCAGTGGAATTGTCAAATTCGATGACAATTTTTTCAAAATCTACGGCAAGAGGTAGGACAAACAGCTGTCAAGCCTTCCATAGGGCAGTCAGAAAAGATATAGGTGATTTATTACGCTGAATAGTTTTTTTTCCGATTATTAACGAAATATTTAGCCAGTACCCATATTCGCTGCGCTTTTGTCGAGAAAAGTTGGAAGAGACAGCGACCAATGATCTTTCATTAGTGCATCCAAAATTTCAACTTCAAAATTTTGAAACTCTGCTGCCTTGCCAATTCCGCATGCACTTTACTCGCCAACTTTATGTTGAGAAGTTCGAGAATACAAAGAGAAAATTCGATTCTTGCGAAATCATGTATTACACAGGCTCAAATGACATGAAGTGGTCTTGCCATTCTCCCTACTTGCGAAGGGTGTTTCAATTACTCGAGGACAAAGTATTTCTTGATTAAGCATGAAGGCCTTGTGTCTTTTTTGATTTTAACTTGTTTCATTGCAGAGTAGAGACTCCAAGAACGGCAAATATGCTGGTTGACGTGCCATTCCTGTATAAATACCTTTAAGGTGGTGACTTTTAAAATAAAAATAGGGCAGTCATATTTCCTTGGTGTGTTCTTCCTATCGTCAAAAAAAGGAAAACAGGTAAAATCTTAAAATTACTGGGAAAGCTCGTTTTATGCTGTGAAGCTCGGGCGTTAAGGGTGGGAATCATGCATCCACTAAATCGTTTGGTCACCATCGTAGAGACAGCGAAATCGAAACAGGCATTCTTATTTTTACTGTATAACGTGCTGCAACTTTCAGCCTACGATTAAAAATCCTTCCAGGTACTGCCACACAAGATAAGGATCAAATTTTTCCCGTTACTTTTGAGGCATACCACTGTAAGTTACGTGGAACGGCGAATTGGAGTAACTGCACGCCCTGCAGTAGGTTTAATCTTGCATAAAGAGTATGAGAGAGTGGTGGACATTTAGAGAAAACCGAGTGTTCGTACTATGAGTCTTAAATTAGTTGTCCCCGGAGGCGACTAAAATTAGAAGTCAGAAATTACAATTCGACGGATATCAGGCCACTGCGAAGCGTCGGTGCAGTGCGTTGGAGCACGAAATGGCGGACAGAGATAAGACATACATTGTCCATTACTTTGGAAATTAATGCAGAAAACAGACTCCATACGAGCACACTTTGTTGCAGTCGGCCCTATTTGAAGCATCTACAAGCCTGCACTCTCAAATGAATAGCCAAACATGCATTATCCACGTTCTGTAAAACGAGAACAATTGTTTCAGCGAATGGCGACAGTATTATGGATGCAATACAAGCAAGTTTGTGAAAGGAAAGTGCCTCAAGTGCTTAAGCCTAAAATTGAATTCTCGATTTGGACCCATGTACATTGCTTAAAATAGAGGGAAAAAACTTTCCGTATGGCAGTGGGGGCCAAGGAAATTGTGCAAAAGGTCCCACGTGATCGGTACAAACATAAGTCTAGACGGAAGACACTGGTTCAGCGCAAATGTCCATTATATTAGCAGCACATAATGGTTACAACTAGGCAGAGGAAGTGACATTAAACTCGGGGCCTAAAAATAGAAAAATACCAAAGATATTTAGCGAAAGAGCAGCGTGATCTATAAAACATAGGTAGGAATGTTCGGAGGGCAATTTGTTCGAGATTACTTTGTCCATTGAGAGGATAGGTAGAAAGCAACGAATAATAAATGAACTGGCGTCGTTAAAACATTCAAAACTTTTATAGTGCAGTACGATACTTCAGCCTTGGAGGGAAGAAGGTGCTCCCATCACTTCAGTCTCTTGACCCACAGTGACATCACACGTAAGGGAAAGCGGAGGGACGAAGCCAGAGGACTTAACTAAGAGTAATTTGTTTTGAGGTGTACCATATTGCTGAAGCTTCCTGCAGCCTTCAAAATAAGTCGGTAGCCAAATAAGTAGGCCGAATGAGGTGAAGAAATGATTGGACGTGCCAAATGGATCATCAGAAAAATATGCTGTGACCTGAGTTTAATGTCTTCTCATTAGTAGGCCTCAAGGTAAAGTAAACAGAAACCTTTCACCAAAAATATCTTAATATTTGGGTCGACGTTTTCTTCGAACTTCCGGGACCTAAAAATATAAGTACACAGGTACTGGGGCAGCTCTCTTTCAATCTCCCACATGATCCTTTACTACGCCCCCGATGTGTACAGGTGGATTGCCAAGTGGAATAGTGCATGCTCGTGGAAGAATCGCAGGATAAATTGATGCGCGGCATTCAACGATAGCACAAGGTGGGCTGTAAAACGGCAGCTGCAATTGCTTCAAACTAAATGCTTGACATTTTCCGTGGATGTGCAATGAAGAGTGTTAGCAGATGCACTCTAAAAAATCCACAAATAACTCATTTTGTTGGACAATAATAAGGGTGCTAGTAATTAAAATTTGACTTTAGGTTTTACACTTGCATACAAAAGGAGATGAAATTGCCAAGTATGTCCTGACGCCCACAAACCGTCATATGCTGTTAAAGAAAAATGTATGAAAAGCGGAGGCCTGTACAGTGGTGATGTAATAAGCAGAGGCAGTCGGAGAGTCCAGAGGAGAGGGCGTCCATTTTCTCTCGAGTTGACGAAAAGCCTCATGCACAGTACAAATTTACCAAATAACATCACAACAGTGGACCAATTAAACAATTTAACCTTTCTCAAGCCGATCATCGAAGGCAGTTATTTGTGGTCATCAAGTATGCGGAGTTTGCACACTTCAAAGATGGTTTTTTTCGGGTCTTTATTGATTCGAGAGTTCTGAGTTATCTGGATGTTGATTGCAAATGAGTTAACTCACGTGGATTTGGAAGGCGTATTTTCGTGGACCTCGAATTCTCACCAATCAGCAAATTGACTTCAAAATCCAGACTTTCCAAGGTTTTCAGCGCAGTAAAGTCAAATAAGGTTGGATAACTATGCTGGGAGACGCTTTTCCTATCCACAGGATTCCAAGTTGGCGTTAGCTCAAGGCTACCTCTGGTACACTTGAGAAGATCCAGAAGGATCTACAAATGGGAAATTTTGGCAGTTTAAATGAATGCTTTTCCTTCCCCTTTCCCCTTAATAGTTTACAGCCGAAAATCACACAAAAGTCTCTCCTTTTGTCTAATAATTACAGGAGGTTTATTGTCTTGGTTATTCGCAACTTCTAAATCGCTTGAGCATCAATGAAACTCCATCATCAGTGGCAAAAAAAGGGGACAATAGAAGGACGGAATTTCTTCTCCTTTAAGCCGTTTACATTTAAGTAAGTGAGACACTGTTTCCAAAATTACTTGCCATTGAACACTTCAAAGACCTCGTTTTGACGGGATGATTTGGGCATTTCAAGTGGTGTGCTGTTACTGGTCTGTCGGACAATCGGGTCACATAAACTGGCAATTCTTTGAAGGCGCCGATTAATTACCCGATTACACTTTTACTTGAAGCAAACTATTTGGTTGCCAAGTGTTTGTACACGGATTCCATTGAAGCGTAGGTCCGCCCTAATATAGTAGGTGCTATCCACTCAGGCAAGGATGGATTTTTTTGTCACAAGAAGTAGGAAGAATTTACCGTTCGTTAAAGGAAGCAGAAAACTCGAAACTACTTCCACAAACATTTCCCGTTTAACAACAATAACAATAAATTTAAAGTGAGGAGAAGTCTTGAAAAAAGTGTTCGTCTTAACCTGTAAGCAACTCAAAGTTGATGAAAGCAAGAAGCATGAATCTCAACTTCGGCAAAAGGGTTTCACACATTCTCAAGAGCCATAAATTGCATGTCTCTTCATTCTATGGTTTCCAGTTCAAAGAATGCTGTCGGGTAAGCTACGATCCTCCACCAGAAACACAACACCAACCCTCTACATGCTTCTACCTTTAACTCAAGGGGAAATATCAGTGTTCCACCATCCAGACTGGTAGGAGATTCTATTGAACCTTGAATTGGCTTGAATTGCCTGGGAAAATCTCTGGAAGACAGATTCGAACGGTGGGAGTCTTTAATGCTGTGTTTAATGACGCAGGTGTGACAGAGACCTGAGTAACTTACAGGCGAAAGTAGGTCGACCTGAAGTTCCACATGGATCTGGTCAGATTCAGGAGTAGTGAAGAACTTGGTCACCGAAACGTCAAAACCAGAGGCTTTACACAAAACAGAAGTCATAAATAGACAAGTCAAAGAGGGCTTAAGTTATTATTTTTGCCACTACATAGAATTACTAATTTCTACTTTTTAGTCCTACGTACCATAAGGTCTCGTCTTTCGTATTCTCTACCAGGTTGTACATACAGCTCAGTCTGTATTAAATTTGACACTATTTTTTCCTGCTCCTTTTGGCACAGTTCTATTGACTTCAAAGCTGATTCGATGGGCTGGGATTGCCAAATGGCTCACCGTCTAATTCATCCTTCAGACGCGGCATCCCGGAGGGAATAACATTCAGTACGGTTGTCCGGTTGCCCGCCACGATGGCTTGCAATTCATAACGATAAAAGGTGGAATAGTCTTCCAGGAAGAGATTTATAGCCTGTCCATAATTCAGAATGTCTATTCCAGTGTGGTTGGGCATCATGATGATGGTTGTCCCGTTCTCTGCACAAAAAGCATTTCCATATTTAAGTTCACAGACAGATTACAAATTCTTACAGGTCAGTTCAGTGTTTGGCGGCATGGTTGATTTCGCAAAATGCTTTTTACAAATGTAAGCAACAGTGGGCAACTTTGATTAAAGGAATTGAATGCGCACAGCACCACCATTGAAGTGATTATCTTCCTTCTACGATGTACTTCAGTCGAGCCAATGTCTGAAGACATTTGTTGGTTGTGGCTGTTATTCCTTTACGAGGTTAATTGAAACAAGCCGCAGTTATAAGCGGAAACCGTGCTATTTATAGCCAATTCTTTGCTCGTCTATCTGCGGAATGCGCAGAAGGGAATAGACGACAAAAAATTTGATTGAAATTATGCAACTATGTGGAACCTTTTGTGTTCGCTGAGTCTGAAAAATGTTAAGTCACAAGAAAACCACGAAATATTTTGTTTAGACAATAAAACGACTATGTCGTCAAAGCATTAGCGGTGGTCTTATTAAATGTGTCTGAGGCGTAAAGGTAAATAGGCGGAGTTAACAAAGCTTGGATAAATAAACAAAGCATTCACTTAATGCAAAAGCTGCAAAATAGCAATGTTAAGTAGAGGAAAAAATGGAGCCATGGAAAAGTTGCAAGCATGTTGAACGGTTGCAGCTTTCAATGGACTCCTTATGGGAGGCGCTATGTCAACAGACTAACTGCTCAGTCCAAAGGCAGCTACAAGATTGGGCGCCGCATCAATGTCACATCCATGGCTGAGCAACTCCACCTTGACCTCGCCTTCATTGATGTAACTACTACTGTCTGAGTGCTGGAAGTAAATGAGAATGTGAAGACGGCCATCAGTCTTGGACACAACCCAAGCGCGCACTGGCTCAAAGGGTTTCTTGTCCACGTCTACAAAGAAGAAGCGAGAAATTGTAGCAGTAAACGTAGAGGCCCATCGATAAAAGTGCCTAGATAATGAAATCCAAGACTAACATGGCAGAAAATTTTCTAATAAATGTACCGATTTTGCTTGGACTTAAACCTATTCCTAGCTTTGCGTTGCTAGCCTAAACGAAAGGAGTAACTTTTCGTAAGTTAATGACTGCACTTGCATGCACCAATACACAAATCTACGTCATTTTGATTCATTGGTGCCAAAGCAGAGATAGTAGGTAAGGCGGCTCCAGCAGCTGTTTCCAACATATGTTCAGGCAAGGACATCAGGCACCACGTCTGTTGAACAATGCCTACTATTTTGCATTTAATTGTTTAATGCAAACAATAGTATGTCCTCCAAAGTACCGCTTGATACGAAGGAAATGTTCAGGGAATGCAAACTCCTACCTAAATGTAAGGCTAGGAGTCTTGGTGGACGAAGTGCTAAATGGAAAATGTAACCATAGGTGGGTGACTTATTCTTAGCCCATAACCATAGAAATCGCAACATCATTAGATCTGGAGGTCACATCATCACCAGTCAGGGGTGTTTTGATTGCAAAAACTGTCCAATAATTGTCGCGGTCACGTTCAAAGACATGGGAATTTGCTCTACTTTTAGTGGAATGGAAAGCTTGATTCCATGAACATGACTTATTTGAAGTGAACGTGATTTAAAAAAAAAATGCTTTAAACTTTTTTCCTCCTAATCCATTATGATGCTATGACTGTGCACTTTTATCTTACTTTTTAACAATTTTTAAGGAGTATGTGCTTTTGCACTACCAAAGCACACGGACGTTCCATTCAACTTTAAGTGGAGAAAGGAGGGGAAGAGGGAGTGGAGGTGGCGAATGGTCACCCATATATTAAGGTCAAATCGGTTCTTTGAACCAATGCATTCCGTGCCACTCTACACCCGTATTTCGCATTTTCGTATGACTGTTGGTCGCCTGCTTCATGGTTGTGTGTACTTTCTACACCGCGATGCGTAAGCCATTATCACTTGCAGTTACGAACTGGGCGCCTATTAACACGCACAAGGCTGTCTGGAAGTTGGCTAGGGCGAGTAGTCCAGAGCCTGACTAGAGAGACATTATAAATGGTTTCACAATAAGTACATCATGATTGTGTCCTCAGATCAAGTTGCACCTAAAAATGTAAACTAACAGGGGAATACTTAAAGGTTTTCCTGTTAAAATCCATTTTTGACGATAGCAGCTATTAGACTGCTAGCAGGATACTGAGTGCAAGTGGAACAGGCCGGTTTGTAGTTTTGACAAAGTTGACCAGCAGAAGGAAAATGAACACACCGTCTCCCACAATAAGTGCTACGAAGTGCGGTGCTGGGAGAATGCAACTTTATTGGCACTGATGAAGTGACTCAGATGAGCCTTTAAATTCGGCACTTATAGCCGCCACTAAATCGTGCCCCAGCATCTTTGCGTAAGCATGGTTTCCACATGTCGGTGTGTGGCACTTTGACGTGCTAGTCAAGAGGATCTCGAATGAGAGTTGACCAGCATAACTCAAACGTTTTCTATTCCAGCACACAACACCAAAGTCTGAGCCACCAAAGTGGATAAGTCAACTGTGATTTAAAGACTGGAATGGCATCAAAACTTCCCACATCCATGGCATTGTTCCAAACCAATTCATGCTAGTTGTGTGATGCGATCCGGTGCATCTGGCATCGTCAATTGTTGTGACGAATGTCGCTTGTTGGCGACGTCCTCTTTAGGCGTGAAAATTAAGGCGTGCTTGGTAGTGACAGTTGTGCACTATCAATCAGCACTACTACCCAATATAAGGAGAGGATAAATTATTAAAATATATTGTTAAGTTAATCGTGGAATGTGGTTAAAAACAGGTTCTTACTTCGAATAAGACGAATTCAAACTGAAAGGGTTTTAACACCCTTGGCTTCTTCAGAATACAGAACAACGACACCATTATTACAAATTTTAGATTTAAAAGTTATTTAACTGCAGGCTTGTAGTCCACAATGCTTGGAGTTTAGTTTCAATTACTAGCACGACACATTCAAGGGATAAAGTTCTTTCCACTCCACCATGAGGGCGCTTAGCATTCAGGAGAATGCATATCATGATGTGCGCCAAGTAGGCAAGAAGTCGACTCCTCAAAATGCCACTGAATTTGTTACAAAAACGTGAACAAACTGATGCCAATAAAGCACAAATAACAACTTGTTAAAGCCTCTTAAAGTCCTTGCTCAAGGCCGCCAGAGATAACACTTTCACTTCGAGTGTGTGTGTTGATGGATTATGGGCGATCAGTTTTTACTTCGATAAGATTATGCGATGGTTGATTTTTGATTTTTTTTGAACTGTGGGTTCAAACTGGACGCGGTCGTTGATGTGAGTGGGGTTAGGCTTCCACTGAGGTGTCGATCCACACGGTCAGATACACGTAGAAATTGACTTGGCATTGCAAATGGAAGTAGGTTAACACCATGAGTCCACAATGCCTGATGGTGGAGGGGAAAAATGATTCACGGCTGCTTTGCTGTGAATGTCTGGGGTCAAAAATTGATGGCCTTCTTTAGTAATCTTCCACGCAGACAAAATATTTGTGGCATATTCGCGCCTTGAAATTTCACAATCAAATGCTTTGATTAGCATTCGTTAGCAATGTCAACACTATGATCCCTCTTTCCCTTCCTTCCTTCCCTCCTTCCCCGTTATCTGCCTGGTTAATGTGAATATGCAGTGAAGGCAAGATAAACAGACAACTGGGTGTGTGTATGTGCGAAAAATTTAAACAGGTGGGCAAACCCTTGACATTTGCCAAAAGATTTTTATGCACTTACATAAATACTGGGACGACATTATAAATCCTTGTAGTCAAAGATAAGTGCTTGTTTTATTAACGCTGCTATTTTGAGGGTGGAAGAATTTGATGCAGTGTCTTGTGATTACTTCACGAAAATAATTTAGGCGACGCATCTTACTTGCTTGAATAAAACTTCCTTTGCTGTTGTGCTAATTTAATTTCGTTGGATGGAAAACATTCGAGGCACCTCATTCAGAAAACAAAATTTTCTCAACTCTGACCCAGAAAATAATCTCGAGTAACTCCGTAGAAGTGGGCCTAACAAGACGTGACAAGGCAATTCTGCCTGAGCTTAAAAGTTCATTCTGACACAATCAGGTGAATTACGTGGCAGTTTCATGCTTTTATATCGAAAAGCACAATTTTGGGAAGTCATTTTTCCGGCCATCAAAGTTCAACCTGTTCTTTACTTGAAGAACATCCGAAGACATTGACAGAATCCCTATGTGTCCACTAGCGGGTCCACTTGAAAGATAGCGTCGTCAAGATTGTGGGTGAAAAGTCCCTTTGCGTAGATGGCCAGTAGTTGGAGACAGCCTCAGTAAATGTTCACGAGCTATTAAGACCTCGAAGTCACAGAAGCCGTCGACTTATTCACGAAAGACTCCAAACAAGATCTTTTATGCAATACCGCACGCATTGATTATGGAAGAAAAGTTCGAGACTTTGAAAATGTGCAGTTTACGGATGTTTGGAATTTGACGCCAATAGAGTGATTGCATTTTACATATTCAAACTTCTAGAACCTCATCATTAATGCGCCTTTCTAGGTCCAGTAAGTTTTCTTCTTGCAGGTGATAAAGAAATACGAGACACCTTTTTTTGACGAAATAGGAATGAGGAGGACATAAAATCGGCACTAGGACGGTCTGAAGATAGGAGCAGCGATTTTGTAGGCGTGCAGAGAAAAAAAGTCCCTAAAAGTTACACCTGCAGTTAAAATGGTTTAACCTTTCTCCCGCTGACCCGTTCTCCCGTTGGAAAACGTACAAAGCATTGGAGCCAAGAGACTAAAAACATGTTTATCTGGGAAGGATAGATGAGTTTGCCTGTAGGAGAAATGGAAGGGCTGGACGAGATCGTTGTATGAAGTTATCGGCAATGCAAGGAGGCTGAACTCACATTAAGTCACCCCTTGTAGGTACCGAAAATAGCATTTCCCCCACCATATATGTAAGTAATTTGGGACGATGACCAGAGGACCAAAAACTTTCCTCTGCACGATTCAACCGTGTGAAAAATAAGGCAAGCAAGATAAATGAAAGATAAGAACACGTCTTGTTATAAGAAAATGTTACCTAAAGACAACTTTTTTGGCGTTTAAGCTCTCCACCGACCCCCCTGACAGGAGCGTAAAGTCACAAAATTTTGGAGGAGAAAAGAGTGTTTGTCGGGCAGTATTTTAGGAGGTTAACAATCCCAAGGATGTAAGGACGACCGTAAGGCGGTAGGGAGTAGAGCCCAGAATTCACGCAATTAAAGTGCTTGATCTCGCCTTCACCCAAATGCATGTCCTGAACTGTCTAATTGCCCCCTTGATAAAGACAAAATTAACTGCCTTGTTTTCAATTTAAAACACAAATGGTTCCGTGGTACCAGCAGATAGCCAGAAATGACGAGCACTTCCAATGCTCGCTCAAAATGCAGGCACGCACAGGTTGCGGCCTTGTGCTACTATTAAAAGGGAAAAAGGAATTAAAGTAGCTCCACTTGCCTAGCATAAGTCGCAACCTCTAATAGCATAGCAGGCTTTAATGAACAAAGTGAGTGATGAGGAAGATAAGTGGTAACTCCTGAATGGTAGCTGAGGCAAATTCCAAAATAGTTTCTTCCAATTACCGGAAGCCTTTTATAATGTCAGTTGTTTACAGCTTAAGGAGTCATCAACCTACGAAGCAAACGTCGCGATTTTTAACAAAGGCCCAGGAAAACTGCAATTCAATTTGCATTTTGCATGCGAACGTTACTTAAACACGAAAACACTTTCTTTCCCTCGCTTTCAAACATGATAGCCTAACTGAAATCAAATGCATGACTTTTGTTTGGTCAGCTTGGCGAAAAGGTCAACTGAGAATTTGACTTGAGCATTTTTTTACTAAAAACTACTGCATACATTCATCCATATTCAGGAATCCAAGCAAATGTGGCATAAGTGGAGAAGCGGAAACCCAAACCGGTACATGAAATTGTACCCAAGTTCAGAGGATGCAATATCACTTTGCCGAAATCATGGGCAGTAGTATTTGATAAGTGTGTCTAACCGGAGCATATGTCGTGGACCAGTCTGGTCTGCATACTGTTAATGGAAGTGCCAAACAATGAATAAAGAGAGTGCACAATGTGTTGAACTAAACGAAGTGTGAGCGAAGCCGTGAAAACCGAAGTGGATAGCTCTATTGTCTTAATCCTACAAAAAGGCATCAAAGAGCGCAGTACAGCAGAAGTAACTTTGTAGGATGCAAGGAATTCAACGCCTCCAAAGACGGTCACATGGGACAGCGATTTCATGGTGAGCTCTTTTGCAATTTTTTTAAAATGAGGTTTTAAATCAAAGACGGTCATTCATGTTCTACTGTTCACAAACACTTGGACACGTGAAAGACCAGAATGTCCACGTCTGAGCAACGCGTAAACTGTAGAGATCGCGACCACAAGGGAATGAAGTCACTGTTTCGGAAGACAAGTATTTATACGGTGGAGAAGTAGATCGACGTTGAGGTGACACCCCTTAGCATCCCAGCATTTACACCAGTTTATACTCATGATTCGTAGGATGGGCATCGGTTAATCACTGTAGCAGAAGTACAAAGTTAGCCACAGAATGCGGTTCGCCTTCGTTTAGTATGCTGTGGCCTTCTCCTGCCTTCCCACACCTGTGCTAATAAGTTGCACAAACAACTTGCCAACAATATGGAACACATTGGTGATATTCGAGCCGGGCATTTGACTGGGCAGACTCCATCGATAAATCACTGTCTCGTTGTCTTCAGCATCAGGATAGACGGCCTGCGTTTCCACACGATTTACCAACTCCGTCCAATTGGAAAGGGCTTTGACGCCGGGATAAAGCTGCACTCTTTCCTCCTGCGAGTACTGGAAAAAGAAACCTCTCAGTGAGCAAGGTGGTAGGCATGAGGATAGTAAGTTGTATGTGAGCTTTTCGCATGTTTAATTGGTGTGCAATGATTTGCAAAAGGCAAGTGGAGGTAACTGGAGCGAGTATTAAAGAGCTTAATTACAAAGCTCCAGTGGATGCTCTAAAAACTTCTTCTTAATGGCCTTTTAAAACAGGCTTATCTGAAAAGAAATCGTCACACATTTGACAGACGAATGAATAAACGGAAGAAAGAAATTTGCATACTTTTTGATTACGCAGGTATTTTTGCCTCAACAGGAACCTCGAATAGATATTTGAAGCGCAATGCAAAAACGACTCTTTCTCAATGAATGCCATCGGAAGATTTTTTTCCATCTCGGTTGAATGCTATGTTGTGCATAAAATTTAAATAATTTGAAGTACATTCTTTACACACTGTACTGTTTTTCTACTGCAACAAGGTGACATCTTCGCGCAGCCCGAACCTGACAATTTCAAAATGTTTACCACGGTCTCATAGTTCTTTCGTTCACCGTCTTCACTCCATTCAGTCGTGGTCCTTAGGTTGTCCGCGAGGGTGACTCCAGTAGCCAGCATGTGGAAGAAGCCGCCCATACCTCTGGTGGCCAGCTCAATTACCCCACTGGCACCGCTTCCTTGATACACCTCCTTCCCCTCGTACACAACTGTGTAGTTGAGTTGGAAAATGGCCTCTGAACAGCAGAAAAAAGTGATGCCACTAAGGCGCTTCTAAGTCGTCAACTGCACATAGATGGTCAGAAGATTTGTAAGAACCAGTAGAAAACCTTCTATACAAGTGCCCTGAAGAATCCATCACCTGGTGGGCTGAATTAGTGTTAGTAGTAAAAGTCGACATTCAGAACAATGGGAGATGGAGTTTAATTATTAACAAGCATATGGGACAAAAGGAAAAAGAACGCAATTGTGCTAAATTCCAAGTGCGAGTTTCTTCCGGGTATTTATTCGTGAAAGTGATTTGCAGCCCATGCCCCTATTGCTAGAAAAATATCCTCTCTTGCGTTCAAAGGCTACTTCGCCAACTGTGTGCCCATTTTGTCCAATTTTCTCAAACTTTTCCAAATTAATTTGTTGAAATTTGCCTTCAGATGCTAGAATAACCTTTAGACCGGTGTAATTAATGTAACCTTTTCAAACTTGCTTGAAATAAAAATTGATTTATCCTTTACCCACTGGTGTGATCAAGGGCAAATCCATGGGAAACAATCATCTTCAAGTCCGTCTTTGTTCCTCCTTTCAAAAGTTGCATCCACCGAGGGGTGCTGCGGTTAAGAGGTCCCCTTCAGTGCGTCATTGGTGCTTCAAGAATTTTTCTTGATTTGTTACACGATTTGAAAGGATAACTGCACCCACCTTGCAACTCCTCCTTCAAAGTCGACTCTGTGGTAGCATGATATTGCATTACGTTGGCCGCTTAACATTTATTTCACAACAAATGGGCCACTGTGGCTCACCACAACTATGGGTTTGCAGGATAGACTAAAACTTGGGCCAAACTGGTAGTCTGAAGTCATTTTGATGCATTCATTGCTTTCTATGACACTCTGTGCCGCCAACGGACTCTTCGCACCATAGCTGAAAACTCGAACTGCCGTGTTTTGGGGGCTAGAATGGCTAAAATAATTTCAAAGCCCGTAGTTTAGCAGGAGAGCGTAGAACAGAAGCTCATTCGGCACACTTCACAAGACAGTTCGTCTTAAAATTATGACATGCAAAAATAAACATATGACTGCCTCTGAACCAGAAACATTCTATGTTTATTTTATTTTACCAAGAACCAAGCATTGCAGTCGTGAAACCTGTCGCCTCACTTTATAATGTGCCAGTGTCATGCACGGGCGACACTGCAAGAGGGCGTACTGTTTGCCCACTTAAAAATAATCACCTGATTGAGCAAACCTCGTTTAGTTTCTAATAGAGAAACCAATAAATTGGGCATCTTTTTAAGCTTGCCATGCGACACTCACTAGTAGACGTAATCACACAAACTTGGCCTACGTCGCGGCATTGATAAAGGCTTCAATGAACGGTTTATTTACGCTGGCCTTGCAAGTGTTACATCTAATATAAGTGCATTTTTCACCCACCTGTGAGAAAATCGGTGCTCTCAAACGCCGTCGGGGAGGAGAGGACAAGTGTTTTGGCGGTGTCTGTGGATTCGCAGGCACATTGGTACTGGCCCGCGTACGCGTGTGCTGCACAATAAAAGACTTGTCAAAGATTGACAATTTTCGGTAAAAAGGCAACACTCTGTGTTATCTTTCGTCCGGATGCCGCTATGAGTGAGTGAATACGGACCACTGTTACAGTCACCGTATTCGTGGGATCAAGTGATTATCGGGACTATGCCAGGCACAATAACTTCCTACACTTGCGTATATGTTTTCTTCTTTTTGGATTTCTGTCATGAGTGCATCCTTCATAATGGCAGGTTGTGGTTTGGAACTTGTCAATTGTTGCGGCTGAAATGAAACCTTGATCGCCTGTACCCTCCTCAAGAGGTATTTCTGGGCTATTTTGCTGATAAAGCATCAATTAATCCAAATCTCGTAGTGTTGCATATAAACAACTATCGACAAAGACAGTTGACTGGATTATGCCCCAGAGAATATCCCGCAGAAGTGTAGTCCGTTCTGCCAAACTTAAGAGTCACTCTTTAATCAAGATTCAACGAATGCCGCTTCTGTATGTTATTAAATGTTGTTGTAAATGGTAGCAAAGAAAACATTTGTGCGCTCGAAATTTTTCAGACCTATCCAGGGCCTATAAAAGAACCTACTTCTCGGTACCCTCACGACCATTTTAGACTCTTCGTCCACAAGAACTTTGAGATCGCCGAGGACGTCTGCCCATAGAGGATCAAGGCGGCCCCGTTGGACTACGGGAGTAGTGAGGCCGCCGTCGATTTGTTTACGGAAAAGCATTAAATTTTGACACGTCTCCACTTCACCCGGGGGCTCGCATGATCCTGCACAGGTGACCGCCGTGCACGTGATCTCAAACTCACTTCTTCCATTGGCCACATTAACCTCACCGGTTGACAAACTCAAAGAGGGATAGTAGACTAAAATAGGAGATGAAGCATATTACTGACTACGACTTTAATTAGCCACCAGCACCATACAAAGAATCAGATGCAGGTTAAATAAATGTGCGCTTTCCTCACTACCTCTGTGTAAAAGTCCACAACGCAGGGTTTGACATCAAACCCAATCTGGAGAAAATGAAAAAATGTTCACTTTTCGCATAAGTACCAAATGAATTACGCATCGATGGGGAGGAAGTAGATTAATTAGCTTGGAATGAGGATGAAAGACAAAGCAGGAGTTAAAGGCAAATTGGCCACTAATGTCGAATGCCAAATTACTTCTTCATTACAAGGCAAAAAGCAAGGCACTGTAAAGGCATCCTCAAACCATCTCGTAAGACCAAGCATTTTTCATCGACTAAAAGCCGCATTAACATTCTATCCACAATCTGCGGTCTATACCTGCATGACAATGTCAGTTATCCCAAGTTGTTCCGTCCTCCGAAGGTTCATGATTCGATCCGCTTTGTTGGGCATTCAGAGAGCAAGTGAAAATTGATGGTGAAAATTCACACAGCGTTGGGAGCCAAAAATTACTTGACGTTTTAACAAAACCACAGCCACAACCCACACCACCATGTTTCCGTCCTTCTTCACCAAAGCTAAGTAAATTTTTCGGCAATTTTAGTCTTGCCTTACCTCACAGTTGCTCAGCATTATTTCAATAAGTAGCAGTGTTTGTAAAAGATAGCGGAAAGCTTTAAACACCTTTTCTGCTGTTTCCTTTTGCAAATGGATGAGGTGTGACCACTGAGACAAGAATGAAAAGTTTCACAGACAAATTCTATTTTGCCTGTCATAAAACAACTTTATTTGGAGGGCCGTAAATTGTGCTTCACTTGCACCCAAACGAAAGAGGCAAAATCGTACAACTCTCTACTCGACACCTGGTCCATTCGTTTGAATAAGGCTGTACAATCCCTCAGCAGTTGTGGTTTTTGGCGGGGGCTGGAGGAATAAATTTGAAAATAGGATTTCACTGTCCCGTGTATGCATTCGGATTTAGCCCACGTAGTGATGTGAATATGTAGTGGCTGTTTTTATGGCAAAATGCCAACATTAAATCACGAGGATGCACGAAAAAGGTTGTAGTCATGATGGTGTTTGCTTTCAAGAAGTAATCGGGCTTAAATGAGGGAAATTGTCAAATCCACCCACTTGCAATCCCTGTCATGGGATCGACTAATTTGGAGGCAGGATTGTTAAGGAATGAAGATTGAATGAATCCAACTGTTACGTGTTTATGCTGCTAATTACTTTCAAACTGCTTATTGGACTCCAATTGTAACTTTGGAGACCTTCAGTAATGCATTATCCAAACTTGTAGTAGATTTAGGTTGGTTGGACTAAATCCCTGAAGGTCAGTCGAGGTACAAGATTCGTCACCAGCAAATTTATGCATGACGGGTTGCATGTGGTGTGCTTTAAATCAGATTAACACTCGTCTGCTGCCAGGACCTTAAGTAAAAAGCAAACTATTTCAAGGCAGAAAGAGGCATCGTCGCTTCGCCTATCAATTCACCTCCGATTCGAGCCCAAAACACGAATATTCTGTGCCTGATTTGTTGCTTAAGGTTTGGAAACTAGCCGTTGACTTGAATATTGTGCAACCGTGATGTTAGGCCCAAATACGGTGTGGGTAGCAATTGTGCCGAAACAGAAGCCCTGAAAGCGGTTTGAAGGCCATGAGGAAGCATGACACAATGTTACATGGATGCGTTTACCGACTCGTGCGAACTATGGTTACTTATGCAAAAGGTTCACCACCGTGGTAAATTAGATGTAGATGGGAAATTGGCGTGGGCATCCACAACCTAAATGTCTTGAATACCGACTAAGCGGCTCACAGCATTACAACGCACCAGCAAGTGAGCTAACGCATTCAGCGGTAAAGGTATTTCACGCCATCTTGCATGTGCACATTTTTACCCAAAATGCTGTTAATTGGCTTTTCCAAAAGCAGCAAAGTTTTCATGAACTTATGATTAGTACTCGAGACAGTTATAAAATGTCAAAAGGGACTTTTCGATTGTTTTGAATAGCGTCGGATTTAATGCCGCTATTCTTGCAGTTGAACTAGAGTGGAAACATTTAAGATGGCTGTGCAGAAGCCAATGTTAATGCAGTCACTATAATTTTATCTCTGGATGTATTAACAGCGATTGGGAAATATGTGTATTTGAGGCAAATTTTAGGCCTTGCAATTCTACGATTCGCTCTAGACCTTCTTAAGGGAATTGGAGGTATTTTAGCGCAAAACATTCACAAGCGATTCGGTTATGGTACACAAACCCTTTGATCACTAGATTCCATTATGAGGTAAGTTTGATTCTGCCTAAATGCTTCCTCGAGGACCACGGACACATCTACGTCAGCACAGTGATAGGTAGTTGATGGAGATGCCTTCAGACAGGGCCTGCATGTCATCACATCTTTCTGGTCCTGCCAACAAAAGGCAAAGGCCTTCCATCTTACATGATGACTGCATTCTCTGGTTGAAAACAAAACTAAACTTTCGAAGAATAGTCTGTATGGGATCGCAACTGATCTAAACAGAAGCAGACTTATTTTGTCAGCAGCGTTATGTTCCACACGGCTCATCGGTTCCCTTGGTCCTTGTTCCCACTGATTGTAAAAATTTTGTACATCTATGAAGGTAGCTTAGAATGCCTTGGACAGGAACAGCTGAGCCATCCAAATCCACAACGAAATCAACTTTTGTCCTCCTGATAGTCATCAAGGCACCGAATCTCTTGTTTACTTCTAATCAAAAATCAAAAATGACCTCTGTAAAGTATGCGCCCACCTTTCCATTGTACGGCCTATAAAACACACATTTGTGTTTCCTCATCGACAAGACAGTCAGTAAATTTCATAATACCAGAGTCGAATGTGGGCTGCGACTTGATTACTGTCTTAGTTAACATCCACAGTCTCTTTCATACAGCCGAGCTCTGGCACAAACTCACGAGCCCTCGTGAGTGACTGTCTCTTTCCCTTACGCACTTACAAATGTATGAAAGCTTACCAAACGCATTAATTAATTCGTCTGATAAAAATTTATCTGTTTGTCACCAAAATTGCGCATCAAGAAGATCCGGACTATGGACAATTTCAACAAATTAATTCCAAGCATAATAAAATGAACAATGCAAATGGGTTCATTATTTACCAAATAGTGTAACATATGAGGCAGAGTCTATGGTTTAAACAATGCTTCTGTTTGCTTTAATTTCACCAAGTTTGTGCCTTTCAAAGTGTTGGAGTGACGGGGGAATTTGGTCATCTTCAGAAAAATTTTTCGACGGCAAAAAATGAGAGAAATGTATTTTGATCCAAATCAGCTCGCAAATCTTTTTAGTGTAAGCAACACTAATGTTGACCATCTTTAGGTTACATTCGAGACAATTAATTCTGCTTTCCATTGGTTAGTATGCAAGCATGCGTATCCACTGCACTGATTATCCTCAAGCAGCATTTTTTGTCACCTAAACCTTGTTAAAAGCATAAATCATTCACTGCTTTTGCGAAACATCACAGGTCTTGGTCCGTTTAGATCAAATTGATGAAGTAGCTAAGTACCCCAGGGCAGTAAGTTATGCAAACATTCCGGCATAGATGTAAAGGAATAAAGAAAGTGAACTTACCTGGAATCCCAGTGATAGCCACCTTGCTGATGTTTTCAGTGAAAAATTTTACTTGATCGATTGCTACACTTTTAAGAGAGGCAAGACTACAGACGTATTGTTCGAAACCCTCAAAATCATCTCCTTTATCACAGTCGTTTTCCAAGTTTATTTTTACGTCTCGAATATCGGTGGATCCGAAATAAAATTCTAGAAACATATCAACATGTGTGCTCAGGAACTGTAGAGGCATTATCATATGAGAAAAATCTTTAAAATAAAACAAGTCGACTAATTCTTTTTCGTTGAGAGCCTTTTGACTACGAAGGTAATAATGAGTTACAACTGATTCTCACAATCACTTTCACCTTAGAGCAATGATAGTAGTAATTCCCACCAACACAAAAGCACTCCAGAGGCAAACAAATTAGTGCAAGCAAGCAAATATCCACACCGATTCGGGCGATACGGTTAGTTGTATACTTCCAGAGAATAAAAATTACAATTAAATGCAAACCATTTTCTTTTCTTACCAAATTCTTTCTTATGTTTTAATGAAAGCACAATTTTCAACTCTTTGAGGATGAATTTTCGACCAAAGTATACAGTCATGTTCCTTGGCTCTTCATAAATATGCTTGGGAGGTGATTCATCCAAAAGTTTCCAGTAATATGTTTGACAAAATCTTTCATCGTTCATTGAGAGGTTCTGGATAGAAAAAGGCTTTTGGAGGGCCACTTCAACTAAAAATAAAATTAATTCCAGTGATAATAGACAAAGTTATGTCCTCAACTGTATTTTAGAGAAAAATCCAACTAAATATTTACTTCTATCGGCGTTTTCATATTTCATATAAGATCCTTGAATTAAAATTCCGTTTACACGTGTCCACCCACTTTTACCCACTTGCCGCATTGTCCAAAAAATATATTTCCCGGCAAACGAAATAGGGGTGTTTCCAATAGCGCAGGGAAACTCGCAAATGAAGCCATCACTCGAAGGTCTGCAGTCATATTTCATCGAATGCATCACATCGTTACTTCTATAACCCACCTGGACTTCTTGCAAAGTATCGCTGTTAAGATCAGCTATATAAAGTAAAATGCTTTTTAGTGCAAGCAAAGCAAAAATTTCTACGAAAATCAATACCATAATAAACTTAAAATACATGGAGACAATCTATTAAATTAACAAATGATGCATTAATACG